TCACAGTCAAACTTCCAACTTTGACCGACTGGCACAATTTTAGCGAGTTATTGGTTTTGCCCACGTCATTTTTCATTTTTGATATATCTTCTGTTGACTTTGGTGCGCTGACATTAGGTTTTTGACTTCCACTGTACAGTTGTAACAGCAACATATGACGTTTGATTTAGACATATATTGGTGTACTGCTGATGGCATCTCCAGACATTTGGAGCATTCAGAAAAAGAGTCACTTTTTGACGCCAACCGTGACATCGTCCCAGGCATTTCGCTAATGAAACGTTTGAATGAATTGTAAGATTTATAAATCTTCACAGATTTTGATATTATCAATCCTATGCTGTCAGGTTAATTTAGGAGTAGCAGATCTTGCCTCGAAATATGTCTCCTCAATTTGATTTAGCTTCCGAGATGTGACATTTTCATGATTTTCGAAAAATTTGTACAAATGATGTACAAAACTTACAAAATTTTGATTTTAGCAACCCAATGGTGGGGTGCTGTTAGGGTTCTATCAGGCGTTGCAAATCTTGCCATTAATATGACTGCTCAAATCCGTGCAGTTTTCCAGATATGACGTTTTTTAGAATTTGTTTCACTATTTTTCAAAGAACTCGAACAACTATTTTTTCTGTCCTAACTCAAAAATTTCAAAAAATAAAAATTTTCTGAATTTATAGTGTTTCGTACTATCAAAAATTGCCAAAATTCGGTTTTCGGTAACAAAATAGTTCCAACCACTTCCGAACTAAACTTCACCAGTTCTATCTATTATGGTAGTGCTGTTACTATGTAACACACTAATTTAGCGCTTTTTTCCGTTTCAAAAATTATCGATATCTCAAAAATCGCGACTTGTGGGGGGATCAAAATATCGCTATTTTGACCCTAGAAACCGGTCTGCTTTCTGTGTTTTTCACTGAAAATTGATATAGGAGTATTAATATAGGCTATATAAGTAAAAATATTAGTAATACCCCTCCGGGTTTGTTTAGAATCCGAATTAAGATGCTTAACTCGGATATTCGCAGTTCGGTGAAGGGTCACTACAGTGCAGCACTGTCGAGCACCCCACAGATTACTATCTTAATTTTTGTACCAAAAGGGATACAAAACTTGTTAACGATACCCAACAGTCGATTGTTGTTGTCGTTGAGCCCCTTCTTGTTGCTCCTTGTACTGCTTGCCGGATCAGTCTTCTCCCAAGACCCCTCCGGACTGAGCGCAAATCAGCTGACCCATCCGGATTGAGCGCAGTTTATCATTAACGTGCTTAAATGCTCAAATAAGCCTACAGTACCAGCCTCACAAACTGGCCACAAAATTGATCGTAACGATCCTGACTGATATAAATGCCTGTAACAACAATATATCTATCAACAACAAACGGGAGGGTTGGATCACATCTTGTCTGGGGGGATGATTTCTACTGATTTTTTACTTCTTTTTTTTTTTACTGTTTTTGGTTTTTTCGGTTGATGTTTTTTATATTATTTGTTTTTCTTGGGTACTATACTACTTTTTGTTTGGTTTTATATATATCTTTAAGTGTTTTTGGTCACGGACCACTCAGGAGATGACGGGACCGCGAATCCCCCCACCCTTCCTGGTTCGTGAAATTTCGGTCTTAACTAGGTTAAAAAACTATTCACGGCAATTCGGAAGGCCTCCGCGTTCCGAACTACCCTTCCGCCCCGGCGGTTTAGGCCTACTAAAGGCGTTAATGTGAGCATCCGCTCGGCGCGGAGTGCTCGTTAACGGTTCTGCCGGTCATGATGTTAAAAAGAATAACACCCAGGAGTGCCATAAAAACATCTATGTAACATTCGCCCGGAAGATACATATCGACGGAAAATAAAACTAAGTCCTAAGACGACTGGCCAACGTCTAAACAGAGCTTTACATTCTTTTAACCGTCTCTACCAAGCCAGTACTTTCGGTGGGCTTTCTAACATCGGGTCGACAAAAACGTTACTGCTTTCGGCTTCGGACAAAACACTCAAATTAACTAGATTACATGCAGAAATAGTGAGCTCATGGCTGGGTCTCAGTATCCCCAGACCACGAGGTTACTCCTAAAAACAGGGCTACTACTATTTATTAAATTATTATTGTTTTGTTCAGTAGACAAAAATCATCTCCATCGAAGATGGATCAACCCTTTCCACCAACTCCTAGCTTCTCATCTTAGCAGAATGAATTCAAGTGTTAATTAAATTCAATTCAGGACATAATAGGGAAGCTAAAAGTTTATATAAGTTTAAAAAAGTTCCAGTCCCGAGACCCCTCCGGATTCCTGAATCCGGGGAAATAAGGCTCTTATGTTCCTTCCGGAAGGTTGTCTTCCACCCTTCACCGTTGTTTGCAACGGCCTTGCAACTATTGTAGCGACACAATAGTTGCAACTCGGAACGGTCTCTGCTATTCCTGCAATCTGTCGTTGTTTTTCAATCACAATTCTCGTTGTTCTCGCTATCGCAACAATGGTTGTTGTGTTTTTCTCAAAAATATGCGTTTCTGACGTTTCTCAGAAATATGACGTCATACTTCGAATTTTTAAAATTTCAAAATACCAGAATATCTTGTTTGACTAATCGCAGTTTGACTAATCGTCCCAATAACGTTGTTAATCGCTTAAAACCGTCAATTCGGAAGGTTCGCTGCTAAAATTCCGAATCTGCTGAATTTGCGTTTTGGCGCATTCTGGTCGAATGTCACAGTCAAACTTCCAACTTTGACCGACTGGCACAATTTTACCGAGTTATTGGTTTTGCCCACGTCATTTTTCATTTTTGATATATCTTCTGTTGACTTTGGTGCGCTGACATTAGGTTTTTGACTTCCACTGTACAGTTGTAACAGCAACATATGACGTTTGATTTAGACATATATTGGTGTACTGCTGATGGCATCTCCAGACATTTGGAGCATTCAGAAAAAGAGTCACTTTTTGACGCCAACCGTGACATCGTCCCAGGCATTTCGCTAATGAAACGTTTGAATGAATTGTAAGATTTATAAATCTTCACAGATTTTGATATTATCAATCCTATGCTGTCAGGTTAATTTAGGAGTAGCAGATCTTGCCTCGAAATATGTCTCCTCAATTTGATTTAGCTTCCGAGATGTGACATTTTCATGATTTTCGAAAAATTTTCTAAAACTTTAGATGTACAAAACTTACAAAATTTTGATTTTAGCAACCCAATGGTGGGTTGCTGTTAGGGTTCTATCAGGCGTTGCAAATCTTGCCATTAATATGACTGCTCAAATCCGTGCAGTTTTCCAGATATGACGCTTTTTAGAATTTGTTTCACTATTTTTCAAAGAACTCAAATTTTAAAACTGGACAAAAGTTGGAAATTCTCAACTTTGTATTGTAGGGGGTTGTATTGTAGGGGGTAGATTACATGCAGAAATAGTGAGCTCATGGCTGGGTCTCAGTATCCCCAGACCACGAGGTTACTCCTAAAAACAGGGCTACTACTATTTATTAAATTATTATTGTTTTGTTCAGTAGACAAAAATCATCTCCATCGAAGATGGATCAACCCTTTCCACCAACTCCTAGCTTCTCATCTTAGCAGAATGAATTCAAGTGTTAATTAAATTCAATTCAGGACATAATAGGGAAGCTAAAAGTTTATATAAGTTTAAAAAAGTTCCAGTCCCGAGACCCCTCCGGATTCCTGAATCCGGGAAAATAAGGCTCTTATGTTCCTTCCGGAAGGTTGTCTTCCACCCTTCACCGTTGTTTGCAACGGCCTTGCAACTATTGTAGCGACACAATAGTTGCAACTCGGAACGGTCTCTGCTATTCCTGCAATCTGTCGTTGTTTTTCAATCACAATTCTCGTTGTTCTCGCTATCGCAACAATCGTTGTTGTGTTTTTCTCCAAAATATGCGTTTCTGACGTTTCTCAGAAATATGACGTCATACTTCGAATTTTTAAAATTTCAAAATACCAGAATATCTTGTTTGACTAATCACAGTTTGACTAATCGTCCCAATAACGTTGTTAATCGCTTAAAACCGTCAATTCGGAAGGTTCGCTGCTAAAATTCCGAATCTGCTGAATTTGCGTTTTGGCGCATTCTGGTCGAATGTCACAGTCAAACTTCCAACTTTGACCGACTGGCACAATTTTACCGAGTTATTGGTTTTGCCCACGTCATTTTTCATTTTTGATATATCTTCTGTTGACTTTGGTGCGCTGACATTAGGTTTTTGACTTCCACTGTACAGTTGTAACAGCAACATATGACGTTTGATTTAGACATATATTGGTGTACTGCTGATGGCATCTCCAGACATTTGGAGCATTCAGAAAAAGAGTCACTTTTTGACGCCAACCGTGACATCGTCCCAGGCATTTCGCTAATGAAACGTTTGAATGAATTGTAAGATTTATAAATCTTCACAGATTTTGATATTATCAATCCTATGCTGTCAGGTTAATTTAGGAGTAGCAGATCTTGCCTCGAAATATGTCTCCTCAATTTGATTTAGCTTCCGAGATGTGACATTTTCATGATTTTCGAAAAATTTTCTAAAACTTTAGATGTACAAAACTTACAAAATTTTGATTTTAGCAACCCAATGGTGGGGTGCTGTTAGGGTTCTATCAGGCGTTGCAAATCTTGCCATTAATATGACTGCTCAAATCCGTGCAGTTTTCCAGATATGACGTTTTTTAGAATTTGTTTCACTATTTTTCAAAGAACTCAAATTTTAAAACTGGACAAAAGTTGGAAATTCTCAACTTTGTATTGTAGGGGGTGCTGTCAAGGTACTCTCAGACGTTGCAAATCTTTTCTCCAAACAAGACTGCTCTAATCTTTTTAGTTTCCGAGATATGACGTTTTTCATGCTTTTTTCCGAAAAATTTTCAGAAAACAGGTTTAAAAAATTCCGAAACCTAAAAATCCTCCCTCCAAAGGTGACGGCTCAAATGATTTGGGTTCCGAGATATAACATTGTCAAAATTCTTCAAAAAAACTTGAATAAAAAAAAACATTTTGAATTTGGAATTTCCCAACCTTTAAATGGTGTGTTCGCAGGGTAATCTCAGAGGCTGCAATTCTTTCCTCCAAGTTAGACTGCTCAAATCATCTCAGTTTCTCAGAGATATGCCATTTTGATGATATGTTAAAATTTCGAAGCATCGGAGTTGCGTTACACGCTAGTTTTGCTTAAATTTAGCAACCTTGTTTTCCCCAGTAGTGTATATTGTTTTCTTGATGTAGATTTTTTCTCTATTTTTGAGCTGAAATTTTGAGGTAATTATGCCTAAGCTACCGAAGAAGCTGAGAAATCTGTTTAAAAAGAAGAAAAAAGGAGTAGATGCTGCAGACTACGAGCAAATGGTTGAGAGACATCAAGTTGAAGAAGTCTTGAAGGATCCCACCAAGCTAGCTTTCAGGGTTCAACTAGCCCATGGTTCGCCTACAACGAATGTTTCAAATTTCGCAAATATTGCTCAACTGTATGACAGACTCGGTACGGTTCTTAATGTGAGCGAATCGAGTATTCTTTTCTGTACAATAAATAATTATGCTGTTGACATGGAATGTCTAATCGGCGGAACCATCAATATGGATGATTTTATCTATGTGCACATTGCTGGAAAGACGAAAGAGGTGACTGTGAATAAGTCTGAAGCTGCAATTGGTGAGAAATTTTCATGCTTCATCAGATTTAGGTCAGATACTCCTAACAGGACTTGAATTAATCATTCTCGTGTGCTTTATGAGTTTAATGCTGGCATGGCACTATCCAGCTTGTGCAAAGAATAACGATGGCCCCTATTATAATAAAAAAGAGGTCAATTAAAATGGGCCCTTCCGTCATGCGACGGTCAGTGGCCATACCAACGCTATATATACACTAAAGGACAAAATTAAACGCAATTTTAGGTTTTTATTCTCTAAAATGTTTTCTTTCAAGGACCATTTTGGACAATATTTATTCAGAATTTTGCCAAAAATTTTACATCGACCTGTTGCAAATGATCTAAACTACACTCTCTGAAAGTTTCAATTTTTGATCTGAATCACTTACCAGTTTTTTCTAGGTCTGAAAATGCCAGTTTTTACCATTTGTCTTGAGGTTTCTTTGGGAGTGAACACTTTTGAATAAGCGGATTAGTAAAAACTGATCATGCGAAGTGTAACATTTAAACGAGTATATTTCATTGTTCATGTGATAACTTTCCTAAGCTCTGTTGTTTCTCATAATTTCACACCGTTTGAAAAACCTATAACAAATGGTGAAACTGGCGTTTGAGACCTGGAAAAGACTGGTAAGTGATACAAATCAAAATTTGAATCTTTCAGATAGTGTAGCTTAGATCATTTGTAGCGCGTTGATTTAAAAATGTTGGTCAAATTCTTCTCAATGAGTCTTCTCCAATATGGAACTTGAAAAAAGGCGTTTTTGAGAGTAACAACGTAAATTTGCGTTTAATTTTGTTCACTAGTGTAAATTCATTGGCAAAATTTTATGAATAAATCAAGTCGATTTTACAGGATCCAGAGAATTGTCTATTAAAATCTACCCTCCTCGATTATAGCACTGATGGAATTGTCTAAGTATGTATTTTCAAGTTTTCTGCACCCCCTAAGGCAGAGGATTGCACATGTTATTCGTTTTTGCAATAACAAAAAACATCGTTCACGAACTCTAATGTGCTTTGTCTCGAACTGATCTTTACACTTGTGCAATGCGAGCAATCTCAAATCGGAATATGGATTTTTTCAGGGTAACAACTTGTGAAACAAAAACTTTTGAATCATTAGGCACCTTGGTTCATATGGAATCAAAATCAAGGAATTGGTGCGAACTTGTGGCGAAGCGGTAGCAAAAAAGCCTGCGACGACAAAGTTCCGTGGCTCGAATCGTGTAAGAATTTTTTAAAACTCCAATTGAATTTTTGTTAAATGTATTTCATTTAATTGCAAATCATTGGGTTCGAGGAAACTTTGATGAATTTTGAAATTGTTCGTTATTTTTATTCACAATTTTTTGGAGCTTGTTTTGAAATTTTTTAATCTGTCTTTTTTATTCAGAAATTATGAAAGAAAAAGTCAAGGAAAAGAAAAAGACAAGGAAAAGAAAAAGACAATAATTAGCGATTTTTTTTATTGCAATAATTTGAAAATATATACGTATATGCCAGTACGTACTATCGCGTAAAAATCGTTTTTGTTTAACTCTTTCGGAAATATTTTTTTTTCGCCTGGTTTGTTTTTCAATTGAGCTTTTATGAATCATAAGTGCCAGAGAACGGCTAGATCGTAATCATTTTGTAGTATTTTAATTATTTTGCTTGAATTTAGCCAGCGATTTGAAATAGGAATAAAAACTCTTTTTAGGGCAGCAACTTGTCCAGCAAAATCAATTGAATATTTGAGCGGCTGACATGCTTAGTTTCTTGAAAAATCAAATTCAGCTGCTGGCTTATTTTCAGGTTCTTGAGTGTCGGCTAGTTAACCTTCGATTTGGGTTGCTAAGGTTTTCCGGTTTTTCTGAGAACCCGGCTTCGAATGCTCAAAATTATTCCATTAAGACAGATCTTTAAAAACAATCAATTGAAACATGGATTGAATTTATTTTTTGATTGAAACTAATTGAAACTATTTTTTAACCCTCCGGAAAGGCAAGGGTGTTGCAACCGGGTACTAGACTTTTTATACCGTAAATTATTTATGCTTCAAATTAAAAAACGTCGTTCGCAGGTCAAAATTTCCACGTGTTTGATTTGCTTTACAAGGAGTTCAAATTCAAGGAGCATTAGTAGTAGTATTGTAGTTGCATTATCTGAGTTGGATTGCAATGTCCGCTATTGCAGATCAAGGTGAAATAATTCCAGTAGAACATTGTTAATTACCCTTCCCATAAGCAAGGTTATTGCAATCGGGTACTGGACTTATCCCGAAAATAACACTGTTCGCAGGACTTATTTGGACCCCTGTTTGTACCTTGGTTTTGGTTCATAATGAGTTCAAGTTTCTTAGTGTCTCATGCATTTTTAGCCTGGAAGTAAACAAGAAGCCTGGCACGGCAAAGGTCCTAGGTTCAGTCTGACGAGGACCTGTTTTTTTCGAACGGATAATTTCTATTTCAAATGAAACTCTAATATTTGTCGGCTTAGTTGCCACATCTAAGAATAGTTTGTTTTAATGCAAACTATTTTTTATTGTAGCTGGCAGAGATGTTGCAAACTATTTTTTTTAGACTTGGCAGAGATGTTGCGTTTCAGGAAGTGTTACGCCTTTCAGGATCTGGTGCATCGCGTTTCACAAGTTTGACGTTATCACACCCAATTCCTTCTGTTCGTTCTTCATATCGATTTTTTTTGCTATTCAGTTTATGTTCATGATCAATATTTTTTTTTTGGTAGTAAGTTTTATTCGTTCTCATTTTGTTATCTTTGGACCATTTTTTAAAAGTCGATGAACTTAGTTCAGACTCTTATATAAGTCGCGATGTTGTTTTTTGTTTTCTTTTTCCAGGAAAAATCTTAAATTTTTGAGCTGAAGTTTGCTTTTTTGCGTTTTGGCTTCTGATTTTTTTCAAGTGCCTTTCATTTCCTGGTAAACCTGATAAATAGATGAATGCCTCATTAATATCAAAGAATTTCAAGCCTTTTTCAGAGTAATAATTTTTTTTTGTTTTTTTTTTTTCAGGAAAAAGTCTTACAATTTGTTCACGCTCAATTTTGATTGTCGTGGTTTGAGTTGTGATTTCTTTTTAAGTTTAGTGCATTCATTTGTTAAAAAGAATGTAAAACCCGCTATTGAACAGCTAAAGTGTAAAGGCACTAAAAACGTGTTCGATTTTTAGTTTCGAAGATGGCATTTATTTTCCAGATTTCAGCGAAACAAAAAAACTTACTTGTGATTCAGTTTTCTCAAATGGGGTCAATTTTATCATCAAAGCCAATCATAATTTGCTCTAGAAATTCAAAGAGTTTTAAGAGCATCTGTTTTTTCTGGTAAAATCGAAGGTTGGGATTTTTTCAATAGACAGGCGGTGTGTTTTTTCCGTTTACAATCGTTCATTAACTCTTTTCCAACTGCCTGTTGGCTCCATTCAGTTTGATCGATGTTGAATGGAAGGTTTGTCAGATCACATGCCGTGTCCGTACTAGTTCTTCCAGGATTTGCTTTTTCTCGTCTTTTGTTGAAAAGACCGGTGAGACCGCTCTGACGTCCTCTTTAATTCTGTCAGTTTTTGTATAGACACTTGTGAAAAGTTCACAGAAGAACATTGCCTTGTGCTAGTCCTTAATTTTTATTCGTTTTGTAAAATGCCTTGTTTCTGGAAATATACTATTGTTTCCAGTCGGAGATTTTCGTTCCTTGGAAGGTTTCTCTTCGAATTCTGTTTGGTCGTGCACTTGTGTTTTACTTATTTTGTTTTCCATTTTTTCAAGTCTATTAGTTTTGCCAGGTTTGATCTTTTGACTATTTGTCGCTTGAGATTTGTTAGATTTTTCATGAGGTCTGAAGTCTTGGTTTTGCCCATAAAGGCAATTTTGATCTGTGAGTTCTGCTTTCCGGAACATCATCGTTTGATTTCTGCTCGAAACTTTTTTTTTACAACTGTCTCGACCGGAAGGTTTGCCAGATCAGTTGTTACAAATTTATAGTCATCAGGGTAGCCATTTGGTATACACTGTTTCACTTTCTGAAGCAGTTCTTTGACATAAAGAATAAAAAAGAGGTCCATGTTGCGATCCTTGGGGAACATCACTTGTAACTTCGGTGGTTTCAGAGCAGATTTCGTTACTTTCGTAGTATACTTTAAGTAAGCATTCGATAGTGATCCCTTATAAACTATTAATCAAAAAAGTAAAAGAACCCAGAATCTGAATATACTCTCAAACAATCTGACAAACAGAAAGCCGTATTTGAAAGTCAATTTGATATTTGCGTTAATTTGCTCCTTCCCAGCTGTCTGGTGGCTCAATTTTTTTTGCTTTGTTCTAGTACATTGTTTTGGTTTTTTTAAGTTTGAACTATTGATGCTTACTTGAATTTTGTTGAACGTTTTCGTTTTCTTTTAGGAGTCCGTTTTTGTTCAATTGATATGTGTTCTCTGATCTAATTTGTCTTGGCTGTTGTAAAATGCAGAAAAATTGTTCTTTGCTTTAGTTTTTTTTTTTATTTCAAAAAGGAATAAGATAGCAGTATGCGCTAATAATCTGTGCTAATTCCCAAATGGTTTCATGGCCTGTCTTCAGTCTAATGTAGTGCAGCTAAGTTTCTGAGACACCTGTGAACGGTTCTGGAGCTCCAATGGTACTCTCACAGGCACATAATTTGTTGGCTTGGTTTGTAAATTTAATAGATTAGTTACACACAATGTAATTTCCAGAAATCAAAGTATTGCAATCGGGTGATAGATTTGTTCCCCCATAATTAGGTGAACGCCTCATTAACATTAAATAGTTTCAAGCCATATAAAAAGTAATGAACGTAGCGAGTACTCTTAAATAGTTTCGGTAATTTTTTTTTCAGGAAAAAGTCTTACAATTTTATTTGTTCACGCTCAATTTTGATTTTTCGCGGTTTGACTTGTGATTTTTTTTATAAGTTCAGTGCATTCCATTGCTAAAAGGAATGTAAACTTCACTATCGAATAGCAATAGTGTAAATATTACGAAAAACGTGATTGACTTCTAATTTCGAAAATGGAATTTAATTATCAGATTTCCCAGCGAAATAAAAGTTCTGCCTATTGATCCATTTTTCTCAAATCTCAAAGTGTCCATCATAAATTGTTCTACAAATTCAAACAGTTTTAGGGCCATTTATTTTTTTTTCTCCGATGTTCAAAAGTTGAAGGTTTTTGAAAAACAAAGATTTTTTTTCCCAGTTTCCTTGCGTTCATTACTCTTTTCCAACTGTCAGTTGGCTATGTTTACCTTTGCGATAAGCAAGGGTATTGCAATCGTGTAAAAGATTTTTTGACCCGTAAATAACTTTGTTCACAGAATGGTCAAACTTAGAAATGGTAAATTTAGCTAACGAATGCGCCTGGCACGGCAAAGGTCCTGGGTTCGATTCTGACTGGACATGTTTTTTTTTCCAAATGTGAAATATTCTATTGAAAAAAGTGACCTTTTTTGTCTGCATATGTTTTGTCAACTTTTAATATAGGCTTTTGTAGTTGCTTTTAGTTTTTTTGATTTTTCTACCGCTTAATTTTTACTAACCTTGAGTTCATATTTATGTTTTTCGCTCAAAGACGTTTGTTCTGCCCAAATGATTTTGGTTTAATTTTTATCGGCTCAGTGACCTTATTTTTTAGTCGTTTCAAGGGAAACAAATTTTTTAATGCTCCCTTTTGGATAAAGTTTTTTAGATAAAAGTTGATTTTTGTGTCGGCTCAATAATTTTGTCACAATTGTTGTCTGCTTATTGGCCGGTTGTTTATTTCTGTAGTAATTTTAAAAGATTTTACAATTACTTTTTTGTTAGAGTTGGACTGAAATTGTTTCTTGTATAATTTTTTCAATGTTTTTCTTATTTAAAAAATTGCAATAGGCCTTTGTTTTGATTTTTCTCATTTTTTTATTACATAATTCTGGATCGCAAAAAGTGCAAAACTCTTTTTCGTTTCTGTCATAATTTTTTTTGATAGATTTTAATTTTGATTGCTATTTCTGAATTTAGCATCAATTATTTGCTTTTAGGCATAACTATTACGGATAACGGCAATGGAAAAGCACTGGTGAAGCGTGTGAAACCTGAAAGTGTCGCCTCAAAACACAAAGAAATCATGCCCGGTGATCATATTCATTCAATAAACGGGGAGTCAATGGTTGGTTCCAGACACTACGAGGTGGCAAAAGTTCTCAAAAGTCTGCCAGTGGGAGTTAACTTCAAGGTGGTGCTGATTGAACCCAGAAAAGAATTTGACCAGATCGCACCGAGGTCTCAATTGGGAAAGACAACGGCTGCTTCGAACCTCGCCAGGACTCTATCAGGTTAATTACATAGATTGCATTGCTTTAATCTTTGAGGTTTCCCTATGATTTGGTTACTTTTGTCTCATAGACAAAAACAAAAGATGCAAGGCCCAGCTTTGCTAAGATCAGCTTTGCATGCCCCAGAAGTGTAATTTTACGCATCAGGTGTTAGTTATATAAAAAAAAACAGTTAATTGAGAACTCATTAAGTGCCATAGTAAAAAAAAAAGGACGGCTTAGATGTTGTATTCTTTGGAGGCATGTGTGACGCTTAGAATGCGCTATCGAAGTACTTACCCACTTTGTTGGGGCGCGCATCAGTTTGAGTTTTAGTTGCAAATGCGAGAAAACAAACGGCATGCTAAGCGGCACACATGCTAATAGGGCGATCCCAGTATTCACTTGATGAGGGTACCGATCTTTTAACAGACCTATCCTTCAGCAGAAAAAGTGAAATATAGTCTTTAGCAGACCAACCTGATAAAACTGACGCATAATTGATTGAGAGTCATAAAAATACACTCTGTCGTTGGTCAAGCTTCCCTAATTAAGACAATTATCTCAAAATTTGTCCACAAAACTATCAATGTGAAAAAGACAATAATCTAAATTGGGGGTATAATGACATGCATGCAGGCCGCTTAGCATGCGCAATAGAAAATAATTACTCACTTTGATGCCGCACGCATCAGTTTGAAATTTAGTTGCAAATGTGACAATACTGGGGCCTAGGAAATTAGACTACAAAAACTAAATTAGACGGTTTTTTTTAGAGATCTTGCATTTTAGACGTCACTGCTATGAAAAGGAAAGTGTCAAGCAAAATTTTTTCTTAAGAGTCAAGTTTCACAAATACAAAAAGAACATAAATTGACATTACCTATCAAAACAATTAGTTTAAATGAACCTAAAATGTCAAGTCCGAATATTACCGGAGACTTTTTACACAAGCAAATCAGCAAAGCTTGTGTGATATTACGAACTCACTTTTTTTCCAATCTAAGTCGCAAGTATTAGTGCTCTTTTTGAAAGTGCTCTTTTATTGCAGTATATGCATAAGATCAATAACCAGCGATTAAGTACAGCGAATTCTAAGGATATTAACACACACTAATGTATAACAACTAGCGTTTTAGCTTCAAGGTGTTATGGTTCTGTAGCGTAGAGGTAGAGGTAGGGAAGGAGACCAGCAGCAAAATAAGAGGGTTCGAACGTCAACAGGGTCGCATGTTTTTAATGAACTTTTTCGTATACTAGTTAAAATGCGTCTGCTCTATAAATTGAGGCATGTTAGTTGGTAATTTTTTTTTCAAGTTGACTGGTACTGCTAATGCGTCATAATTGGCTTGAGTCACTTAACAATTATGTAGACTCATAATTGGCGTGCGTCACTTAAGAAATTTTGTAGACTCAAAGTTTTACTCATTTAGTTTTTCTCAGTAGCGTTGTCGGTCATATTTTTGCTTGTGTATACGAAGTGCAACTTCGCCTCTGTGTGAATTGAATAAACTATGCATGATTGACATCTAAAATTTTTGGCCACCGAAACATAACTGTTGTCTGCATACAAACAATTTTATTTTTCTCTTGCAATTTGTCTGCAAACAGTTTTAATCTCTCTCACTTTAGTCTATTTCCTCACAATTACGTTTTTGCAAAATCGTCTAACTTCCTTTTAAGTGCCTCTGTCTAATTTGCTTATCGTCTAATTTCTCAACCCCGATAATACTAACTCAATTCTAATCACCCTAATTGCCGCATGTTCAGCGGCACGCATGCGAGTAAGCCGGTCCCAAGTTTCAAAAATTGACTTACATTTTAGCATGCTGGAACGAAAGTAATTTCAGACACGAACAGTACAATTACGTCTAATTTGCTTGTCTAATTTCCTATGCCCCGTGCTGAATGTAAGCGCATAGGTGCAAGCGGTCGCTCCTTGCCGATGCCGCAATTGAACTTAGTGTTCTGACTTGCTTAAAGATCGGTCTTCTGCTAAAATGGTCTGCTTAAATAACTAGGACCACTTGATGACGATGCCTTAATATTAAAAATTTTAATATGGAGTGTTTTTGACATTTTCTCGAGACTTCATTTTATGATTCTAAAGTGATTTGACGCATATATATAACGCTGGTATGGCCCTATCTAGCTTTTGCACGAACCGTAACTACACGGGAGGGACCTTTAATTAAGTTTTTTTTTTGTTTCAGTTGTTAAAGCCATAAAACGCTTCCAATCATTATTCGAGTTGAATTGAAAATGTTCCAAACTTTTTCTGTGCCGAGAAAAAATGATAAGCGTCAAAAGGGCGAAAAAAAAAGAAATTTTTTCGTTCAACCTTAATCCCCTCACCAGAAATGGTTTTATTGGAAAATCTTGTTTTTCTTACTTTTTCTCAATGTTTTTTGCAAGGATGATTGGGATCAGAGCATTTTGCGCTAATTGCACTGTAACTGGATATTCTTGCTTAAGTAGAGTTTAGAGAAAACCTGCCTTTAAATGCTTAAGTAGACGCTCGGTTTCAAAAGTTGGCTGAACGAAAGCGACCTTGCCTAATTGTATGCATCTGAAAAAGCGCATAAGATCGTCGCAGAGCAGTTTTCAATATTAAATGAGTAACCAATTTGAAATGAATTAATTTAGCCATGTTTGGCAACTAGACGGCCATGCCTTTGCAGTTTTGTGGGACTCGATAGGTAATGTTTCGCGGAATTTCTTAGCAAAGAATGCTGATTAAATTACTTGCGACCAATTGTAGCTTTTCATAATAGCAACGAATTGCCGCCGTGCCCATCAAACGAACACCGTGTTTAGTTTTTTTCCATAATATTTTGAGAGACTGTTTCAGTAAATGTTTTTTTTTAGGTCGCGTGTCTCTTCGATTGAGACGAGATGGCAATGCAGCTGTAACTGACATGCCGAGTGATTTTGACCTGCGGGCTACGAAAGAGGTCGATGACCTGCTAGAGAACTACTTAGGCATCAGAGACAGCGAAATGGCCACCAGTATTGTAGAGGTAATTACCATCTATTTCTTAAGCTTGTAAATAGTTTTGCGGAGTTCGACGTTCTCAAGAATTTTGACGCATTTATCTTTTAGTTGTACAATTTATGAACCCCGGAGAATTTGAAAATTTTGGTTGTCTTCATTAACGCCGATTTAGGTGTCAGTGTTTGTGAGAAAGTATTTGCGAGACTGAGTAAGAGTCATGAACGTAGTGAATACTCCTATATAGGTATTGATGGATTTTTGTTTTTTTTTCAGGAAAAAGTCAAAAAATTTGTTCACGCTAAAATATGATTTTTAGTAGTTTGACGATTGATTTCTTTTTTAGTTCAGTTCATTTCTTCGTTAAAAGAAGGAAAACTCCACTAATCGAACAGCAAATGTGTAAAGGTCACAAAACAGGTGCTCGACTTCTAGGTTCGAAAGTCGATTTTAATTTAACTGATCCAGTTTTTTCAAATTGGGTTAATTTTATCAGAAAAGTGTCAACCTTAAATTGTTCTAGATAATTCAAAGAATTTTCAAGCCTAATTTTTTTTTTGTGAAATTCGAAAAATCTAAGTGTATTATTTTTTCTGTTTCCTTGCGTTGGTGACTCTTTTCCAACTGTCTAATGGCTATGTTTTATTATTTAATTGGTAAATACTGGTCCTAAGTATGTCATAACTTTCTCAGTTTTTTTAAGTTGCGAACGTGTTGCAGTGGCGGAAGGGGGTAACTGAAGCTTAAGTTATTATTTTGAAATTAATTTGATAAAAAAAAGTTTTGAAATTTAGGTGTACAAAGAGAAAAGTAGTCACATGGCTGACTTCGCAGAAAGCCTGAAGACAAAGTTCTTGGTCGATCTTATCAGCGAAAACGAGAAACTGCTCTACTCTCTCTGGTCCAAACTCGGAGAGATCAAGAGATCGAATCCCACACTTGCAGACCTTTCGCAGAAACAAAATTTTGAAGACGAGAGTGACTGAAATGAATCGTTTCTTTGCTCTTTTAATCTATTTCCAATTTTAATCTAAAAAGTTTTATTTGCTTAGATTTTACGACTTAAATTGTTTGGTATCAATTTGTAACGATTACTTTAATTAATTCGGGTTGTGCACAATGTTTTCGGCGCACAATGTTTTCGGGTTGTGCACAATGTTTTCTTCAAATTTTATTGTAAATTACTATGTGAGATTCCAGATATCAGGGTAATATCGACCACTTACATTGAATTTAAATTCAATTTGTTGCTCTGAGATTAGGAAAAAATACAATTGGATAATGAGTTCGTTTGTTTAAATATATTTTTATATTTTTATTAATGAGAGCAAAAGGATGATCAACTTTTTCTGATTTATTTAATGGATGATCCGGCGATGTCCCTTTGACTTTTTTCCCTTATGGCATAAATAAGGAGTTTTCATTTGAATATGATGATTTTATGAAAACTTATCAGAATTGAATTATCGTGAAAAAGAACAAAGTCTAAAAAAGTTTTCAAATAAATATTGGTTGGCAATTTGTTGTGAGTCTAGTCTGATCAGAATATTGATCAGAATAAACCTTCAACCACAAGTTTATGGTTATAGTAAGAATAAAGAACAGTGTTTGTGATGAAGTTGTTATCACAACTGAATGGTCAATTTGTTCGCAGAAAGTAACTCCATTTTACACCTACATTATCATGGCTTTAGTTGCATGGATTTTATGCTAATTGAAAATGTTTCATTTTATGCCATCTGGTAAACGATTTATCATATTTGACCTGTTAAAATCTGTGTTTGTTAATAATTGAGCTTATTTTACTAGAGTGGACTGAATCCTTTCGATAGAGCCATATAGTGCGCTTCAAACTGAGTACATTTTTTGGTCTTTTGACCTGAACCCTTTTCCCAGGCATACAATTAACTTTTTGAATGTAATCTTGCAAGATATTTTGCCAAGAGCAACAATGGTAAAAATGATTTCCTTCATAAAACACAATTTGTTTATATCTGAATCAGACAAATGAAATGAAATGAAAGATTTTAATGGCCAAGGAAGGGAGTAGGGGGTTTTAGAGCCATGATCTCAAATGTGTGTGAATGAATAGTTACATCTTCACTGTGTGTGAGTGAATGAATTTTCCTGTGTAAATTTATGTAAATATTTGTTCTTTAATTCAAAATATTGCTCTTTTGTAAGAAAATAAAGGTTCAATTCAGAACTTAAAATCGAAAAGACTTTGAAAACTAAATAAAATAGAAAAAAATAACCTTTGTTTTCCTACAGCTCTGCATCTTATCGATGAAGCATATCAATTTCATTTTCGCTCGTTTTAATTTTGATAGATATCGGCCGCTTAGCTTCTTCTTTCTATCAAATAGACATATCCCTTTTTTATTTTCTCAGTTTTAGTTTACTTTGTAATTGGAAAAGAAAGAAATAAATGGTTCATAGCACATGTTTTGTTTTCATGTTCAGAAGTGAGAACTAATGTCTCCTTCCGAAAGGATGCAATGTGGTAATGGATAAAACATACATATTTATTGACTTGAGCAAATCTTTTCCCTAACTTTTGTTAAACCACGTTCGGTATCGTAATATATACCTTTGTGCTATGATTTAGTCTTCGAGAATAATCAGATGTCTCATATCTTCTTTTGAGACCTTTGAATTTATAAAAGGAAAATACATCTAAAAAAGACAATTGAAAAAGGCTTCAGTATAGACACGGTCAGTGCACAAGATGGTTAGAGCCATTCCACGCCTATGTAATTACGCTTGCGATTAGCAAGGATCGGTTGCCAAATCGGAATAAAGAATTTCTTTTCCTGTTAACTAGTTGAACAAAATCACTTGACACCTTGGCGTACAACCAAGGCGTCAATCCACACATAAAATCCAAGGTTACGCATATACCTTTTAAGATGAAGATCTTGGGATCGATTGACCCGGATCTGTTATTTGCAAAGGAAGATATCCGTGTGACAAAAAAGTTTCTCGCCAGACTTGGTCAGCTTGTCAGCTTTTTTTAACGGCATAGTTGCCGCAGCACTGTACTTTCATATAATTTCAGCAATTTTACTATAACTGAAATTATTCTCAATGCTTGCTGGTTCTGTGCTACTATTTGCATTCCAAGAATATGTTTCCTTAAAAAATGTATCTTTTTTGGAAGCCTTTCAGAATCTTCCTTATTCAGAAGAAAGCAATGAACAGCGCTTTCTATAAAAGTTTTTTGAAATTATGATTCTTTCTGATTGCAATGTGGAAAAATATGTACTACGGCATAAAAAATGTTCCGATTTTCCTCCTTCCAAAAGATAATTCATTCGCCTGGTTTGAATTTGTCAAGTGAGCTTTTATGAATCGTGAGCGTTAGAGAATGACTGGAAATTATCTTAAGTTATTATACTTCGAACTTCTGTCAAAAATGTTGCTGTACGGTAACTTTTTTACCCGTTTCTTCGGGAACATATTCATGTATCGGCACTTCTCCTGTGTTGAGATTTCAGCAGGGCTTTAAGGGCGGGAAATTGCATAGATGAATGCCTCATTGACTTTAAAATAGTTTCAAGCCTTATTTTTCTTGCAATGAGCAAGAATATTGCAATTGGGTAAAAGACTTTTTTGACCCTTATATAACTTTATTCACAGAATGGTCAAAATTAGAAATGGTAAATCATGATTCAGTTCACAATTAGTTGAAATTCCTTTGTGTCTCCGGCACACTTGGTCTGGAGTCAACCAATGCGCCTGGGATGGCAAAGGTCCTTGGTTCGAATCGGAAAGTATTTGTTTTTTTTTTCAAACTGGAAATTGTCCGTTCCAAAAAAAAGTGGGCTTATTATTGTTGGCTTATGTTTCTTCGGCTTAGTTGCCATATTTTAGAAGTCATTTTTTGAGTTTCTACAATATTAGTGTTTTAATATACAACAAAAAAATTTTTATGCTCACCTCTGGTTCGCAAAAAATGCTAAAAATCTAAATAGAAATTATAGTTCATGTTTTTCATGACAATATTTTTTCCGTTTTTTTTTCGGTTGATAGGTTTTGTCCTAAATGATATCAAGTTATTGGCCCCATAGTGCGTCTTTTGACGAGCGAAAAAAGTTTGTGTGTGCGTGTCTGTGTTTTGAGGGCGAGGGGGACTTAATAGCTTCTTATTAGTCTTAATTTTATTGTGATTTTTTTTCTGTTTTTTGCGCTTAATAGTTTTGGGTTTATATTATATCGGCGTACTGGGCTCATATTGTTTCATTTGACGAGCAAATGAAGTTTTTTGAGTGTTTGTATGTTTTGAGGGTGAGGGGTGACTTATTCGTTTTTTTTAAGTCTCGTTGATTTTGTTTCGGCTTAAAGGGTTACTGACAAGGTATGTTCGGCTTTGTTACCGCTGGGTACATTATCTTCCGATGCTTGTTTCACATTCTTTTGTCTTGGCATTTTTTTGTTTCAAAACTAGCCTTATTTCCGTTTTGATAGATCTGTTTTTTTTTTTCAATATTTTCGATTTTTTTTCTTGATTTATATCGCCAGAGGTGCAAAGCTCAGCTTAGCCCTGAGTATAATATGCGTGTGCTTGATTTTTTTTACGCTTGCGTGTGCCTTGCAAGCATTATCAAACAGGAACGTAGTATTTTTCCGGTAAACAACTTGATAGCTGAAGCTTATAACCAATTCATTTTCAACCACTGACTTGGGGCCGAGGTAATGCATCTGCGTGATGGAAAAACTCGAGGGTTCGAGTCTGCCTAGGACCTGTTCTCTTTGCCTATCGTTTGTCTTTTTGTTTTTTTTCCGCCGGCTTAGTTTCTGCAGTACTTTTCTTATTCGAGCAACTGATACTGTTATTAAAATTCTAAAATTGCTTTGGAGCTCGAAATTGTTTTTCGCTGCAAAGGGAACATGCTGCGGCGCTCAACTTCAGGCAAAATGAGTTTTGAACGCAAAGGTTTTATTTTTAAAATGACAGTCCTGAAAGTCTACAAATGTAAAACACTTGAGTGGGATGCAAAACTTTTCCGTCGTTTTTTCGTTTCCTGAGTTAATTTGCAATATGTATTGGCTTTGATGCAATAAAGCTGAAAATTTGTGGCAAGCATAAAGATCGTTTTTGATTGCTGTTTTCTAAATGATTGGAGAATGGCGTTATTGAAGAAAAAATAGAGTTTTTGAACCAGTTCATGGAGTTTTGTTTTTTGACATTATGTAGAATCGATGAACGTATTTGGGGACTCATGTATAGGTCGCGATGATTTTTTCTTTTTTTTTGCAGGTCAAGTAGCTTTCGCGGTTTGACGTCCGATTTCGTTTTTAGTTGCATTGCATTTTCTTTGTTTAAAGGAGGGCAAACTGGAATATCGAACAGCAAAAATCTAAAGGACTTCTAGTTTGGAAAGTGGAATTTAATTTTCAGATTTCCCAGCGAAATAAAAATTTTACCTGATCCAGTTTTCTCGAATTAAATTGTACTACAAGTTGAAGGAAAACATTTTTTTTGAAAATTGAAATTTAAAAAATGCGTCGTTAATTTTGTTCTGTTTACTTGCGTTTATTGACTCTGTTTATATTGTAAATTAAATAATTTAATTAATTTGGTAAAAAAACTAGCCGTTTTTTTATCTCTTCTAGAGTTGATATGTGATTACAGTCTGCGGCCTGATGGTATGTTTCACGATAGTTCAGAGGTCAAATTTGAGGGCAAGTCCCCGCCGCCGCCCCCTGCTGGCGAGGATCAGGAAGAAGCGAAAAAAGATCGCACCCCAGCTACGCCTTTAACTCTAGATGAAGTTCGATCGTGGTGGGAAGTAGCTTCTATCGTCCACTTTTCCTCTGTATTTCGACCTGCTTTTGAGCTGCCCGAATTTGAATTTGATGTAAGTGAGGCCGTATTGATGAGCAAATTTTTTTTTTGTGATAAAAGTAATGTTGCAAAAATTATCAGTGCTATAGCAGTTTTTCAGAGATTAAAACTTTTTAGGATGGTTTTAATGGCTGCTTATTATACCAAATCTTTAGGAAAATTTAATGTGTATTTTTCAAAAAATTCTAATGTTCGATTCTGATTGAGGTAGCCAAGATTTTAGAAGTGGGTTTGTAGTCGAAAGGCATAGCAGCCATTAAATACTGAACTCTCATTATTTTATTTGACAGGAGTTCGAGGATGAATTGATGCGTGACAAACCAGGAGAGGAGAACTTATTTCTGTCTTACTTGACTATCGACCTTCTGAAAGGCTGCCTCGGACTTCAAGAAATTACGTTAGTTCCATAAAAAACTTTGTCCAGGGTCTCGTTTATCGAGTACTTACTCAATTGTACTTTGCAGTTGAATGAATCGTAAACAGAAATTACTTATTGACAATTTGATTTTAATAGAAGTGGCGTATTTTTCAATCAGATTTTAACCCTTTCAATCAAATTTTTATCTTTACTGTTCTGTATTGGTATCCTGATTTATGGAGAAAAACTTATTTATGAATGTTTTTTTTTATGAGTTTTTTTATGAATGGAAAAGTTCTCGCTTATGTAATGATGAATGGTACAAATGGTTGAAAATGGTTAGAGTCTATGTATGTACACGGATGTTACGAAAGCAAGTGTCTTGATAAATTTTTAGGTTTATGAATTTCAACGATCACCTGAAAAACTTCATTGCCTACCAAACAAGCTCAGATGACAATTTGTCGAGTTACTTTGACGAAGGACGTTGCTTCAGCGATCTTTCCGCATACGATAAAGTGTGTCTAATAAATCGCATTTGTGATTACCGCCTCACCACGTTGGATGCTGCAGAGAAAACTGCTGTAAGTCAAAGAAATATACTTTGTTGACTATTTTGGAGGTGATCATTACACTTGCGAGAGCAAATGTCTTTTTTATCGGAAACAAGACTCTTTTCCCGTAAACAACGTTTCTTACATATTCTTCTCTTCTTTTTTCTTCTTCTCTTCTAGTCCTGGCAAGGGTTCGATTCTCTTCCCTTCGAGTCGTGGATGCGGTCCGAGTCCTAGCCGGACTTCGTTTTTTTTCAGTATCAATGAAAATGAAAAAAAAAGAGAAAAGTTGAATTGTCGGAACTTCGTTTGTCTGCTCAAGTTTTGTCGGCAAAGTTGCCTCTAGACGGATTTTGCTTGTGCTTAGCAGTTTACATAGTTGCAAGTGCAAACGCTGTTCATTCTATATTCAGGGGCGATTATATTCATTTTTTTAATAAATGTTCAAAAAAAATTTTTTTGTTTCGGTTCAGTTGGTGTCTGTTGAAAATTGGCGACTTAGTTGCCATATCACTGATTTTTCTTGTGCTATAAGCAAGTTTTATTGTAGTTCCAGGTCGGACTTGAAACTTTTTGTAAAATCATTTTTTCGGCTCAGTTTTGTCTGCTTAAAGATTGTCGGCTTTGTTTCCGCTTCGTAAGTTTTGTTACGTTGCTAACTTAATATTCAATTGGTTGAATGAACTTCAATTGAGACAAGTGTAAATTTAATTTTTAGTAGACCTAGTTTCAACTTTTTTAAAACTATTTTTAAGTTCAACTGTTTTTTATGTTAGTGTTATCGAAAGTGGTGCGAAGCTCCTCTTCGCCTCTGTGTTGAATATGTAGTTTAAAGGAGACTTTGATTGTAGATTACTTTTTCCACAGAAATTTTGTTTGTCACCACTCGATTTACACGATAGTCGCAGTGTGAATTACATATCTTTAGGATGTTGACGCGGAGTCACTGAGGATCGAACCGTTGGGCACTGACTCTAAAGGAACCACTTTTTGGTACTTTTACGGAAGCAGACTGTACGCGGAAGCAGCCCCAATAGAGAAACCCCCTCATCTGGCCCTGAAACCCCCGTCTACGCCAGTGAAGAAGTCGAAGAAGAAAAAGAATAAGAAGAAAGAAGAAGTTAAGGAAGAGGCAGAGATAGACGATGCTTTTACTGAGTGAGTTATAACTCTAACAAGTGCCTCTACATATTCCAATTTCGTGGTTTTACATGCTGAAAAACTAAAAGTAAATCGTTTAGAATAGCCTAACCAGTCAGCATGCCAAATTTTCTTGCAATCAAATATTAATTACAATTGAGACAGCAAGTGTCTTGCAAGTTATAATAGTAATAGTCATTTTACAAAAAAAATGTCATCTTACAATTGTCATTTACAGAACTGCGAGAATATCAGATATCTCACAATTGTTTACAGCATGTGAGAAATTCTTTCTTTGGATCTTTTAACAGCCGATTCTTGATTTTGACCGAAGGAAAATTGTGTTAACTTTGCCCGGAATGTGGTAACTTTGCCCTGTGCCCGGAATTGTTAGTCTTTTTTTGTCGTTTCAGTTGGAGTGTTCCGTGCAACAACGAAGTGTTCGGTGAGTGGCGTCTGGTAGCCAGTTCTCTCTCCGAGTGGGAGTCGTTAGCCGAGACTTACAGAGACTCGAAGAGAAGCAGAGACCAGGAACTGTTCAGCGTCATCAACGAGAACTTCCTTCCCATTCTGCCTAGTGTAATTGAGGTTGGTACATATTGGGCCTTTTCTTTCCCCAGCCCACATTTGAATTTCAATTTTGAAACATTACGTTCTAAAAGAATGAAATTTCGCACGGTTATTAAATTAACAATTCTGAAATAATTGTTATTCATAACTTCATAAACAAAAAATCGCTCTTTAAACCGTAATAGAAAGCAATGAAAAAGTTTGCAATGTGAGATGGGGGAGTGGAAAAGATCCTTTTATTGTTTCCGTTGCGAGAGTAGTATTATAAGAACAGAACAATTTTTTCTCCACCAAAGTTGCATATTTTAGTAAAAATTTATTGGTATAAAACAGCATGATGTAGCAATATCCGTTTTATTGAAGCATTTCATTGCTGCCTGATATATAAGAATAGGGAGGTCCAAGTACGACTTTTTTGGAAGGCGCATTTTTGTTACTCCTAGTTTTTTCCTTCTGACGTGTTTTGAGCCTCTTTTCATCGTTTGTTTGTTTTGCTGGTTTTTGAGAAGTTCAACTTCGCTTGTGTCTTAATTGACACTTTTGAAATTCTGTCTTTGATCTTAAATTTCCCTAAATTTCGAATTATGTCGATGATGATACGGCGCTTTAGCCACCGAAAGTAGGAACAGATTGTTAGTGATTTTGGGGCAAATAATTAATACTTTTAGTTACCGAAAGTAGAGATTGTTTGCAATTTTTATTGGATTAAAAAAGGGAACATTTAAGTTGCACGGAACTTAAGGCTGCTTTGAGGCGTATGGACGGATTAGTATCTCGTTTTGAGATATTTTTCTAGCCATCGTATCATGATAAGGTATCCGAGTCTCTCTGTGCTAGATTAATTTATTTGACAATTCAGCTGGAGTTTTGTTTGAAAACATGACTGGCCTCTGGTCTTGTTAACAATTAGTTTTGTGATTTGTTTTATTATTTAAATGGAGCATAATCGTAACTTTGTTTTTTAAGTATGCATTCACTTTGTCCTTTATCTTAAGTTCGTAGAATTGGATTTAGATCATGATTTACAGTGAAATGTATCTACCTATCCATACAATATTTTAATGCGTGTGACACGTATCTTGCCGTATTTAAGCGTTTTTTTGCAACAGTTAAGGGCATAGCGTATCCATGCGTGGTTAAGCTATATCGCAAAACTTGAAATTCACAATTCTGCAGATGGGTGCTGTCAGAGTACTCTCAAGAATTGCGAATCTTCCCGCCAAATATGACTGCTGAAAACCTTGTAGTTTTCGATATATGACGTTTTATAAATTCTTTTTAATTTTTGAGAAAACTTGGGTTTTGAATTGAAAATCCCAACCTTGTAGTTGGGTGCTGCAAGGGTTCTCTCGGGAGTTTCAAATTGCAAATGCGACTGCTCAAATGCTTTTAGTTTCCGAGATGTGACGTTAGTTATGTATATATATTTTTTAATTATTCAAAGAACTTAGATAAAAGAAATTTCAGGAATTTTCAAGTTCCGTCCTCTATAGTGAGGCTCTGTCAGGCTACTCCCAGGATTTGCGACTTGTGCCTCCAAATATGACTGCTCAAATCTTTGGAGTTTTCGAGATATGACGTTTTTTCGTGATTTTTTCAAAAAAATTTCAGAAAACTTAAATTGATTTTTTTTTCAAATTTTGAAATTCTCAACCCTGTAGTTGAGGGCTGTCAGAATACCTTCATGATGTCAGGGGTTGAGAATCTCTAAATGTGATTTCTCAAATCTTAAGTTTTCCAGATATGACGTTTTTGATTTTTTTCAAAAGTTTTTCAGAAAATTAAAATTGAAATATTTTGAAATTGCAAGTTTCTAATCCCCCGTAGTTGGGGGCTATCAGAGTACTCTCATGATCTCAGGGGTTGAGAATCTCTAAATGTGATTTCTCAAATCTTAAGTTTTCCAGAAATGACGTTTTTTGTGATTTTTTTCAAAAGTTTTTCAGAAAATTAAAATTGAAATATTTCGAAATTGCAAATTCCTAATCCCCAGTAGTTGGGGACTGTCAGAGTACACTCAGGGGTTGCGAATCTTGCCTTCAGTTGTGACTGCTCAATTTTTGGTAGTTATCGAGATATGACGTTTTTTCTTGATTTTTCAAAAAAAAGTTGAAGTTTCTCAAAATTTGAAATTTCCTACGCGGTAGTTGGGTACTGTAAGAGTTCTCTCAGGAGTTGCAAATCTTGCGTCCACATGCGACCGCTCAATTGGTTTTTGTTTTCGAGATTTAATGTTTTTTTTTTAGATTTTCGAGATTTGATGTTCGAACTTAGATATAAAATTTTTTTAATGGTTTTTCAAATTTTGAATTAAAGAAAATTGAATAAAATAAATCTTATGAAAATTTGAAATTACCAACCCTATAGCTCGGTGCTGTCATAGTACACTCAAAGGATTCATGTTTTCAATATATTTCCAATATATGCGGTTTTTTATGGGTTGTTAAAAATGGAAGCACCGGAGGTGCGTTAAACGCTAGTATTATGTATGTCCAAGCCGATTACAGAATAATCAGTCGTGAAAACAGGCTCTAAAGCGATCAACTAATCGACTGTTGTTCTTTTTACTTTTGTAAACGTCCGAGCTATGAATATTTGCTTGTGACTCGTTCACGTACACGCACAAGTCTGAAGTACAAATTGAATTGAAAATATTCATGGTGATACAAATGGTTTTTGTTCTAAACTCGTTGTTGCATCCAGACGTTTTCATACAAAACTTAATTGTGGTACTGAAAAAATTGAGCATGCGGTCGATTAAGGAATGACGACTTTTTCGGTTTTGTTAAGTCCGAAAGATGACAAATAGTGCTTTGATATGAAGACACAATTAATCTTCTACGGGTTTTTAAAAAGTAATATTCTAATTAGTGTTTAATTAAAGGATCAATTTAGCACTCTCCAGTAATCTCAATTGAAGACACAATTAATATGAAGACACAATTAATCTTCTACGGGTTTTTAAAAAGTAATATTCTAATTAGTGTTTAATTAAAGGATCAATTTAGCACTCTCCAGCAATCTCAATCTCAACAACAGCATTTGTTGTTCTGGCCAAACCCGATGATGCCGCATCCCTTTGATTCCATGATGAAGGGAGGAATAGGACTTCTCGGTTCGGGACGAGACTTTTTATGTAGTTAGATCCAAAATAAAGGCAAATCTCGTCAACTTTTGCTAGTTCTTCCGACTCTTTTTTGGTGCGATCGCAAAAAAATTTTCAGCAAAAAATTTTCAGGTCTACTATCAGAGGCTAGTGTTTTTAGGGCTTCTAAGAAACTATGGTACGTTTTTTCTGTTTTTATTGGCAGGAACGCATATATGCAAGCGGGGGCCTTTCCTGAAATACTAACGTGTATAGAGTAAAGTTGATAAAACATTTTCGGGGTGACCTTGAAAGTTCCATCAGCCAACCAAAAGTTAGATTTTTCAAGCACACGTAGCATTTCAGGGTCGCCGAATAAAATAATCCTCTCGTGATCATTTTGCCCACTGTCAAATCTTATAAAATTTTTGAAAAGTTCGGGCATTTCGAAACTTCTGGTTGCTGGGGAGACTGGTAAGACTTCTTCTCATTGCTTGCGCGCTCGTTGTGCGGTGCGAACTAAGTTTTCTTTGGTTGGTAGGGCTAGTTGAGTGGCAATATCGTCTGTAATGGGCTGAATGGCGGTTGCGACTGCGACAGTTGGAGTATTACTATCGCTCAGATCCTTGATGTTTTCCAAAACTAGTCGAGCATCAGGTTTGCCGGTAGAAATATCGTGATTATGTTCACCCCTCGTTTCAATAAAATCTTCTCCGTCCGTAATTGCTGTTACGCGGCATTTATGAGTTTGGTACTTCGAGCAGTTCCAATTTGTAGTTGTCTTGTTTTTGCGTTTAAGGTAGTACTCGTGGCCTGATACTACTAGCATTTGTTTGCCTTTCGAAGACGAAGTAAACTGGAAAGACGCTTCAAACATTATATCTGATCTGATAGAGTGGTATAACAATGGTTAAAGAAAAAGGCAGTATGATTTTTTTTATAACTCACAAACGTCTTTTGTTGCCTTCAATTTGCACCATGTAGGTTATCTCCGTTTTAAACGCGTGAGTGAGGGGTTATTTCTCTAACTAATCGAAATGCAATTATTTTTGAGATGCTAGTGGCATCAAGTGAATTAAGATAGCGTTTCAGGCCTCAATTAGTACACTTAATTTGACTACTCCTGTACTTAAAAAAAGGACTTAATTTGAAACAAATTATCGTCATTAACAAGGAGTTAAATTGCTATGGGGTTATCTTGTTACTGGGTTATAATATAGGGGGTGTAAACATAGGGGGTTAAATATAGTGGTATTGAAGAGTGGGACACCGTTTATAACCGCTTGAAAATAGTTTGAATGATATGAAATCATAATCCAGATTCTCCAACGAATGTGGAACACCAAAGTGCACATCAAAACTCTTAAAAGTACTTTCAGAGTGAGAAAAATTTGCATCTAAAGCTAGTTGTTTTTCTTTCATAAATGAAAAAAACGCTATTGGTTACATTATAATTAAGGTCCCTCGTGCACTGTTAACTATGTTTTACCAACACCCCACCCCCTCCCCTACGGAAATACTGCTCCTGCGCTTTATATCCCGACTCCTAACATCCCGAACTTGACTAACCAAAACTCCCTACCACACACTGCTCCCCAAATCACCTCTAATTTTCTGAATACCCTGGGTAAGTTTTCATTGTCGTGCATGCCTGTTGTCTATCCTCTGGATAACCGTGTCCGATTCAAAATTTGGTGAATGTGATAATTCAAAGTTTTAAAGTAGCCAGGAAAAAAATATATTTCTTCTATCCGAAAAATCATTCATTTGTGACTCGAACTTGAATTATCTTCCTTGTGCACGGAACTTAAGGTTGCTTTGGTCGAATGGTCGGAAGTATTTTTCGTTTTGAGAGAGACTTCTATTCCATTTGGCCAATTCTGAGGCATCCGAGTCTATCTGTGCTAAATAAATACAGATGAATGTCATCAGATGCTTTGTTAATGCTTCTTTCATTTGATTTGTTACAGACTTCCAATTCGTATCCTACTTCTGAATATTTCCCTAAGCAATTGCTTTTCTAGCAATTATCTTCCTTGTGCATGGAACTTAAGGTTGCTTTGGTCGAATGGTCGGAAGTATTTTTCGTTTTGAGAGAGGCTTCAATTCCATTCGGCCAATTCTGAGGCATCCGAGTCTATCTGTGCTAAATAAATACAGATGAATGTAATCAGATGCTTTGTTAATGCTTCTTTCATTTGATTTGTTACATACTTCCAATTCGTATCCTACTTTTGAAGATTTTCCCCAAGCAATTGCTTTTCTAGCAATTATCTTCCTTGTGCACGGAACTTAAGGTTGCTGTGGTCGAATGGTCGGAATTATTTTTCGTTTTGAGAGAGGCTTCTATTCCATTCGGCCAATTCTGAGGCATCCGAGTCTATCTGTGCTAAATAAATACAGATGAATGTCATCAGATGCTTTGTTAATGCTTCTCTCATTTGATTTGTTACAGACTTCCAATTCGTATCCTACTATGAAGATTTTCCCCAAGCAACTGCTTTTTCTAGCAATTTTGCTTGCTAGGTTTTCTAGCAATCTGGAGCTAAACTTTTTCCTGCTGCTAACGTTGTTTAAATTTCAACTTCTGGGCTCCATATCTACTTTCTAATACGGCTTCTGAATACGGTTTAGTATCAGATTTTGATATCGCACATATGCTATATCAGCCAGTTTTTTTCATGATATTCCTATTTTTTGGCAACTTCTCATCTAAGACTTTTGCTATAGGGAGTATGTCAAGTTTTTGTCGGCTGATTTGCTTCATTGTGAAAGCAGGTTAACGAAAAATCTATTATTATTTCATATGTTCTACCCTCCTGCCCTCCTGAGCGTTGTAGCAGATTCATTTGACTCTATTCTTTGTTTATGGTTGTTGGCTACTCTAATTACATTAATCGAAATGTGCTTGAATAACTTAAAATATTTTCGATCGTAAGAAAAATAAGCAGTTTTGTTTTGGCTTTCAAGTCAATTTTTTTATCGAATTAGTTCGCTAGTTGTTTTTTTTTCAGCAGCGTAATCATAGCTAGTTAAGCGACTTTAACGACAAGCATGAAAGCTGAAAAGCAATGATGCATGTCTGCTTCAGTTTTTTCTTTCCAAAGTTAAGTCGGATTTTTCTGAGCTAACTAGGCAGGAATCGGTTATGCTTGTAGTGATATGTTTACCCTTGCTGTAAGTTTACCCCTTTTTTGTAGTTTTGATTTTCGTCATAGTTTCTGTCAGTTCATATTCTCTTTGGTTTGAAATGCAGTTTACTTACTTATTTGGTAGGTTTTCATGGGCTTACTTTCCAAGGCATAGGTTGTTTTATTGATTCCCATAGTTTTTGCTACAATTGAAAGTTCTGAAATTTGTGATTTTTTTCGGTTTTGTTTCCGATTGAATAGTTTCGGCTCGGCTGATGTTATTTCAGTTAACTCAAACTATATGGCGTAGTTTTGAGGGTAACATTTTTGTTATGCTTTTATGTGGTTCGTAAAAACTTTCAAAACTCTAACTCGAAATTGCTTAATGACAACAGCTGTTTTGTTTTCGGTTCAAATTTTCTTCTTAATTCTGTTCTCTTTATCTACATGTCTCAGGTGCCTTTCTACTTGGCCTGGGGGTACCGCCGTTATCTTTGCACCATAAGTCTGGAGTTCGAGTCTCGGTCGGACCTTGTTTTTTGCAGTTTTTATGCAGATGATTTAACGAAATGGTACGTCGATTAAATAAGAGCCACTTAGCGTAGTGGTAAGATTTTATCTTCGAGAGCTTCAGATCGTGTCATCGATCCCCTGCTATGACAATGATAAGGTGTGAGGACGAGCTCTCTATTGACCTCCAGTTTCAGGTCTACCATAGCCTTACCGACTTCTGCTGCAATAATGGTACCATGTCTAAGTTCTAGACGCAAATTAACGACCTTGTGTCGCAAAAAAAGAGCTTTTTTTGAACAAAATTACTGCTCTGGTATGTTGAAAGTAAGAGAATACGGACTATTCTTATACAGGCTGGATAGCCTTTCATAGATCTTCCCTGCGAATAACAGAAACCACAATTGTTTGTTATTATGCTGTTGTGTTGTTTAGGCGGAGGAGAAGAGTCGTGTGCGCCGAGTGCATGAAATGGAGAGCACGAGACAGAGCAGGCGACTGGAGGAAAAGAGGAAGGAAAAGGAGCTTCAAAAAGTCTGCTGCTATTTTTATCCTTCTTTCTAATGTTTTTTCTCTAATTAGGCCAGTATTATGAACAATTGACTAACATTAAAAATTCTTGAAATCGAAAGAGTTTTAACGTGATGTATTTTCTTCGAGTTTTTTGACACTCTTCCAACATTCTGTTTGCTATGGTTTTATCACAGCTGGCAGAAGTGACAACTATTGGTCTAAAAACTATGCTTAGCCAGGCAAGAGTTCTATTACACAAATTCATGGTTCAAATCATGGCTGTTTAAAAAACGTATGAAAGATTTTTAATACGTTTGAAAGGTTTTAAACGTTTAAACAAAGTTTTAATACATGAAAATTTTTTAAGTGCTGAATAATGAGTGGTGAATGAAACATGTTCATTTCGGACTCAGAGCATTTTTCAGAAACCTACTCCTTGGCTTCCTTCATTGCGGATTGGATCAATTTTTGACCCCCGAACATCGGAATTAAGAAATTAGCAGCAAACCTTACATCTGCAGGCCAAACTAAACAATTTTATAGCCGCTCACTTATTAATAGATGTTACCGTCCTGATGCTTTTAAACACAGCAAAAATGGCCTTGTTTTAAAACAGTTTCAAAACTACAGGTTTTAAAACGTGCCAACCCTGATTTAAATCACTGACCTCGTTCGATTCACAGGCCGCAATTGCCATGCAAGCGTTAGTGCCACATCGTTGCTCGTGGTTTTCTGTTGTTCTATGAGAATCCTGCTTGAGAGATGAAATTTTTTCTGTGCCCTTCAGAAGGCCTTCTGATCGGTGTTGTAGGCTAGTTATGCTTGTGTACAAGTCAAAAGAAGAGGCCATTTATTTATTGCTCACAAGGGCCAAAATAGAGATAACAGATTCAAATTGAAGAGCAATAGAAAATTATAACCAAAATTGAAAGAAAGGCTTTGAGCTTACTCTAAGTATCGTTTGTTTTATGTTTGACCAAACGACGTTGGCTTTTTGGGTGCCATTGAACAAATTGGAGGCACTTGTTTTGGTCGTACGAATTTTGTTCGTCGTTTGTTTTCGATACAAATGTTTGCGATCATTTTGATTTTTCTTTAATTTTTGATTCATTTTTAGCCCACTTCACTCCATTCAGAAAATGGAATATAATTTATGCTGAACATCAGCAAAAGCGGGAAATTGTGATTGACTTATAGTCTGAAAAATTTTAGCGGAACAAAAATTACCTTAAGATCCAGTTTTCTCAAACTGGACCATTTTATTTGAAAAAAGGTCAAACATGCAAGATTGTTAGATTGTTACATACATGCAAGAGTCGATAAACATAGTGAAGTTTGTGATGACTTCTTTCTTGATATCTTTAGCAAAAATTCTTTAATGTTTTACGCTTTTAATTTTGACTTTTAGCGGTTTGACTTTTGATTTCTCAAGTCCACGTCATTTTTTTTGTTAAAATAAAGGCAAAGTACATCATTGAACAGCTTAACAATAAATGTGATCGATTTCCAATTTTTAAAGTGGGCTTTTTTTCAGATTTCTCAGCGGAATAAAAATTTTACCTAATGAGCCAGCTTTCTCAATTTAGGTGTCCATCAATAATTGTTTTTGAAATTCAAAGAGCTTTAAGGCCTTAAATATATGGTTTTTGGAATTCGAATGTTGAAGTTTTTCAAAAAAAACAAGTCATTATTTTTTTTTGTTTCCTTGCGTTCATGACTTTTCCAACTGCCTGTTGGCAAGGTTTAATTTTATCAGTTTTTTCTCAAAATGAAATAATTTTTCTAAAAATTCTATCTTAAATAGTTCGTATAAATCAAAATTGGCAAATTTGCAAAAAAGCATTACATAAACAATCTATTTTTTTTTTTCGTTTTCTAAGCGTCAATTAACGTAGCTCAGACTCTTAAATAGGTCGCGATTATTTCTCTTTTCGTTTTTTTTTTGCAAGAAACTTGTTCAGGCTAATTTTTTTTGTGGTATGGCTTTCGCGATTTCTTTTCAGTTCAATTCGTTTCTTGTTAAAAGCGAAGAAAACCCTCTATCGAACAGCAAAAAGGTGAGTGTCACGAAAAACATGATCGACTTCTAATTTGAAAATGCCATTTACTTTTCAGGTTTCCTAGCGGATAAAAATTTTACCTGTTGATACAGTTTTCTCAAATTGACAAGCTGATTTCGCAAATGTCACCGTTTTTTTAGAAACTGGTTAATCTTTTGGCAGGTATCGTTTTTTGTGGTTTTCGACGCAGATTATTTCACTCCTAGGTTAACTGAGAATATATTTAAATGCCCCTAAGCTTGAAAAAATTTGGTCGCTAACATTGTTAACTTTCTTTGTCTTACCCTCGAAAAGCATTCATATTTTATTATTTGCTATAAATTTGAAATATACCATAAGTAATTTAATCCAAATGTTTTCTTGACCATATTCGCTGGTTGAGATGAATATTTCATTACAATTTTGCGGCAATTTGAGATCGACATTTTTTCCTTCATGGGTAAGTTGCTGTTGTCCTCGCTCGCTGATGACGAAATTTAGGGGTATGCTGAAATGAGTAAATTAATCGAACGTGGAATGAAGTTCAAAACAGAAATAAAAGGATTGAAACATAACTTTCTCAATCTAAGTAAAGCTGAGGAATTTTCCCGATTGTAAGCAAATATTCGCTATGTTTTTTTGTTCTTTCAAAGGTCAGTTATTTTTTACTTTATTCAACAAACTTAATTTGGGAGTGTGGCCAATAAGCTGATATCCTCCATTTCATGCTCGTCAGTTAGCAGACAAATTTAAAAAAAACTTAAATCTGATTGTCTCAAGAAGGATACGAATCGTGATTTCAAGGCTTGCGTTATAAATTTGTAGCATTTGGGTTTTTCAGGAAAAACTATCTTACAGAATCATTTGATAGCGTCTTAATTTGCACATTCAAGATTTTTTTAAAATATTGTTAAAACTGTTTGTCCACCAAGGGAATGAAAAATATACAAGCTGATGATCTCATGACGGAGAACGATTTGTGTCCCTTGTTAAGAACGACATGTTTTTTTTTACTAATTATTGCTAGCTCACCCATGCAAACAACAAGCACGGTTTATGGTAGGCCTCGAACCACTTAGTTGTTGATTGACAAGTGGAGATTTAGCCACTTAACCATAAACTTCATAATCTGTTAATTAAAACTTATAGTCTGTATGGGCTGAATTGGTGGGACTCGAACCTCTGATCTTTAGATTAAGAATTGAAGACTTAGCAACTTAACCAAAAACTTCATTATTACACCGAAGACTTTAGTCAAGGTGTTATGGTATCGTGTAAAGGGTTTTTTTTTATGTTGTCTGTTGTCAAGTGTCGACAAATAACGTCCACAGTTATCAATTATCATGTGGGCTGGACTATATCGCGCTATGTCACGTGATTGCGTATGTTTGTTTCTTTATTTGTTCATCTTTATTTATTTAATTATCTGTTCTTCTATTTATTTAATTATGTTTAGTTTGCTTATATTTATTTATAATTTATGTATGTACATATTATTTTTGTTTATTTTTATCACGTGTTTTGTTTATTTATTTAATTATTCTTTCTTTCATTTAGTTTTGCTGTTATTATTTCTGCGTGTGTATTTATTTAATTTATTTATTTTCATTTATTTATATTATGGGTCTGTTTGTTTGGTTATTTGTTCATATATTTTTTTTCATGTCTATTTAATTATTTGTACATTTCACTTTTGCTTTTATTTATTTATTTATTTATTTATTTATGTATTTATTTATGTATTTATTTATTTATTTATGTATTGATTTAATTTTTTATTGCTTATTTATTTATCAGGTGTGTTTTGTTTATTTGTTGATATTTATTTCTATATTTATTTAATTATTCTTTCTTTCATTTAGTTTTGCTTTTATTATTTATGTATGTGTATTTATTTCATTTATTTATTTTCATTTATTCATATTATGGGTCTGTTTGTTTGGTTATTTGTTCATATATATTTTTTAATGTCTATTTAATGTACGACCAATAAATTTTACACCTTAATTCTTAAAAAAAAACATTTTCAATTCTTCCCTTGCCATTCTGAACAGGTGGTTACAAAGTTTTAGCTAGTCACTGTATGATTTTCTGCCAGCAGCTCAACTGGTCTGTGTATACTTGTATTAGGTACACAGTTTTTTTTTCAACTGCTGTGTATACTTGTATTAGGTACACTGTAGTTTCAATCAATTGATCTGTGTATACTTGTACTAGGTACACAGTTATTCTATTTCAACTTTTGTGTATACTTGTATTAGGTACACTGTAGTTTCAATCAACTGGTCTGTGTATACTTGTATTAGGTACACAGTTTTTTTTCAACTGCTGTGTATACTTGTATTAGGTACACTGTAGTTTCAATCAACTGATCTGTGTATACTTGTATTAGGTACACAGTTTTTCTATTTCAACTGCTGTGTATACTTGTATTAGGTACACTGTAGTTTCAATCAACTGGTCTGTGTATACTTGTATTAGGTACACAGTTTTTTTTCAACTGCTGTGTATACTTGTATTAGGTACACTGTAGTTTCAATCAACTGGTCTGTGTATACTTGTATTAGGTACACAGTTTTTCTATTTCAACTGCTGTGTATACTTGTATTAGGTACACTGTAGTTTCAATCAACTGATCGTGTATACTTGTATTAGGTACACAGTTTCTTTAGTTTAACTGATCTGTGTATACTTGTAATAGGTACACTGTAGTTTCAATTAACTGGTCTGTGTATACTTGTATTAGGTGTAAAACAGGAGGCGTTTTGCTACACATACAAACACAATCTTTTGTATTTTATTATAGCTATAGAAATTGATCTACAATGCGTAAGTACGACATTTAGTTCTACGATTGTTATTTCAGGTCCTTTGTCAATATTTCAGGCTCTTTGTCAATATAGCAAAATTTTGGTGTATATATGTGTTAGTAAGATTTTTAGTTCTACAACGTTTATTCAGGCTCTTTGTCGATATAGCAAAATATTGGTGTATACATGTGTTAGTACGATTTTAGCTCTAGAATTATTATTTCAGGCTCTTCGTCAATATAGCAATATTTTAGCGTATACATGTGTTAGTACTATTTTTAGTTCTCGAACTGTTATTTTATGATCTATGTCAATATATCAAAATTTTAGTGTATACATGTGTTATTACGATTTTTAGTTCTCGAACTGTTATTTCATGATCTTTGTCAATATATCAAAATTTTATTGTATACATGTGTTAGTACCATTTTTAGTTCTCGAACTGTTATTCCATGATCTTTGTCAATATAGCAAAATTTTGGTGTATACATGTGTTAGTACGATTTTTAGCTCTAGAACTGTTATTCCATGATCTTTGTCAATATAGCAAAAATTTGACGTATACATGTGTTAGTACGATTTTTAGCTCTCGAACTGTTATTTCATGATCTTTGCCAATATAGCAAAATTTTGGAGTGTACATGTGTTCGAACGATTTTTAGCTCACGAACTGTTATTTCAGGCTCTTTGTCAATATAGTAAAATTTTGGTGTATACATGTGTTAGTACGATTTTTAGTTCTAGAAGTGTTATTTTATGATCTTCGTTGATATATCAAAAATTTAACCTATACATGTGTTAGTACGATTTTTAGTTCTAGAACTGTTATTTCAGGCTCTTTCTCGATATAGCAAAATTTTGGTGTATACATGTATTAGTACGATTTTTTGTTCTAGAACTGTTATTCTTCAATTATTAGTTGTTCAAGTTGTTTGGTTTTTGCTTCAGTTTCTATGCCTTCGGCGTATTGCGCGTAGCGCCTATGTTCTGTATGAGCGAGTTTGTTCAATTATTTTTATTGAACTAGATGGAAGAAGAGGAAGCGAGACGTGCGGAAGAGCAGGAGAAGCGCGAGGCACTGAAAGTGTTGGCGAGAGAGGAGGAACAGCGAAAGGCTGAATTGGCCAATCAGGAGAGACTGCAGCGAGAGGAGGCCAAGGCTGTGCTAAGAGACGGTAGGCTAACTGATACGCCACACCCAGGAAATCCGAATCATATCGTATTTTATCGGGAAAAAGCTTATGTGCCATATGGTGTTTTTTTCTAGGTCATATGGTGTTTTTTAGACTAGTTCATATTTTACTCTTACACTGATGAGTTTTTTTCTTTGCGCGCTTCCCCTCAAAGTTAATATTTATGGGCGCCTTTAGAAAAATTTCAAAGTCAGTCGGCCGAAAATGGGTGTCGTAAAATAGTACCAAAAGTTCGGAGATTTTAAAAATTTTGATCAGGCTGTTTTGTTTAATTTTACAAAAACCCTTGGGTATTAATATCATTTCAGTTTTCAAACTAGTTTAATTGATGAGAGATTTAGAAAATTTTGAATCCCGCTTTGAAACTTTTTAGTTTTGCAAGTTTTTCATCTATTTTTTTGCCATTTTTGCTTGATTGCGAAGAGCAGCTTCGCTTATGTGTAAAAACGTAGAATTGTCACGCTCGATTTTTTTTCGTGGTTTGTTGAATAGGGTAACGTTTATCCAAAACGTCGATAAGAAATTTTTTGTCCAATTTGTAACTTTTAGTCAGTTTTGATGAAATCGAATATCAAGAAAACAAATTCATCAAATTTTTCTGCTATTTTCAAGTAACTCTGCTTTATAGAACGGCAGAAGCGAGTGGCCATGCGAGAGGAAAGAATCGCTCTCATTCGAGAGGGGAAGCCACTCCCCCCTTACCTCATGGGCACTTCCTGTGACTCACCGGCTACCAGTCCAGCACACAGCAGCTTCGAAGACAGTTTGCCTAACGGGGCTCAATCAGAAGGGAAAAATGGCCGCGTGGATGAGGTACAGAATAGTTTAACTGAGAATAATTACTTTAATTCTCATTCTATACAATTTTTTAAAATTAATATCTTAATCAAGGGTATATAAGCAGTTTTGTTCAGTTCAAAGAGCTCAGCTCAGCATTGCCAGTTTTTGCTTCTTTCATTTCGTGGAAATATGTTCGGAAGTTTTTAATTGAAATAAGTGATGTTTAAGGCCTTCTTGAACTATGAAAATTTAATTAGCAGAGTCGAAATTGAATACTATAAAAGAAAACGTTTCCACGTACTATTACATAGAGTTTTGTATGCTCTAATAAGCTGTAAAAGAAATGGACAAATATAATTAGTTGAAAAGCAATCTGCCATAATTTAGCCTTTAAATATGAGTTTTCCGGAGACCAGATATAATCTTTCTGAAAATCTAATGTTTTAGCGTAAACTGTCATTTGCTCTTTTAATTAAGTCTGCCGGTTGAAACTTTTACAGGGGCTATTCTCATACGCGAAAGACCGAATGCGCGAAATTTCCCGACCAATCAAGCTTTTAAACTGTCCAAAACTGACTGATTTTATCGCTTACTTCCTTCGAAATTTATGATTAATGAATTCTGATTGGCAGATCTTTTTCGCGCATTCGTTCCTTCGTACTTGAGGAATCCCCCTTTTTGGAACGTTCTATAAAACTCTCTTGGATTCGTTGGTGTATCAGGCATTGAACTCCAGTTTCTCATCTGGGGCTTCGAAGTGGAGGGGGAGAAAAAGAGGCAATCAGTGTGAATTGAGTGGAAGTAGTGCAGACGAAGATTCGCTAGATGAAGACGAAGTCACGACTGGAATCTTGAAAGGTAAGGTCTACACTTTTGGGCAGATTCAAATAATATTGGCGACACGTTGACACAGTAAAGGGTTTATTAGGAGGGTGGGTGTGGGTTATTTAGTTGGCTTCATTCAGTGATGAGTGTTTTTTTTTCATTTTAATTGAAATTTTGTTTTCAATTGAATTTTTTTTTCTCATTTAAATGATCGAAGCAATTCAAAATTTGATTGAGCAATTTAAATCTGTTATTTCCAACAAAAAATTGAAAATGCCTTTTTTAAAGACCGAAATTGATGCATTGTAATATTATAGTAGTCCTATATGAGTTTTAGTTCAGGGTTGGATATCAGAAAAACTTCTAAGATCCACCTATCGATGTGTTCCAAAAGCTCTAGACATTTTAAATTAGCTTAAAGATTGGTAGTGTTGAAGTTTGAATTTATCAGTAGAATGGCAATTTACATTTTAAATGACGTTTTTTAAATGTTTATGTTTGCCAACTTCAAAATTGTTTTTTCATCTTAAATTTGGTCCTTTTTGGCGCAATTTTAGTGAATTTTGTATTTTCTATAGAATTCTGCACACCTTATACGTTTAATGAATTTAGTAAAACGCTTATTTTGATGCTATTTGTTCTAAAGTTATCCCTTTAGTTTCTGTGTGATTAGTGATTATACTTAAACAAGCAAGCCAAAAAGAACCATGTAATGATCAATTTGAAGTGTTTTTGATTTTTTCAAAATTCAGCGTTTTTTTGTTTTCGTTACTTTTCAAGGTTTCGAACGATCCAAACTATCCAGATAATGGTAGTTTCGAGAGATCCCAACTGTTCAGATAACGAAACAATTGCTCGCAATCAAAACAAGTGTTTTATTTCTTAAAAGCGCTAGATTTGTTTTTATACAAGCGAGCGTAGTCATAGTAAGAATTAACTTTATTCCAACGCAACTCGCAAATAAATGTGCTCATTTAGTGGCACTTCTGCTATAATCAGAATCTGTGGCAATGGCAATTCAACAGCATCTGCTTTCTGCTTTGTTAGTGGCTTTTGTTTGCCGATGGCACAGATGCAAGAGTTTGAGGCTCCTAATCTAGAGGTCGGAGGTTCAATGCCGCACTAGTTTTTCATATTTGTGAGAAGTTGTGCTGCATAGTATTGGCAATTTATTAGCATCGGTAACTTCTTTATTGATGACTAGTCTTTGTAAAGTTTTTTTTGCCCGTGGCGCAGATGAGAGGACGTGAGACTTCAATATTCCATTCGTACGTTCGAATCCGACTCCTTTGATATACTTATTTCATTTATAAGAGCTGCTTTTTTTTCTTCAATTTATCGATTGTGTTTGCGAAATGCAGCTTCGATTCCATATGAAAATTTTCGAAAGTTCGTACAAAAATTTTGTGGAGTGAATTTTAAGAGTGATGAGCTTAGTGAAGACTCTTATATAGGTCTTGGTTGTTTTTTTTGTTTTTTTTTTCAGAAAAAAGTCTTAAAATGCTCTAACAACTACAGATGTGCATTCATACATATTCGTGCTTTTATAAATGCTGAACGTGTATATGCTTTTTGAGTTCAATGGAATTTCATCTGCTGAAAGTAATGTAAGTAACACTCTCCAAATATGAACGTGGAAATGGCGCAAAAAAAAAGTGAACGATTTCTAGTTTTGAAAGTGGAATTAATTTTTTAGATTTCTAGCGGAATAAAATCTTTACCTATTGATTCAGTTTTCTCTAGTTGGGTTAATGTTATCAAAAACGCGCCAATCTTAAGTTGTTATAGAAATTCAAAGAGCTTAAAAGGCATCTATTGTTTCTTTTCTCTTTGAAATTCGAAAGTTAAGATTTTTTTTCAACAAATTCAGTGTTTTTTTTCTGTTTGCTTGCGTTCATCACTCTTTTTCAACGGTCTTTTGGTTAAGTTTTAAAGCTCACCAAATTACGTTTGACTCTTGTGTTCGCAATGCAGAACTTCGCTTCGCTTGTGTTAACTCTTGTATTTGAGTATGGTTCATTTCAGTGTTGTCTGAGATTGAATCTCATCAGGACTCTCACGTGTTCTTGGATCCTGTGACAGACGAAATCGCACCTGGTTATTCTTCCGTCATAAAGGTTTGATAATCTACAAGAATTCAAAAAAAAATAATTTTCCTTCGAAACTGAGTTGTTTTCTCGAATGATAACAAGTTTAACAATTAAATTGAAGGACAAAGAAGCCTCAATATCATGGACGTCATCAAGTTGTCTTCGTTTAGGACTTTTTACAAAAAATTGTCATTAACTGAAAATTTACCGAGCAAAAAGAAGTTTCGTGGAATTGAATCTATTTTTTTTTTGTATTATTGGTTTTACTTTGTTGTTAATTTTACTTGAACGCTTCGAATTTTTTTTTATTTTCGTGTGAATTGTTTTGTGCATTTAATTTCTTTGATAACAATCTTTGTGGTTGATTTTTTTTCAGCCCAGTATTTTAGAAAAAAAAATTGAAGAAAAATGAAAAATATTTTCTTCATGAATAGATTTCATGCAAAGCGGTTCAGTTTTAAGGTTTTATCGAGGTTGGCGGGATTTTTTAACGTTTGTTTCTAGTTTTTTGGTTGACCAAATTGATTTTCCAAGTTTTCTTAAAGCACGGTAAAGACTCTATTTGACAATTTTTTGAGAAAGTTTTAGCTCAAAAATGGAGTTTTTTTTCGGCGCGCACAGTTCACCTCAAAATTAGTTTATATTGGCGCCAAAGGAGCCTTTAGAAAAACTTAAGCGTCCGCCACCATAAAAGGATATTCTAAAGTAGTACCAGAGGAGTACCCTTTGATCGGTCAGGAGGTAGAAATCTTCAGGGCGGGGCGTCCGCCCCTAATTCCGCTGTTGATGCAAAGGAACTGAATTTTGTCATGGATAAGTTTTCTAACAATCTTGAGCAACTTTATATGACAAATAGATCGAGGTTAATTATTGCAAAAACTGATTTCTACGACAAGGCTTGGAAAAACGTAAAACTCCAGTAGCAGTTAACAATTAGACTTTTTTCTTTGGCGCTATTTGTATGAGTCGATAAACGTAGTCCAGACTCTTATATAGGCAGTGATGATTTTTTTCAGGAAAAATCGTAAAATTGGTTCTTTTCAAGTTGGTTAAGTCAAACTCCACTATTGAACAGCAAAAGTGTAAAGGTCACGAACATCAAAAAACGTAAAGGTCTTTTTTTCTGTTTACTTGCTTGCGTTCATTGTCTCTTTTTCAACTGCCTGTTGGCTATGTTTTTTTTTGTAAAATTTGGCCACATTGTCCAATTGAGATGAAAAATAAAATGCATCAATTGAAATTAAAAATTTTGAAAGAGGAAATTTTTTTACTGAGCAGCGGTTTATCCAAATTGCTCCGCTGGGCAAAAAACTCCGAAACAAGTTCACACAGCAAATAACAGAATTCTAAGATTAAGTCCATATATTATTAGCATCCTGGAGAGAACAGACAACGGGTATGTGTATGCCCACTCAGTCTACCCAGCCTTTCAAGAAAGCATTTTTTCATTTTTGAATATTTTCAACAACACTTGAAATCTAAAACAGGCGGGATCCTGGAATATAGATTTTTTCGGGTTATCAACCAGTTAAACAAAATCACTTGAATCAATAGACTTCATTCACGTGCACTCTCTCCACTCACGTGCTGTCAGGCCCAAGCTACGGCAAAACTGGCACAGGGGTTACAAGTACGGTATAACAAGTTACTGTAGGGTAGTTTCGTGGGGACTTGAAATTTTTTTGAAAGTTTTTTTTTTTTTTTACAAAATCGTTTTTTTTTATTGGCTCAGCTGGTGTCTGCTCAAAGGTTGTCGGACTTGTTTCCGCTTTGTAATTTTTGTTCAATTATTAATTTGAGTTTTAAAAGTCCTGGAATGTTCGCCTAGAATTCCTGTTTGATAAAAACAGGTATTATGAAAGTTGATAGAGCGAAAAATCTATACAAAGTAACTTTTTCTCAAAAATTTTTCTATCGATTTTCAAAAAAAGGTATCCATAGAAAGACCGCCTACATGTGTGCATGTATACTCCGCTGGTCTCTTTTTGCTCGAAACCTTAGTCTACGGCCTTTGAAATCTGTGGGGAGAATATTTTACCAATGTTTTTGGTTTTTGATTTTTTTTTTCAAAAACTAGCCTACCAAATGTGAATTTTAAAGTTCAATGAATAAAATAGTTTTCCTTTATTAGCGGCTGCGCCCAACCTTTTAAAAAAAATTTCTCGAAAACTAACCTCCTAAACTTGAGGTAGTCGGTTCAATTCAGATAACGAGTTGTGGGAAGCTCCCCTGCATTACCGACCACTCACAATTTTTTACAAAAAAAACTTATCTTCCTCGGAAAAGTGAATTTTTTGAGCGTTTTCTTTTAGTTTTATGAATTTTACCGGAAAAAAACCTCCCATATCTGAGATCTGGGTTCAATCCCAAGAACTGGTTGTTGCAAGCGCCTTTGAATACGCGAGTGCTCCCAAATTTTGTGATTTGAAAAATTTATGGCCCTAGGAAAAGTCAAAAATTTGATTTTTGACCGTTTGTGAGTTTGTTGACTTCTCGAGAACTACCCTGCCAAACCTGGTTTTTTGGATTCAATCAAATTTTTATGCTCGGTGATTTTCTTTTGGTTAAGTGGCTACGCGCATTTTTTTTGAAAAAAAAGAGTTCGATTAGCTAGCGTTCAAAATTACAAAATTCTGTTTGTTCTCAAAAGCTGCTGGGTTATATGTAATTCTAATTTAAGACAAGAATCAGAAGCTGTAAAGGTCAATTGATAACACCTAACCAACTGGTGCAAACCATGAATTTCTTTGGAAGTGTTTCCCGAAACCAAATATTTTCACAAAAATTGCATTATCTCAAAACTAATGGAATTTGAGCCGTGATAATTTGTGGCTCGAATTACAGCTATATAGGTCGATCGATCGCCTCAATCAATAAGTTTTTTCATTTTTTTTTCCAAAAATTTCCCACTAATTACACTATAATATTGATGTTTATGTGAGGTTGGGTAGGGCGAGCCAAAAATTGTTTTCAGCTGACCAGACTAGCTTGTATTTTTTTAGAACCCAATCTGCCTACAAGACATGTACAAGAAGCTTCGCTACAGCAACTACCATTCTATCAATGCAGTTAGTTGTTTTTGTTCACATTATATAGGTTTAACTAACTGGACGTCTTGAAATTGATGGAAACTACTAGCGAGTTTTTTCTGGTGCTATAACTTTTTGCGGAAAAGTTGAAAAATGAATTCCTTTTGTAACTGTTAGTTGGCATCACTGATAGAATGTTTGATAACATTTATTGCCGAGTATTCATCTTCTTATCTTTGTTTCGCCTGTTCCTATTCGAAAATTCTTTTAACTTCTTTTTTTTTAGAAAGTAATGTTTCTATAAATATTTTATCTTGTTTGCTTTCTAGTTTGTTCAAGACGGCCTGCGGATGTTCGAAAACTGCTGGCAGTACAATGGAAGGAACTCCGAATTCGGAAAAATTGCCATCAACGTTAGCAAAGTTTTCGCCAATGGTTGCAGGAAACATTTGGGAGTCGAATGTTTCTTCAGTCATGGCAAAAGACGCATGAAAGGTAAGGGGAAGAAAGGTAAAGATGTATCCGACATAAATCCGGATTTGGTGCGATTAGTCGAAGAGGTCTCTAAACCGAAAAAGCCGAAGACAGCGTCAATAGATACGAAGCAAGAAGAAGAAGGCGTGAAAAGCGAAGTAGAGTCGCAGAGGATCCCGACTTATTCCAGTGGGTATGAGTCTGGAAGTAAGAACAGCGACAAAGATCAAAGCGCAAGGGCAATTAAAAGGTGAGCAAATAATAGTTGTTCTCGCTATCGCTCAATTGAATTAAGTTTTTTTCACCTGTGAGAGCGAATGGTTTATAATCCGGAACTAGGTTTTTCCCGTAATCGACTTTTCAAATAAATCATTAAAAAAATAGACTGACTTTATTATGGAACCTCGACAAATTTCAGTCCCATCCTACTAGGTCTAGCAGAAGGGCGCGTGCTGTTGGATCTTCTTGCGTTGGAGTTTGATTGCCGGCCGGAGTATTCTAAGCGAGCGTAGTGTAATAATTTTTTTCCAATCTGAGTCGCAAGTATTCGTGCCACTTTTGGGGCACCTTTGCGGTATTTGTTAGCGTGTGCTTGACTTTCGATAAGTAATAAATTAACACAGTTGATGATTTTTGATTTATCAAATGAACCTAAAAAAAGCTATTGGTTTTCAAACAGCAGTGCAATAATAAAAATTCGATTTCAAGAGTTTTCCTACTCAATATATCTGACTTTTTTTTGAAATAAAGAATTTTTCCATAATTTGGCTTTATGCTTCCCAGATTATAGCATACAAAGTTAGTGTGGACGCCTTAAGGTAGTATATTGTATCTGATGCTAGTTTTGCCGCATAGCTTTGGCAATTTTTTGTAGCATATGTAGTTATTTTATTTGTGGCTACTGTTTGTGCATTGTTGAGGGCCGGTGGCTTAGATGCGATACAGGGGACTCTGAATTTTCTAGTTGTGAGGGATCAAATCCGCCTCCCTAATAGTGTTTTTATTTCAAGGCTTTTTTGCCTTTTCTTTATTTCACTTGATAGCTGCTTTTTTTCTTCGTTTTCTTGCTAGTGTTTGCGAAGCGCAGCTGCGCATCTGTGTTAATTCATCAAATGAACCGGAAAAAGCGGTTTGTTTCAAACAACACTACGAGCATAAAATTACCTTTCAGAAATTTTCTAGCGCAATGTCGTGCATTTTTTTGAGATGCAAAATTTATACATTATTTGGCTTTATGCCTTCAAAGTTATTACATGCAAAGTAAGTGTGGAATAGTTAATTATATTCCAAATTATTTTTTGTGTTGCTGCTGTATTGGTTTCTATAGATAGAAAGTTTTCAAAGGCCTTTGATGGAGATCCGAGGACGTGCGACTCCAAATCTCCTGTTTGTAGGTTGGGTTGCGCGACAGCAAAAGATTATTTCCAAGGCTTATTTTTATGCTAAATAAATTAGCGCTGATTATTTAACGAGTTTATACTCTGTGTTTTCATGAAATTGAACATCAGTCGAGAAAAGTTGAACAAGTCAAATTTTCCAACTGTTTTTCAAAGACCTAATTTTTTTTTCCAACTGTTTGTTTTCAAAGACCTAATTTATGGAATTGTATGATTAGTTTTATTTAAGCAACTCGCCTCTGTGTTTGAATAGTCAAATCATTTAAGCAAAAAACGACAGCCATATATTTTTCATTTTGAAATTTTAAAGTTGATGTTTTTTTTAAACGAGTCAAATTTTCTTTTCTTTTCCAACTGTATGTTTTCATAGACCCAATTTATGAAATTGTATGATAAGTTATATTGAGATCCGAGGACGTGCGACTCCAAATCGCCTGCTTGTAGGTTGGATTGCGCGACAGCAAAAGATTATTTCCAAGGCTTATTTTTACCATTTTCCTTTCTTATTCATTTTTTACTGCTCATTTTGGTCATTTGTGTTTGCGAAGCGCAGCTTCGCCTCTGTGTTTGAATAGTAAGACTATCATTTGTCTGCTGATTGTTGTATGTCATTTTTTTTTAAAATAGAATTTTCCGCTGATTAAAACAGTTTTTGTTATCATTGAAAGTCGTTGTTCTCAGTTTTTGATATCATTGAAAAACTCAGATTTTTCGAACGTAATTGTTTTTTTTTTCGTTTTAATGTTTTTTTTAAATTGTATCTCCTTCATCTCATATTTCGTCATTTGATGAGACAAAAAATTGTTTCTTTTTCTCACGTTTCTAATCAGTTCTAAATTTTTTATGACAATTTTTTTTTCATAGACCTAATGTTTTCATAGACCTAATTTATGGAATTGTATGATTAGTTATATTGAGGTCAATCCGGGCTTTTTCCGTTTCATCTTTTATTCGCTAGCTCTTTCATCCGTGCTTTAAGCTGCAAAATTCCCGTTGTTCTGTGTGTCTATATTGAAATGTGAATAAGCATGTTCAACTGCTGTTTCTTAGGTACATTTGGAATCAGAAATTCGAACTACGCAACCAGCCATTAACTCCCGATAGGCGGAAACAGAATTTGTCTTCTAAATTGGCGGTGAACAGAAATATCTCGTCATCACCGTCTGCGGCTTCGGAGGAAGTAAAAATGGCTCTGAATGGGACTCCGGGTTACCGATCGGGTTCAATTGGTAGACTTCCAAACTACAAGAGGGAAGTTCGACTACCCTCTATGTATCTGAACAAGCAAAGCAGTTTTAGAGGATACCCGCCAAAAGCGCAATCAACTCCAAGCCGTTACGGAGAATCTCGACCACCGGAAACAGTCATAATAGAAGATACTGACAACGATGCAAAGAATCAGGAGGTCAATAGAAGAACAAGTCGAGAAAATAACAAAACGATAGATCATCAGCCTGATTTGAAGCATTTAGGAAATAACTCATCTGTGATAAATCAGCCTGAAAAACAGCAGAGTGGAGATAGTTTCGCTAGTAATAAAACAGTAGTTGTGCAATACTCGAACTTGAAAGCGGATGATAACTTCGGTAATGCTTCTTACAATAGATACAATGATAGTAAACAGTTTGCTAGGAATTCGACAGGATTGCAGCTGGGTTTTAATGGTTCGCCTAGTCATCAAAATTTTACTTCCTCGCAGCATATTATCGCCAAGCAAAGCAAAGGCGAAGAACTGACCGTCAGACTTCAGCAACATACACAGGAAACTGTGAATAATTTTCTAAGAGTGACTAACAATGCGGCAAATAATTCTGTAAAGTTAAATCCAGCTCGCGTGGACTTACCAACAGGGCAAAAAAGTCCATCGTTTGCGCCTAAAGAGTTACAATTTAACGTCATTACGAATCCTGGAATATCAATCAAAAGACCTGTTCCAGTATCGTTTAGTAATTCTAACAATGGTAACCAAAGTCAGATGTCAGGATCTAATCTAAATGCTTCGCAGTTTGGACCAACTTATGTTGCCAGAGAGGAAACGGTTGTTGACCAATCAAATTTAAGGGCACAATTGGCCAATCAGAACAGATCTCAGACAGTTTACGTCAGTCAAGACGGTAAAGTCAATGCAACCCATCCAGTTATAAGTGCAATACCGGTTAAGTTCATAACCAATCCACCGACTGGCGGTCATAATGGAACTTTCGCTCTGATTAAAAACCCTTCTGGAAATGGGCAGATCAAAACATTTCAGCCATTGCCTGCAAATAAACAGCCTGTAAGTGTGCAGAACTTCATAAATGCAAATACTAGTCCGGGAGCCCGGGGTTCGAATCCAGTCAGTTTTCAGTTTTCGCCGTTTAGTGGAAAGTCAAATTTCAATGAAGAAATATCGAACGTGAACGTAAATAACCAGAACTCACCAGTTAATAAGGTGCAAACGAACATTGGGATCAATACAAACGAGCTGCAACCTAAACCTCTTTTGAAGTTTACTCTTCCTCAAAACGCCGCAGCATTAGCTGGTAAGAAGTTAGCCTTTGCACCAATCAATCCAACGAACAATCCTTCGGCTGCAAGTAACATTTCAGTGGGTACTGTAAAACAGATGAATATCATTAACCCGACTTATTACAATATCACACTGAACCCGACTCTATCCAATGCAATTCCAAGTAGCAATACCTCTGTAGTTTCTTCTCAATCATTAATCTCTTATGAACCAAATCATTCTCAACCGGCCCGTAATACCAATACTCGAATTCAGCATGTTTCAAGTCAGAATTTGGGGTTCACTGGAGCCCCTTCGAAACAATCTGTGATGTCGCAAATTAGTCCTGGTCATAAAAATCAGTTCGCAAACACAATTCTTGAAAGCACGAACGCGCAAAATGCCGCTCAACGAGATCCCTTGCTAAATAGTACTCATAGTGAGGTTCATTTCACAACCACGGTTCCTCGAAATGCGACGACGCAAAATTCTCTTCAACAAGGGCCACTGAAGTTTAATGGTCAGATAATGACGGCAACGCAAAATTCAGTACAGAGCTCAAATACTCCAATGACCATTCGAACTCCGAGCGGAGCTCAATTAATATTCAATCCTCTGACTAAAAAGGCTCAACAGGCTGTGAATAATACAGCTCCAAGGCTACCGTTGTCATCACCGCAGGCAACAATGCAAGCGACATCTTGTCAGAAAGTTTCAGATGCAACGAGGCCAGTTGCAACGATGCAAACAAGAGTGTTGACTCACCAAATTTCGTCAACAAGCCAGGAAACGGCGAAGAATTCCAAAGCAATTTCAACCAATCAACACCTTCCTCTCTCGGGAAAGCCGACAACGGCAAAATTGATCACAATTCCACTTGATTATAATTTTGCAAATCAAACCCAAAAGTAGATGAATTGCTTAATGCGTTTCTCATTCAGTGTTTTTTTTTGCAATTTGACAGATTGGTTCTTCGTTTAAAAAGATAGTAATTTAAATTTCATGTCACAAATTTATAAACATTCTTTGTAAGAAAAATCCGTTTATACTTTAGTTCGGCTTGGGAAAGTACCTATGCAATAAGCCTGTCGCGGGGCATTTCAAAGTCAAATTTTACTAACCATACCTATTATAGCAGTGAGGATTTTAAAGTCTTTTGGATATTGCCTCTTCATTGGACCCTTTAAATATCTGAATTGTTTATCAGGACATACTCGGTACGTTTATTCACATTTGTTTTTAGATACAGAAAACTACTGAAAGAATTATTAATCAGTTAAGTCTACCTTGCTGCTTCAGTGATAATCAGTGAAATGGTCATTATTTTTGTGCTTTACCTTATTAAACACTTTTATGGTCATAAAGAAGTCAACAAATGAACTGAACACATTATTAATAGTCGATGAACATAGTTCCGATTATTGTATAGGTCGCGATGGACACTTATATAGGTCGTGATGACTTTTTTTCAGGAAAAGTCTTTTAATTTGATCCGGCTCAAATTTTGTTTATTCGTGGTTTGAGTTTTAAATTTTCCAGGTTCAATTCAAATTCATTTGCCTAAAGGTAGGCAAACTGTGCTATCCAATTACGAAATTGCAACTGGCGCGAAGAATTGAAAATGCCCATGTTTCGAATGAGGATTTGAATTGTGAGACTTCCCAGCGTAATAAAAAAAATATGTTGATACAGTTTTCTCGAATTAGGTTAGTTTTAAAAAAAATCTTCTATCTTTCAAAGAGCTTTATGGCGATATATGTTTTTTTTTCGATTTTTTGTGATCCTTGAGTTCATTGGCACAATTTCAACTCTTTGTGCTCTATGTTTTCTATTGCGCACTCAATTTTCGTTGGCCATTTCTGCATGGGGTGAAACGAATTCTAGTTTGGCGGTTGAAAACATGGCAAAAAAATTAAATTGTACAATTTTGTGTCTGAAAATGTGATTTAAAGTTTAGATTAGAGTAAGTCAGAAACGATAGCTCGAGTAACATGGGTTTTTTCATTTTAAGTTTTCGCATCCTTTTAGGACAAATTTGAGGAGTTTTTTTTTAAACACAATTTGGTAGTTTACAATGCGGTTACTACTCAAAGTAAAATTTTAATTAAGTTAGAGAAGTTTTTAAAACCGATTACGGAGCACATTGAAAGAAATTGGACTTCAAACAAGTGAAAGTTTGACCGTTTTTCGGAAGTTTTCTGACTTCACTCGAAAATTACTGTGCCAGTTCTCAGGTTAAATTTTCCACCGAGAAACCCGGTTTTTGGAATCTTCTCTACTTTACCGACCATGACCTGTTTTTATTTTGACTTCATGATATTCATGACTTTTTCCATTTTCTTAAAAACAACCCTATCAAAGTTGAATCAAAGGAAGAGGTCGCATTCATTTTTCCTGCCAAATCGGCTGCTCCCTATTTTTTGTAAGAGGGTTATGTCTTTAGGTCTCAAAAATGTACTTTCTTACCTATTTTAGTAGAGAAACAACTAAGGTCTTAGTCAAAGTCCAATTTTTGGAATAACGCATTTCGTCCCGCATCATTATAACAAAAATATCAAACAGGTACCTCCAGTTTTAGCTGGGCTCTAGGTGTCCTTCATAGAGACATTCTAAAATTATCGTTAACTAGTTTTTTAAAACATTTTTTATTTTTTTTCGGCTTGTGCTTTCTTTTGTGACTGTGTTGTATCGCAAATGGTGCGAAGCTCCGCTTCACCTCTGTATTAAACCAATTTGAATGTTTACAATGTTCTTAATTTGATGGTTTTTTAAATAAAATTTTATTCAAGCAACTTTAAAAAGCGATTACGAAGTATATTGAAGGAAATTGAATCCGTTCTTTATAAAAAAGTTATTTGAAAAACGACATATTAAAACATCTCACAAAAATATGGCCAAATTTGTAACTGGCTGTGGTTCTAAATTTTTTTGATATAATTGGTTGAGATTTTATTTTAACGACGCGATCGATAGAATTAAGTTCATCAAAAAGACAAATGACCCTTGACGTCACTGAAAAATGACCCTTGACGAGTTTTTCTTGACGTATTTTTCTTGAACTTTGCGCTGACAGAATTAAAAATTTATGATATTAAGACAATAGGAGCGAACTGTATTTTAAATGGTTGCAAGAAAACTGCACTGACAGTTTTCATCTGCCAGACGACTGTTCAGTATTTTTATAGCTCATTTGGTGTTATAGACATCAGATGTTTGATAACAGAACGCGTGGTTTCTTCAAAAGATAATGGAGTGGAATTGGAATAGTTTGTTTGATAAATAAGTTGTAATTTGCCTAAAACAAGACATACTATATGATGAGACGCTCAAACATCTGGGTATTTAAAACGGGCTCTTTTCCAGTTCCTGCCCTTTCAAAATACCGAGTTTATGTTTGTTTTACGAGTTATTACGACTAAATACGTGATGTTACGCTGATAAGTATGAAGAACAAATCGGTTCAGAATTGTCGATTTCTTCACCACGGCAAATTTCATTGTATTATGACAACGTTAAATAGACTTTTCAAAATTGAGTTTGAAAGGATGGCATCTGGAAAAGAGCCATAAAATGTTACCCTTGGTTGATCTCTGAAGCACTTCTTGCGCAGAGTATCCCATGGTTAGGTCTTTTTGTTTTTGGTCAATTTAAAATTTTTTTTGACAGTCTGAGCAGTAGCGCGAATGATTTGAGTTGTCTTTTAAGCATTCGAGTATCTCTATCTAAAAAATCGTACTGGTTAGGATTTCGAAGAAATTAATTCTAGATAGTTTTAGAAATCTTTTTCAGCGAATTGAATCGTTAGAAAAATAAATCAAACGGATTGAAATTTATTAATGATCATAATTCTTCCGATTACTTTTTTATTTTGATGGAAAATTCAACGAGAAATTGTTTTGAAAGAGTTCATTGTGTCAGTCCTTACTGTTCTTCTAAACAAGTTTTTTTGAACCAGCTAAATCGTATAACAAAATTTTATAAAATTTTTTGTATGATTTTGATTCATTTTTCTTTCTGAATTTCTTATTATAATTTGTCATTTTTCAATTCAAGTGTTTATGCGAGAGTGAATTATCAGCTTTGAATTCCACGATGCACTGAGGTAAATTATATTAAGTTTGTTTTAGTAAGATTTTATCTTTTTGTTTTTGATCCTGCTTCCCGTCGGCTCCCTGCTCAGTTGCAATTAGTTTGTAAACGTTCATCAGGAAGGTAAATCAGGTTCGCAATATCTTCTACTGCTGCGTTTCGGACAATAAATGAGGCCTAGCAAGTCTTTCTTTTCGATATCTTATTTTCACTGTTGTTTTCCAGTACGCATTAGCTGAGGAACCAGTCTTTTTCACCTTGCATATGGTCCGTGAGAAAACTCTGTCTCCTGTCTTAGAATTTAATTTTTGAATAGCTCTTTCTAGTTTAATTTCCTTGGAATTCAATTTTTGCAAAGTAATTTGTTTTCTCATTAATTGACGATCTACTACATAAGCACGCGCAGATACCTGAAGTTGCTAATTTTCAGTTTTAATTCAGACTAATATTTCGAGTCCAAAACAGAAGATTTTCAAGTTTTGAACACTGGATAATAAATTGTGTTATGAACTTTGTTTTTTTAACTAGTATTCAAGTTTGTTGTATTTCAAGCTAATCTGAATTACTTATCATTCAAAGTTACCAACTTGAAAATTAAAGGTTTTTTGTTTAATTTTCAAGTTGGTAACTTTGAATGATAAGTAATTCAGATTAGCTTGAAATACAACTTTAAAATTTTTCGTTTGCAAAATTTGCTCTCAATTAGTTCAAACATTTCGTGCTTAGTGATGCCTAGTTTAATCAGCTGAGATTTAGAGCCCGAAATATTTAGAATTGTATTTAAAAACTCCGGAGAATTGCGAATTAGTTTGTCAACCGAAAAGAATTTAGCCGAATCTGTCAATTGTTATGCCTTTTCAGATATGGCTAGTGGCGCTGGCAGCGATAGTAGCGACGAAGAAGGTCAAGCTTTTTACGTTGGAGGCAGCGAGCACTCTGGTCAGCAAGTCGTGGGCCCGAATCGCAACAAACCCGGCAAAATTATCCAGCATATGTTCGAATCCGCTAGAGCCCATGGAGCGGAACCGGTTGCAGGCGGAAGTGGCTCCGAAGCACAGCCGACTCAAAGGTTCCGAGGCACTGGCTACAAATTAGGAGAAACTGGAGATGATACAGAAGTGATTGCAGACCCCTCCGGAGGAGCTGCTGGAGGATCCAAAACCGTTGACATTGTTTTAAAATTGTGGAAAAATGGATTCTCAGTTTCAGGCGAAGGCATAGACGAAGAATTGAGATCGTATAGTGACCCTAACAGCGCAAAGGCGTTGAACATGATTGCTAAAGGTCAAGTTCCTGATGAGTTTGTAGCTCTTGCAAATGGAGGCAAGGTTAACATGGATATGGAGGATCACAGGGAGCAGGATTTTGAACCGCCTAAGAAGAAGTTGAAGGCGTTTTCAGGAGCCGGTCAGACGTTGGGAACCCCGACGCCCGCGGTGCTCAATTCTGCAGAAGCGAACAAGCCTGCAAGTTATACTTCATCGGCAGTGACCACTACGCCGACGGTTCCTTTGGACGAAACGAAACCGATGACAAATGTTCAAATACGATTGGCCGATGGTTCTAGAAAAGTGCAGAAGTTTAACCACACCCACACTGTTGGCGATTTAAGGCAATTTGTAGCTCAAATTCCAGGCTATGAGGCAGTGACTTTTGTGCTTCAGACAAATTTTCCAGTTAAAAATTTAGATGATGATTCGCTTACTTTGAAAGACGCTCAGTTATTGAACGCTACTATCATACAACGCCTTGTTTGAAACCGTTGTGGAATTGAGTTGAAATTAGCCGATTTTTTAGTTGGATCTGGCCAGACAGGTTAAGTAGATTTAGACAGGGTGACTCTAATTTAAAAGCCATTTGAATTTTTTTTTCGGCTAGTTTCATGTGAGCTGAGTTTGAATAGCTAAAAATATGTGTAAATTTTCAGTAATTTTTGTTGATATTATCCCGATGTAATTTAATCATTAAAAAGCTTTGAATTAAAGTGGTACACATTTTTTTTAAAGTCCGTGGCATCATGTGATTCAATCTCGGTTCAATATCAAAACTTTTAATGGTGCGAAGTGCATTTTAGTTGGTAATTACCAGCGCATAAACAAATTTTAATTGAATTGGATTAGTTTATACAAAAAACTGTGCATCATAAAAGTTTCTTGAAGTTTTAAAAGCTATAAAGTGATTAAAATTTTTTGAAACTCGTAGGATCAAAACGTATCTGCCATTTGTTTCATCAGTTTTTTGTGTTATTCAAATTTGTCCAATTTTCCAATGGCTGGATTAATGCATTTTAGAACGGCCTTTTTTTAATGCGCGGCTTGTGAAATTCGTCTTCGCGTAGCCTCTTAGACTGTGATGATTGTTCTAAGTTAAACTTTTTTGTACCTAATTTTTTTTCGTCTGCAATTTTTGTTCTGTTTTTCCTAATCCTATGAGATTTCGGAACTTCACGGAAGAAGGAGGAATCGGTTCAATTGTTTTCTTTAGATCTTCTTTCATAGTTTCTTCTCTGTCCTTTCTAAGTTTCTATTTTCCCTGTTGCACGCGTGAGAAAAACTGAGCTTAAAGGTTTCTTAAGCTTTTAAGAAAGATTTATGTCTGAGAAGGAAGAATTTTTGAATTTTTTTTGTTTCAAGTTTGTTTTAAGTTTTTATTTCGAAAATGGACCATCATTTTCAGAGTTGCGAGCGGTATAAGCAAATAGCTTTTTGACCCAGTTTTCTCTAATTCGGTTAGTTTTATGAAAATCAAATGGTATATTTTTAAGAATATTAAAAATTAGAGAGCTTTAATTTGATGTATTTTTTGTCGAAATTCGAAAGCTTTTCTGGTTTTCTTTATTGCAATTTTTTGTTGGCTTAGTTTGTGGTTTTGTTGTTCCAGCTGTATGTTTGCTAATTTCAAGCGTATTGTTGTCGGGATGCTGATTTGCTTTTAGTTACGGCTAGCGAAGAAGAATTCACCTATTGTTGCGTTTTTGCTGACCATTGAAAATGGGGAGGAAATTTGTTTTCTAGTGAGTTTTAGCTATTTTTTAGGTTTGTTTCCTACGCAAAATCAGATGCCAAAATAATTATCAAACTGGTTCGAATCATACATCGTATGGAAGCCATTCCAGTCTTGAATCGATCTACATTAGAAAAAGATTGAACGTGTCGAGAAAAATTTTTCGAAATTTTTGATTTTAGGTGCTTACTTGTAATTATCATTGCGACAAGCAACGGTTTTGCAACTGGGTATCAAATTTTCTTTTCCGTAAAAAAGAACTTTGTTTACAGAAAGTGGTAAATGCAAAATAAGTGTAAGATGCAAGATTTGGGGTATAGATGGAAGATAGATGGTAGATGCAGATAGGTTGCTTTGTTGGTGGTAGAAGCACCTTTTTGTTGCTGCAATTGTTTCGTCTATTTTTCAGCTTATTAAGAGTCTGTTATAGTTCCGTCGGCTCATTTACCTAATGATTTTTAATTGTTATGGGTCGTTTTTTGATACTGACAAATTCGTCTTTGTTCGATACTTTTCTTTGATACTTCTTGAGCGGCATGCTATTTTTATCATATTATTTTTGGCGAAGATAATTGAAGTCATAAGTTTATTCGCATGTTTCTTATAATTTTCAATCAGTTTTTTCGTTTTGTTTTGGTTTAAATGCTTGCTAGCCTATATGTTTTTGTAATACAATAAGTTCTCTAAACAAGAGACTCGGGTTTATGAGGCGGTTAGTGCTATCAGGTCGCAAATAACCTTTATAAACTGATTATCACGTTTTGCTCGTAATTTTCATATTTTTAAAGAAAATAACATATTTAGTTTGTTTGCCATTTGTTTCAAGTACTCAATGTTCTCCTAATTTGGTTTATTTTCGTTGTTACTTTCTAGGACACTTAATGTAATTAAACGTTTTGTTTTTATACCTACCAAAGTTTTCGGGATAGCGAAAAAAAAAACGAAATCGACGACAGTTTTTTTGCTAGCATTTTTTGGATATTGTTTTTGTCTTAGTTTCGTTGGACTCATTTCTAGCAGGTTTTCGTCTTAATTCCTTGTGATCTTCTAAAGTTTTTCAAATTGATGGCACATTGAGTTGATAGAAAAAATCAAAAATTTTTCTACATTCTCTGCTTTTAAAACATCTCACGTTAAATTTTTTCATGACCATTTTCCTCAGTTTTGTCTTCATAGTTACCGCTCAGTAATTTTGTAATGCTAATCCAATGCTGACGGTTGTGTGCCACCGCAGGTTCTCAACAAACTGAGTTTTGTTAGAGACAAAAACATAAAAATCAAAGGTGTTGATTTTTCAAGTTTTAGTAGCGTTTCGTTGTATTTCTGTATTGCAAGTGTTGCGAAGCTCATCTGAAACAAAATGATAGATTATGACTAATTTACCTATGATCTAAGGGTTTGTTTTGTTCCTCTCGTCGCACTACAGACAAAGTGGTCGGAACTTTTTTGTGCTACTTGCACAGCAACTGTGTACTCTTGATCCAATTCACTTTTATTTTAAGTTGCTGGAACGTTTTCTCGCAGAGCTAGTCCTTGCATAATAAGATGTATTCTTCTCTTTAAGCAGCTCTTGCTCGTCTGCCCGTTATCATAATCGATTTTAAAGTTTAAAAATGATCATTCAACTGGTATCATTTATATCTCTAATCAAGGTTCAATTATGTGGGTGTTTTCACATGCAAGCAAAATGTGGGTGTTTTCTGTGATGCTGCTCAAATTTACCGGAATGTTAAATGACAATCTCTGTTCTGAATTAAGTCTCAGTTATGTTTCTTAGTATTGAAGTCCAACATGAGTAACAGAAAGACCTCGAAATGTGTTCATATATGTCATCATCAATTACGATTAGATAATTTTCAGACCATTGAATGGTAATCCATAGTTCATCACACAACATAATAATGGTGTTTTGGGATATTTAGAAGTCTGGCATGACCTGCTAATCTGTCCAAAATTATCATCTTAATTTATTCATCGTCTTCATTCATTGCTGATCACGTGATTACAGTCTAGAGGAGTATTTGAGGTCACGGGTAATACATAATTACATTGTGATGCTGTTAAACAGCTGAACTAACGTTCGTAGTCAAGTTTTCTTCAAATTCATCACTTGTGCTGGTAGCGAGAGAAATTGTTATTCAATTAATTGGTCTTTTCAGTTTTGTCTACTGTTAGCTTTTATCATCGACATTATTCACCAAATTAGCTAATCAAAAGCATCGTTAAAACCTTCTCAAAGTGAGGTTGTCAGTGATGTCTACAATGGTTAACAGAATTTGAGTTATTGGCTACTATTCCCAAAGCGTGGAAATAGCAATCAAAATTCAAAAATCAGTCCCATAAGTCCTAAAATTATTCAACTCGACATCTGATTTGTACGTTTTGAGTCAACGAATGGTTAAAATAATTTTCTATCGTTCAAATTGCATAAAACCAAACAGCAAAAAAGTGACAGCGAAAAAGTTGTTGCGAGCTCGCCAATCGAGGTTAAGCGTCTGTAAAAAAAAAGAACCGCCCACAGGCAACTTTAAACCGAGAGTTAAAAATTGATTAACGGTAGCCGACTCGGGAGTTTTTGACCAATTGATTAGTTTCTAGGGCTTATGCGACTGCATTTTCAATTTTGGGGTAAATTGAAATGTTTTTTTTTTTCATGAATACCCAACAATTTTCGAATACTTAAGCAAGTTTTTGGGACTGATGCTGTATTAACGAAGAAATTCGCTTCGGGTTATGTACTAGACAAGTACTTCAGAATGATAATTGGTTCTTTTCTTAATAAGTGTTGGCGTAAAGGCTTTGGTCAATGCTTTGGTCTTGCGTGAAAAAGATAACCGAAAATAGATTTTTCGTAAATTAGCTTGACTTCACTAGTAAAATGATTATTCATCGAATTTATAACATAAAAAAGTAAAAAGATTTAAAAAAATTGAAAGTGAACTCTGGACATCGCTGAATTTGTACGAGGAGGTGAAACTGAAGACCTTGTTATATAGTTGTTATATCAGAGAAGTTACCTAATTTTTGATTTACAACTGAAGTAAGTTACATAATCGCGAGCAACCAGAGTTACTTAATCAATCATGAAAGGGGAGAAAAGAGTGAAATACCACCGGGAGTTGAATGTAGTTACGTTCGTATTGGCGCTGTTCGAATGTCTCTGCTTCGCTGGCATTATATTCGGCTGGTTCAGCATTCGGCCAGTGTTAGAGCAAGAAGGCTTTTTTGGAGCTCAGACACACGAAAAAGCCATTTCTATCAGTAAAATGATGGATAAAATGGGGTCAGGAGAAAAAAATGCGAATGAAACAATAAACGGACCGGTAAGTTCATCAGTTTTCATATTAATTGATTATTTATGTCTGTATGTTGTGTTAATGAAGCAATTGAAAGCAAGCACCTTTTGCAAGAATTGAAAAAACATGAGTTTAGTTTCGAAGAACAAGGATTTTAATATGTACTCACAACACACGAGCAAGCGAGCTAAGTGTTTTATTGAAAATCATATTATCCTTTTTTTCTATCCCAACTCGCATAGTGCTGATTAGGTGGCGTTTTCGTTGCTATAGAATTGGCAACATCAGATAGCATCTATTGTATCTGCTTTATTGGTGGCTAGTATTATCTTATTAACAAGTCGCAGATGCTAATAAGGATAGCCGGTTGCTGTGCAAGTAGCACAAAAAGTTCCGACCATAGTCTTAAGAAATACAACAAAGATTTTTCAAATTATAGTCGTTTTTTTTCTGCGTAGTGTGATAAAAGCATCTGAACGAAATTATAGAGCTTAGGTATATTCGACAGTCATAGAAAAAATAAGCAGATTGGAAGCCAATTTTTGTGGAAAATGACTCGAAAAAAAAATATAAAAAACGCAAGAATTTTTTCAAGTTGTTTTTTGCAGTTTTTTGAATTATTGACATTTTTGTTTTCAAAAAGGCGCTAATATACGAAAAAACTAAGTTTTTACCCCTTAAATTAAGCAGTTGAAAGCTTTAAGCTATTTACATAAACTATTGTAAGCCTGATCGATAATTCGAAATTAGACATTATCAAAAATTTCAAACCGTTTTTTTTCGATACTGGGAAAATTTTTTGAATTTTGTAATGTTGTTCGAAAAATAATACAATTTTTGTAATGTTGGTCGGGCTTTAAAATGATATATCGCTCAACTCTCTCCGATGATTATTTAGGTTTGTTGATTTTGCGTGGAAAAAAAGAACAACAAACTAAAACATGATCTCAGGGAAAAAACATCAATGGTAAAACGTTTTCGACATTATGTCATCATCAGGAACTGCAAAATAGCAAAATTGTACAAATTAAAAGCACATTAAAAAAAGGAAAACTGGAAAGCAATTAAAAACAGATAGAACTGTGATAAACAAGTTTGATTGGAACAAGCCACTGGAATGTGGGACAATGTAACAATGTTACAGCTTCAGGGTCAACTCGCGAGCCTTGTACTCTTCCTTCCGGTTGATTGAAGGCTTTCTCTGGTTGATATGCAATGCTTCCAAGGTTAAAAGTTTAGCGGAGTCTCTTGCTGTGTCAATGATCTTTACTTCGGAGCTGTCAATGGTAACACCACACCAATTGAGGTGTTCTCCTACTGGGCTAGTACCTTAGGAATGTTCGTGCACTCTCGTGGCTAGGTGGCGGGTTGTTTGCCCGACGTAGCTAGACTGGCATCTAGAACAAGTGATTTCGTAAACCACGTTGCCACGAACATTCTCTGGTGTTTTTGGTTTCAGCGATGGTAAGGCTGTCTTCATCTGTCTAGTTGTGAAGATGACAGAAATATTGGCCGTTTTTCGGAGACGCTTGGAGAAAACGTCACTTTTGTTGCCCCTATATTGCATAACAAAGGGTATCCGTTTCTTGGTAGCTTTTTCTGGTGTCTTGGTATTTGTGTCTTGTTTCATGTGTTTCTCAATGATCTTGTTAGGAGTCTCATGGATGATGGGTTCATATAACTGAGGTGGGTATTGGTTTTTCTCCAGCATACATCCAACCTCAGCTATGCTTTCCGTGAAAGCATGCCAGTTGGAAGAGGCATTAAAAACACGATGCACAGTTCCTTGCACAATGTTCTTCTTGTATCTCATCGGTGCTTTTATGAACCCATCATCCGTGAGACTCTTAACAAAAACTAAAACACACCCGAATACAAAATTCCTCCCAATTTTCAAATGGTCGGAGATGAACAACAAATCACAGATGAATCCGGCACAGACATTTTTTTCAAGGCCTATACTCACAGTTTTTTCCTTATTTTAGCGTTTCACCTTTTAAGAGCTTCTTTTTGCCGTTTTCTTGCTTGTGTTTGCGATGTGCAGATTCGCCATTGGGTAAGATGTTTCCATTGAGATGCGAACGAATACTGATTGCCTAAACAGCACATTAAAACTCCTATATGCTGACTTAACGAAAAGCTGAGTATTCTTTTTTAGCTTATTTTTCGGGCTATTCTTATATCAAAAAGGCCGAAAGGCTAAAACACTCTGGGTTTGTTATTGGTTGGTACTCTCTAAACGATGAAAGCTGAAATTAAATCATTGTTAAAAATACTTAAAAAACTAATCCGGTTCAGCCCACAGTGAAGCAATAGCTTCGTGAAAATTAGTTTTCTTTCCTCGCAAAATCAGGTGTCTCAAAAGATCATGGTGCCTCAAATAGGTGCTTCAAAAAATCATCCGAGAGAGTTGAGTGTTATATCATATTAAAGCGTTTACAGTCCTGATTTGAACGACATAAAAAGTTTTGAAAATTTTTTTCAATTTCGAGAAAAACAGATTTTAAACTTTTGATTGATTTTTGGTCTAACCTCGAAAGAATAATATGAGCGAGCGGGCTTACAATAGCTCATTTATGCTTAATTAAAACCGTGAAAACCTAGTTCTACTTTAGTAAAAGTTCGTTTTTGGAGTTTTTTAGCGCCATTTTGAAAATGGGAAGGAAATTTCTGTTCGTGTTTTTTTTTTTTTTTCCACACAAAGTAAGGAGCCACAAATGTTCACCGGGTTGAAGCATATTGAAGCCTTTTCAGTCGTAGTTCGAACGACAATGAAGAAGTTTTTGCAAAGTTCTCCCAGTATCGAGAAAAACAGGTTTAAAATTTTTGAACTGTGTTAAATATTTGAACTTTTTTGTTGTATTTTTTGGACTATGATCGGAACGTTCTGTGCGACTTGCACATCAACCATCTATCCTTGTTTTGATTGTTTTTTCATATAAATTCTCTCTAATATAATTCACAGTACGTTCCGTGTTTTCGATTATTTCTCATTTTTGCAAATTTGTAGGTTTGTTTAATATTCTGGATATCAGCCACGGCATCGGCGTCATCTAAATTGAGTTTGTTTCATTTTCACTCTTTGGAAACTTGATCTGCCTAATTTATCCTTTAAATGGGGCATTACCGTAAAGACCCAAACTCACTGATTTCTCCACTTTCTGTCAGATTTTTATACCGAATGTAATTAGCCTTTCAAACTTTTCGTCATCCTCTTCCCTTCAGCGAAGGAATTCCTCATATTCCAAGGACCGATTGCGCGAAAATTTTGCCAACCAATCAGAGCTCAGTATTCAAAAATTCGAAAAAAGTTTTAAAAAATTTTGGACAGCTTGGGCATTAGATGGTTGAAGTTTTGTGCATTCGCTTCTTCCTGCATGAAAATAGCCCCCTTTCCAGCATGATTTAATATTTGGCTGAACTGTTTCAGAACGAAGTCCCTGATCCAATAGCGACACAGAATGATACGTCTGAAAATGCAGATCCAAATAAGGTAGCTAGTTTAACTTGAGCGAAAATGATTTTTCCATTGGGAGAGCTATGTCTATTCGCTCACGCTCACTCCAGAAATAGCTAACAGTTTTTGGCAAATGTGGAGCGTCCGTTAGTTTGCTCGTAAAAAAGTGACTATTTTTCCTTCTCATCTGCGAATTTTCACTAGTGATTCTTTGTTCTTATTTTCCGATTGTTACAAAAATTGGCTTTCGGACTAATTAGGCCACAAACATTTTTGGTCTTCAAACTCAACCTTGTAAAACCCGTCGTCACGCCGTAAAATGGGGGGAGGAACCAAAAAAATTTCATTTCTATTGAAGAAATTTCTTTAAGAGGAACAAGTGACTAAATCGTAGTTCGTATATTTAGACTTCAGAATGTATTCTTGGATCTTCATCTAATTCAAGCTCAAATATGGCAGACAGTAACGCCCAGTTCAATCTCGTGTTCACAGTGTCCTCCTCTGCTCTCAACTACTCCTCACTTCTAACTGGCTTCCTTCTGGACAAGTTTGGAACTCTGGTGTCCAAACTACTCGCCAGGTATACTATTAATTACTTCAAAAAATAAGTAAATTTTGTTTAAAAAAACAGTCCTGACTCTCCATTTATAGATCCCATCTAATCATAGCAAATTTTAACCACTACCTAATTGTAAAAGCAGAATAAGCCATTTAACCACTACATAATTGTAAAAGCAGAATATGCCAACAGCTCAATTTAACGATACAAATGTCTTATCATTTGTTTGTGGATTCCACAAACTGTTCTGGATTCCGCAAATACAGTTGCGGATTCCGCAAATTCGCCTATTTTTGGAGCGATTTTGAGCGATACAATGACTTAGGTATTTGTTTGTGGAATCCAAAACAGCATAGAAGATCAAAGAAAAGTAGCAATGTTGCGGATTCCGCGACAAATCTGATTCTAGCCTTATGCGGATTCCGCTTACAATGCAGAGAATGCACAGTTTGGCCTCGTAATGTGGGGTGCTATAGTTTTTTTTGCTACTAGCAGGGGTGGTCTAGGTTTTTCTCTTGGGGGGGATTTTTTTTGGTTGGAAAATTTTGACCAAAAATAGCGTTTTTTCGGCGCGTTCACCCTCAAAGTTAGTTAAAATTGGCGCCAAAAGCACCTTATGAAAAATTTTAGGGTCAGGGTACCAAGCATTGAGGTCTTAAAATAGTACCAAAGGGGGACCCTTTGGGTATTCAGGTGGTCGAATCGGGAAGAGTCAGGGGGCTATATTAGGGAAGATCTATAATGCACATCTTGGGTCTTTTTGCTCAAATTATGTTAACTTAATAGCATTAGTAATTAAACGCAAGATTTCTACATGTTGGCTATTTATTTGGCTCTTATTTAGTTCACCCCAAAAATCAGTCCCATAAGTCCTAAAATTATTCAACTCGACATCTGATTTGTACGTTTTGAGTCAACGAATGGTTAAAATAATTTTCTATCGTTCAAATTGCATAAAACCAAACAGCAAAAAAGTGACAGCGAAAAAGTTGTTGCGAGCTCGCCAATCGAGGTTAAGCGTCTGTAAAAAAAAAGAACCGCCCACAGGCAACTTTAAACCGAGAGTTAAAAATTGATTAACGGTAGCCGACTCGGGAGTTTTTGACCAATTGATTAGTTTCTAGGGCTTATGCGACTGCATTTTCAATTTTGGGGTAAATTGAAATGTTTTTTTTTTCATGAATACCCAACAATTTTCGAATACTTAAGCAAGTTTTTGGGACTGATGCTGTATTAACGAAGAAATTCGCTTCGGGTTATGTACTAGACAAGTACTTCAGAATGATAATTGGTTCTTTTCTTAATAAGTGTTGGCGTAAAGGCTTTGGTCAATGCTTTGGTCTTGCGTGAAAAAGATAACCGAAAATAGATTTTTCGTAAATTAGCTTGACTTCACTAGTAAAATGATTATTCATCGAATTTATAACATAAAAAAGTAAAAAGATTTAAAAAAATTGAAAGTGAACTCTGGACATCGCTGAATTTGTACGAGGAGGTGAAACTGAAGACCTTGTTATATAGTTGTTATATCAGAGAAGTTACCTAATTTTTGATTTACAACTGAAGTAAGTTACATATTCGCGAGCAACCAGAGTTACTTAATCAATCATGAAAGGGGAGAAAAGAGTGAAATACCACCGGGAGTTGAATGTAGTTACGTTCGTATTGGCGCTGTTCGAATGTCTCTGCTTCGCTGGCATTATATTCGGCTGGTTCAGCATTCGGCCAGTGTTAGAGCAAGAAGGCTTTTTTGGAGCTCAGACACACGAAAAAGCCATTTCTATCAGTAAAATGATGGATAAAATGGGGTCAGGAGAAAAAAATGCGAATGAAACAATAAACGGACCGGTAAGTTCATCAGTTTTCATATTAATTGATTATTTATGTCTGTATGTTGTGTTAATGAAGCAATTGAAAGCAAGCACCTTTTGCAAGAATTGAAAAAACATGAGTTTAGTTTCGAAAAACAAGGATTTTAATATGTACTCACAACACACGAGCAAGCGAGCTAAGTGTTTTATTGAAAATCATATTATCCTTTTTTTCTATCCCAACTCGCATAGTGCTGATTAGGTGGCGTTTTCGTTGCTATAGAATTGGCAACATCAGATAGCATCTATTGTATCTGCTTTATTGGTGGCTAGTATTATCTTATTAACAAGTCGCAGATGCTAATAAGGATAGCCGGTTGCTGTGCAAGTAGCACAAAAAGTTCCGACCATAGTCTTAAGAAATACAACAAAGATTTTTCAAATTATAGTCGTTTTTTTTCTGCGTAGTGTGATAAAAGCATCTGAACGAAATTATAGAGCTTAGGTATATTCGACAGTCATAGAAAAAATAAGCAGATTGGAAGCCAATTTTTGTGGAAAATGACTCGAAAAAAAAATATAAAAAACGCAAGAATTTTTTCAAGTTGTTTTTTGCAGTTTTTTGAATTATTGACATTTTTGTTTTCAAAAAGGCGCTAATATACGAAAAAACTAAGTTTTTACCCCTTAAATTAAGCAGTTGAAAGCTTTAAGCTATTTACATAAACTATTGTAAGCATGATCGATAATTCGAAATTAGACATTATCAAAAATTTCAAACCGTTTTTTTTCGACACTGGGAAAATTTTTTGAATTTTGTAATGTTGTTCGAAAAATAATACAATTTTTGTAATGTTGGTCGGGCTTTAAAATGATATATCGCTCAACTCTCTCCGATGATTATTTAGGTTTGTTGATTTTGCGTGGAAAAAAAGAACAACAAACTAAAACATGATCTCAGGGAAAAATCATCAATGGTAAAACGTTTTCGACATTATGTCATCATCAGGAACTGCAAAATAGCAAAATTGTACAAATTAAAAGCACATTAAAAAAAGGAAAACTGGAAAGCAATTAAAAACAGATAGAACTGTGATAAACAAGTTTGATTGGAACAAGCCACTGGAATGTGGGACAATGTAACAATGTTACAGCTTCAGGGTCAACTCGCGAGCCTTGTACTCTTCCTTCCGGTTGATTGAAGGCTTTCTCTGGTTGATATGCAATGCTTCCAAGGTTAAAAGTTTAGCGGAGTCTGTTGCTGTGTCAATGATCTTTACTTCGGAGCTGTCAATGGTAACACCACACCAATTGAGGTGTTCTCCTACTGGGCTAGTACCTTAGGAATGTTTGTGCACTCTCGTGGCTAGGTGGCGGGTTGTTTGCCAGACGTAGCTAGACTGGCATCTAGAACAAGTGATTTCGTAAACCACGTTGCCACGAACATTCTCTGGTGTTTTTAGTTTCAGCGATGGTAAGGCTGTCTTCATCTGTCTAGTTGTGAAGATGACAGAAATATTGGCCGTTTTTCGGAGACGCTTGGAGAAAACGTCACTTTTGTTGCCCCTATATTGCATAACAAAGGGTATCCGTTTCTTGGTAGCTTTTTCTGGTGTCTTGGTATTTGTGTCTTGTTTCATGTGTTTCTCAATGATCTTGTTAGGAGTCTCATGGATGATGGGTTCATATAACTGAGGTGGGTATTGGTTTTTCTCCAGCATACATCCAACCTCAGCTATGCTTTCCGTGAAAGCATGCCAGTTGGAAGAGGCATTAAACACACGATGCACAGTTCCTTGCACAATGTTCTTCTTGTATCTCATCGGTGCTTTTATGAACCCATCATCCGTGAGACTCTTAACAAAAACTAAAACACACCCGAATACAAAATTCCTCCCAATTTTCAAATGGTCGGAGATGAACAACAAATCACAGATGAATCCGGCACAGACATTTTTTTTCAAGGCCTATACTCACAGTTTTTTCCTTATTTTAGCGTTTCACCTTTTAAGAGCTTCTTTTTGCCGTTTTCTTGCTTGTGTTTGCGATGTGCAGATTCGCCATTGGGTAAGATGTTTCCATTGAGATGCGAACGAATACTGATTGCCTAAACAGCACATTAAAACTCCTATATGCTGACTTAACGAAAAGCTGAGTATTCTTTTTTAGCTTATTTTTCGGGCTATTCTTATATCAAAAAGGCCGAAAGGCTAAAACACTCTGGGTTTGTTATTGGTTGGTACTCTCTAAACGATGAAAGGTGAAATTAAATCATTGTTAAAAATACTTAAAAAACTAATCCGGTTCAGCCCACAGTGAAGCAATAGCTTCGTGAAAATTAGTTTTCTTTCCTCGCAAAATCAGGTGTCTCAAAAGATCATGGTGCCTCAAATAGGTGCTTCAAAAAATCATCCGAGAGAGTTGAGTGTTATATCATATTAAAGCGTTTACAGTCCTGATTTGAACGACATAAAAAGTTTTGAAAATTTTTTTCAATTTCGAGAAAAACAGATTTTAAACTTTTGATTGATTTTTGGTCTAACCTCGAAAGAATAATATGAGCGAGCGGGCTTACAATAGCTCATTTATGCTTAATTAAAACCGTGAAAACCTAGTTCTACTTTAGTAAAAGTTCGTTTTTGGAGTTTTTTAGCGCCATTTTGAAAATGGGAAGGAAATTTCTGTTCGTGTGTTTTATTTTGTTTTTTTTTTGTTTTCCACACAAAGTAAGGAGCCACAAATGTTCACCGGGTTGAAGCATATTGAAGCCTTTTCAGTCGTAGTTCGAACGACAATGAAGAAGTTTTTGCAAAGTTCTCCCAGTATCGAGAAAAACAGGTTTAAAATTTTTGAACTGTGTTAAATATTTGAACTTTTTTGTTGTATTTTTTGGACTATGATCGGAACGTTCTGTGCGACTTGCACATCAACCATCTATCCTTGTTTTGATTGTTTTTTCATATAAATTCTCTCTAATATAATTCACAGTACGTTCCGTGTTTTCGATTATTTCTCATTTTTGCAAATTTGTAGGTTTGTTTAATATTCTGGATATCAGCCACGGCATCGGCGTCATCTAAATTGAGTTTGTTTCATTTTCACTCTTTGGAAACTTGATCTGCCTAATTTATCCTTTAAATGGGGCATTACCGTAAAGACCCAAACTCACTGATTTCTCCACTTTCTGTCAGATTTTTATACCGAATGTAATTAGCCTTTCAAACTTTTCGTCATCCTCTTCCCTTCAGCGAAGGAATTCCTCATATTCCAAGGACCGATTGCGCGAAAATTTTGCCAACCAATCAGAGCTCAGTATTCAAAAATTCGAAAAAAATTTTAAAAAATTTTGGACAGCTTGGGCATTAGATGGTTGAAGTTTTGTGCATTCGCTTCTTCCTGCATGAAAATAGCCCCCTTTCCAGCATGATTTAATATTTGGCTGAACTGTTTCAGAACGAAGTCCCTGATCCAATAGCGACACAGAATGATACGTCTGAAAATGCAGATCCAAATAAGGTAGCTAGTTTAACTTGAGCGAAAATGATTTTTCCATTGGGAGAGCTATGTCTATTCGCTCACGCTCACTCCAGAAATAGCTAACAGTTTTTGGCAAATGTGGAGCGTCCGTTAGTTTGCTCGTAAAAAAGTGACTATTTTTCCTTCTCATCTGCGAATTTTCACTAGTGATTCTTTGTTCTTATTTTCCGATTGTTACAAAAATTGGCTTTCGGACTAATTAGGCCACAAACATTTTTGGTCTTCAAACTCAACCTTGTAAAACCCGTCGTCACGCCGTAAAATGGGGGGAGGAACCAAAAAAATTTCATTTCTATTGAAGAAATTTCTTTAAGAGGAACAAGTGACTAAATCGTAGTTCGTATATTTAGACTTCAGAATGTATTCTTGGATCTTCATCTAATTCAAGCTCAAATATGGCAGACAGTAACGCCCAGTTCAATCTCGTGTTCACAGTGTCCTCCTCTGCTCTCAACTACTCCTCACTTCTAACTGGCTTCCTTCTGGACAAGTTTGGAACTCTGGTGTCCAAACTACTCGCCAGGTATACTATTAATTACTTCAAAAAATAAGTAAATTTTGTTTAAAAAAACAGTCCTGACTCTCCATTTATAGATCCCATCTAATCATAGCAAATTTTAACCACTACCTAATTGTAAAAGCAGAATAAGCCATTTAACCACTACATAATTGTAAAAGCAGAATATGCCAACAGCTCAATTTAACGATACAAATGTCTTATCATTTGTTTGTGGATTCCACAAACTGTTCTGGATTCCGCAAATACAGTTGCGGATTCCGCAAATTCGCCTATTTTTGGAGCGATTTTGAGCGATACAATGACTTAGGTATTTGTTTGTGGAATCCAAAACAGCATAGAAGATCAAAGAAAAGTAGCAATGTTGCGGATTCCGCGACAAATCTGATTCTAGCCTTATGCGGATTCCGCTTACAATGCAGAGAATGCACAGTTTGGCCTCGTAATGTGGGGTGCTATAGTTTTTTTTGCTACTAGCAGGGGTGGTCTAGGTTTTTCTCTTGGGGGGGATTTTTTTTGGTTGGAAAATTTTGACCAAAAATAGCGTTTTTTCGGCGCGTTCACCCTCAAAGTTAGTTAAAATTGGCGCCAAAAGCACCTTATGAAAAATTTTAGGGTCAGGGTACCAAGCATTGAGGTCTTAAAATAGTACCAAAGGGGGACCCTTTGGGTATTCAGGTGGTCGAATCGGGAAGAGTCAGGGGGCTATATTAGGGAAGATCTATAATGCACATCTTGGGTCTTTTTGCTCAAATTATGTTAACTTAATAGCATTAGTAATTAAACGCAAGATTTCTACATGTTGGCTATTTATTTGGCTCTTATTTAGTTCACCCCTTTGAATTTGTCTAAATTCGATTTGCGAAAGCCTTTTTAAAATGACTTCTGATGTTCTAAACTGCCCTAAAGTATGTTATTATGAACAAGTCAAGAGTATTACAGTTTTTATTGATATGTAAATTTATGTATGAATGACTTTAATTTTGTATTGTGTATTTACGAGGGCCGTGATAAACTGGAAAAGAGCCAGTCATTTGATTTCAACCAATCGGGTGCTACAAACTCAAACTTCGTTTACACATTTTCCAATTTTGCAAATTTGGTCCCTTTAAGCAAAAAAGATACGCTATTTTACTAGTCATGTCTGAGTCACCCGCCACTTATTACCTGAGTTCTATAAACGTGAAAGGAACAGAAAACACTGGCACCTGGTAGCGTGTCAAGGCGATTTACCTAAGTTTTGTCCAACATCCGTTATCTAGCCTTATATATAGCCCAGCATCCGTTAAATGGCCCGGAAGCAGCCCTTCAGTTGAACGCAAAGTCGAAATATATTAAAACTATTAAAACTATATTAGAATATAGACAAAAATAGATGATTAATTTTGAATCTTCGACAATTTTGTGCTTCTGAAGTAGCCATTTTAGACAAATTAAGTCCAAATGCATCACACGGCATGTTTTGCATTAGTTTTTTAGCAGAATGAAAAGCATATTTTTATAGATGAAAGATTGTTTTTCCATCGCTAGAAGACATTTGTTTTGGTTGAACATTTGAGTTTTTCATCCCTTCTGAGAAACCAAACTAAGCTGACGGTAATGGATATCAAGCGAAAGGAAAAAACTAAGCAGATAAAAACTTTACATATGGCCAATTTCACACAAAAGTTTTTTAAAAAGATAGTTTTGCAGAAAACTTTCATTAAAGTACACATTAATGGTTAAATAGTTTTTCTGTGACCTTTTTATCCACAACTCAACTTTTCAACACTAGGCAAAATAACTAGCAAAAAAAATTGCCTAATTGCGCCGAGTATTCCTCGATTTGAAATTAACGACATTTCAATGTTTCTTTTCCTCTTAAATAAGCCTTCTGGCTCTAATACAGTAAGCGGCAATTTAGAGAAAAGCAATTTGGTACAATTTGCTAACAACCAAGGAAAGTTTGCGGTTCGTTCATGCTTTGCCCTCTATGCAGTGCTGATTTAAATTATCCGGACAAAATGAACAAAACTTGAATTTTCAAACGCGTTTTTTTCTATTTGGGTCAAGATTAGACAAAAAGTGAAGAGAACAAAAAGTGCTTAGAATTTCATCCTAATTATTATGGTCCATATTGGCTTTTGATCTATTGAACAAAAATTACTTGAAACTACTTCGTTAATTGATGAGGAATATATATCACAAGAAACTGCTTACACAGTCCAACAAAGTTCTAGAAGTGCTAAATCCTCAAAAACCTGTGTAAGAGAAAATATTTTTGCTTGATTTTCAAGAAACCTGATTTTTTACTATGTAAAACCCAAAATCTTTGCTTAAAAACAAATTTTAAACAATTTACTCAAATTTTTGGAGATTTAACGATTCTAGAACTTTGTTGGACCGTATAAGATGTTTCTTGTGATATATATTCCCCATCGATTAACACAGTTGTTTCAGCGTAATTCTTCGTTAATTGAAAAAAGCCAATATGACCCATTTTTGGGGTAAAATTTTGGTTGAGAATTTAGAAGAAAAAATTGCACCATAAAAATTGTGGTGAAATTCTAAGCACGGTTTGTTCTCACGTTTTTTCCAATCTTAACCTGAATTGAGAAAAACGCATTTAAAAATTCAAGTTGTTCGTTTTGTCCGGATACTTTAAATCAGCACTGTAGTTGAACCTATTGTTGAAACATGGTCCAATCAAAAACAAGAATACTTATGATCCCAGAAAAAAGTGCATGAAAAATGTCTTCCGATTATAAAAACGGAGCACTTGCTTTCGGCGACTATGGAAGTGATCATGGTTTCAGACAGGGGCGGACGCCCCCTTCAGGGACTCGACCCCCTGCCGACCCAAAGGGCCCCCCTTTGCACTATTTTGAGATATCCATTTTTGGCTGACTGACCCTAAAAATTTTCTAAAAGCGCCTTTGGCGCCAATGTACACAAATTTTGAGGGGGGAGCGCGCGCCGAAAACACGCAATTTTTCGGTCAAAATTTTCCAAAAACTGCCTAAAAACGCCTTTTTGGACCGTTGTTTCAAAATGTGACTGCGGCGCAGAAAGTGTGGCCAAAACGGTGTTTTTATTGCATTGGAAGAGCTCGCAAAATCAATTTGGACGACCTTTAAAAATTTCGATGAAATTTTTGAAAATCCGCCCCCTCGAAAATCCTAGATCCGCTCCTACATCTACCATGCCTCCGAATCTGTGGTAGGGACCACACACGCACACTTACACTCGCACACCCACAATTCGCCCTGATACTAGCAATTTTTTTGTGGATACCTCATTATTTCTGTCATGTTTTTTTTAGTTACTGACAACAAAATACTTTTGTCAATACCTTAATCCTGGAATCTTTATATTTTTCCTTGTTTTTCACTTGAATCAGATGTATAACAGTGTATTTCTTAAATCAGTTTTTAGAATCAAATATTTTGGCGATTTCCGTGTTGATCTCAATACAATAGTGATTAGATCTTGAGATTGCATATAGTAGTTTTGAATTTCAGTCTTCTCATCACTTCGGGTCTGTTCATCATGGCGTTCGCAACACCAGGTGCGTTTCCTTCTTTCTTTTATAAGATAAGGGTAGCTGACCCGATAGAAAGTTTTGCTAATGAAACGAAAAATTGAGTTCAAAACTTCAAAAACATCATTGAGCAGTCTTACTTATTGCGATCTTTTTTAAAAGCTTTATCAGGACAGAAGGACCGAATGAGGAAAAAATTCAATTAATCATTGTCCCTTAAACTGTTCAAAAATAACTGATTTTCCAGCTTCTTTCTTTCAGATCAATTTTAGCTATATTTAAGAAGAGAAGTTGTATCATGTAGTATAGTTGTGTCACGTTTGTTGTTAATGTGTAGAGAACTCGTGGCTTCTGTTCGTCTCATTCTCCTTCCTCATCCCCATCGGAGGGTACTGGCACTTTATCTCCAATTTCCAGGTACATGTATTGAACATTAAATAAACAACGAGAGGACAGTTGCTTTTAATAGCACAGCATGTTCCGACCACAATGAATTTAGAAAATAAATTCAAACTGAAGAAAATTTTTAAAATGTCAAAAAAAACGTTCAGTATAATTTAAGATTTTTTTTCAACTAAAACTAAGAATAAGAGGTTATTTTATTAGCCAGTCATTAATTACACTAGTGATTAGCTTTGTGTTTTGTTACGAACCATCTCTATATTACGAACTTTCTATTTTTCTAAAAATTAACATCTGTGCGAATAAGGACACTAAATAGTTCTCTAATTAATTTCATTATGAATATCCTTAAAGAAGTTTTAATTGGGCCTAAACAGTCAATAGACAACCTTATGCATTAAATCAGATATTTTTAAAATTGATTGAGACTACTTCAGCAAATTGTTTTGGTAAAAAAGTATTGAGATTTGTTTTTAAAAAAATTATTGAGTCATAAAGCGTACACCCGAAACAACATCGTATTTATTGAAATGAAAAAAATAATATAATATATAGTTTTCGAGTCTGAAAATTGTTATTTTGGCTACTTTTATTTGCTCGTATATGATCCTGAAAAAAATTTAATCAGATGCAAGATAAGTGAACTGTTAGGTTTCGAAATTTCAGTTTTTTTCTTTGAACTTATTATCTTTTTTTTTCTGGATAAATTTTACATAGATTAAACAATCATTGCATATAACAGTACTTAATAGAACGTTCTCAGCGGCGCTTCAACAGGTTGAATTAACTTCTGTGTTAGCTCAAATTGGAGCTCTTTCAAAGATAAGTTTTCAATATTGTTGGATTGTTACACAACTTGAAAAAAGTTTATTGTATCTAAGCTAACTCGCAAATTAAAGTTCTCATTAAAAGTGTTCACTTATTTGGAAATTTCACTGTAGCATTGGAAATTGCATAGCATCTGTTCTCTGCTTTATTGGTGGCTAGTGTTTGGTACCTATTAATCATCCGTGGCTGAGTAGTTACTGTATGAGGTTCTTAATCTCTAGATCGCAGGTGCGAATATCAGACAAACCGAATTTTAAATAATTCGAGGCTTATTTCTAATTTTTCTTATTGCGTTTTATAGAGCTGCTTTTAGTTCTATTCTCGCTTTTGTCTGCAAAACGCAGCTTCGCCTCTGTGTATAATTTTGCCTGTAAGCGGAAATTTGCACACCAGTGTTTCTCGACTCATACAGTTTCTTTTTTGGACTAGAACCCGAATAAGATAACCCACTTTACTCTCCTACGAGCTGTCTTTGATGCAGTCAAAATGCGTAGGAAAAACACCATACCATTCGGGGGGGGGATGGTCGGAGCAATATTCTTTATTGTTTATGTACCCATCTGTCCGTTGCTATTTCCAGTAGAAAGTCAGATATCAATAACTTTACACACTTTTTAGAATTAAACCTATTAAACCTCAAAAGTGGTATTGAAATTGAAGCTTTTTGCTCCGTCTATTTGAAAGATGGGGAGGAACTTTGTATTCGGTAGTGTTTTAGTTTTGGTACCACGCAAAATCGGTAGTGTTTTAGTTCTGGTACCACGCAAAATTAGGTACCAGAAATAATCATTGGACTGTGTTGAGTGATATATTATATTAAAGCCCTTTCAGACGTGATTCGAACCACATTAAAAAATTTTGAAAAATTTCCAAAAAAACTTTCCCAGTGTCGAGAAAAAATATTTGAATTTTTTTGTTTTAGTCTCAATTCGAGCGAATAAAACGAGCGAGCAGGCTTACAACAGCTGAATTAGGGCTAATTTAAGACCTTAAATTTTTATTTTAAGCAAGTAAGACTAGTTTTTGGACTTTTAAAGCTTCTGTTTGGGAACCATAAACTCCATTTTTTAAATTTTTTTTAGTAATTTTTTTTACAAAATTTTTAGTCCATTTTGCATTTATTACTATGACTGTCTAATGTGCCTAAATTATATTTTTACTTGAGATCATTTTTATCACACTAAGTAGAAACAACTATACCAATTTGGAAAAAAAAGTTTCTAAACCGTAGTTTTCTAAAGACCAGGGTCGGAACATTTCTTGCTACTTGCATAGTAACCGGCCTTCCTTGTTCCATTTACAGAACTGCTCATGGTGGGGAATTTGCGTTGGATATTTAGGTTATATAGTGAAATTTCTTTGAGAGTTCATTATGGAAAAATAGCCATGCATCACGATATCTCTTAATGGGGCAGTATTTTAGGAGTAATGAACGTAGTGAAGCCTCTTATATAGGACTTGCTGATTTCTTTTTGTTTTTTTTTCAGGAAAAAGACTTCAAATATTGATGCACTTAGTTATATATGCATTTTTGAGGTCAATTGAAATTCATCTGCTGAAAGTGACGTTGCTCCAGTTTTCTCAAGTTGCGTTAATGTTATCAAAAAAGGGCCAATCATAAATAGTTCTAGAAATTCCAAGAGCTTAAAGGGCTGCTATTTTTTTCTTTGAAGTTTGAAAGTTGAGATTTTTTCAACAAGTCAGTGTTTTTTATGTTTACTTGTGTTCATCACTCTTTTCCGATCTTCGACTGGCTATGTTATGAAAAGTGTCTATCAAAAATTAAGACTCAGAAATGTCTATCGGCAGTTTTTTTTATCCTTGAACAAAGTGACATAATTGGCTTCCTTGGTTAGTTAGCTTCAATGAGCGAAGTGATTTATTACGAGTAATGAACGTAGTGAATAATCTTATATAGGTCTTGCTGATTTTTTTTCAAGAGAAAGTTGATTACTCTTTTCCAACTGTCCTTTTTCAGGAGAAAGTTCATTACTCTTTTCCAACTGTCACTTGGCTATGTTCATTTAATTGGGTCTTGTGGTTTCCACTTCTATGAAGTCGGCCGCAAATACGTATTCGATTCTACTGGTCCAATTCCAGTCGGCCAACTGTCTGCTGGCTGAAAATTTGCGAGTATGCTTTTTGTGTATCACTGATTTTAATATAAAAATGACTTTGAAAAATTCAGACTCAAAATGAATGTGTTGCGAGAGAATATGAAGTCAGCTGCAGATAGAATTTTATATATTTTTGGGGAAATAGTGTTTAAAAATACTTCAAAGCCTTTTAGTCAGTAAAGAATACTCAACAGAGTTTTCCGAATTTAAAAATCAATGTTAGAATTGAAACACTTAATATTTCCGCTCAGCTCAAAAAGTAACTTTTTCATTTTTACTAAATTTGTTTGCCTGTAATTTTCATCTTGGCCTTTCAGATTTGTTCAATGCACTTGCTTTGATTATTTTTTATTAAATATGTTGTATTGATTTATAGACTTCAAAAGTTTGGTCTCAGAGCGAACCTAATTTTTAATCGCCTTATCTGCAATAGACTCGAATATGTATCAGTTGTCAACTTCACAGACCTAGTGTTTTCCAAGTAAAGGTTTTTCACTGGCAATTTTTTTCAACCTCATTTGCCCAGAGGAAGGTACATTGCGCTCTCCCCTGAGAAAAATGGAAATCGAGCAAAGAAATTTAAGTGACTTCAATCGTCTTTGTTTTTCATGTTTCCCAGCGAAATATAGGTAATACCTGTTGGCCTAGTTTTTTTTATTGGGAACTCCAAGTGCTGTAAAGTGATATTTTGGTATCTATTTTTAACAGAATTAGATCGATAAGCAAGTAACTTAGTTCAAATAACTTGAATTCAGCGAAAAAAACTGATTCACACTTTTCATTTCAAGTTTTTTCTACCATAAAACTACCATATATAAGAAAATGTTTTTTTTTGTTAACCACTTAAGGTAGCCGACGCTACCGGCTAGTTAGTTTAGCGGTCAATATTATGACTATGAACTGAAAAAAACCGTCTTCGGGAAATGATCGAACTTTTTTTACTATAAAAAACACTGCTTAACACAGCAATAAAACTGGAGCGTATTCGAACCCTGGTCTTTTGACCACTGGTTAACGAATTACACGTTAGGTTATATAACTTAGAGCTGTAAAACCTTAAGATATATAACTTAGAGGTAACCCGGGTCTTATAACCACTGGTCAACGAACTACAAGGCTATATAACTGAGAGATAGAAAATTAGTGACTATTTAGCTCAAATAAAATCACGTGGAAGTTCGCCGGACGAGGTTCGTAGAACGGCGGAACGGGCAACTTTTTTCGCCTTAATGCAGTGTGACGATGCGTGCGAGCGAATAGTAGCCACTCGGGATGTTCCATTCAACTACCCAAACGAGATCAACAGTCTTGACGTCCACTATGGTGGAGAGCAACACTTATTAAGCTTGTTGAGTGAGGGAGCATGCTCCCTCAGCCAGCGTGACCATTTAGCCTTAGCGTACGATTGTGCTCGAATATACCGTTTCTTATGGTCAAAGCAATCGTCAGCAAAAGGAACGGAAAACATGCGCAATTTGCCTAAGCAGAAAGTGGTAAGGCGTAAGCGCCTCTAGATTGGTTCGGTCCAAGCTGTCTTGCAGAGAATTCAAAAACTTTCCACTGAGCAGAAAGTCGTACGGAGAACTTTGTGAGTCAATTTACGTGAAGGTTCTCTGACATCTGTGTACCATTCTTTCCCAGGACCCACTATGATGGGTTGCTGATGGGTTTATTTTCCTTGTTATTGCCTAATAAAGTAGGAGGGACGGTGCTCGCTTATTTAATTTACGTATGCAGTGGACTTAATCCTTTTCCACGACAACGAATTTGGTCCTGTTGTCGGACCAAAAGACGGAAGTTATTCCGCGGCGCGCGATAAATTGCTCTATGCCCATCACGCAACAGCTTGTATCTAAGGAGGGTACAATTTCGATATGAACGGCACGGGTGTTAAGATAGCTGAACAAGAACTTTCACCTTTTCTTCGAGCTGCACCGGATGGTTACATGATATGGCAATACTTTCGATGGTCCGGGGTAGTGAACGCAACTTAAGTACCGCGAAGAGCAATTGAATAACGGAACGTAAATTATCAATGCTCTGATGGTGATGCTCGCCATGAAGTGACGGATAAAGAAGACTACTTATAGATGACGACCATCCAAGGTTAGTATGTTTAGCATCGAAATCTGTTTCCGACTAGCGCCTAATATGGCCGGCGGAACGAAGGAGGTTATTTTGATCCACAAAACGCAACGGCGAGTAGGTTGCAGTGTGACCATTTGACTCGACCTCCTTGTTAGTTGACAACAATTCGAATTCTTTTGGGAATGATTTCAATTAAGACAGCCATAACTTTTTTTCGCAATATTAAGTTCAGATGGGTCTTTTGTTGCCGCAGCCGTTAAGCCAGAATGCGTTTCGAACGACGGAAAGAGCTAAAAGCGCTCCAAACATTAAATAGCTTTATAGGAGCACTGGTGCTTCCTACGAAGTTAAGGGTCGTCTCAACAATATCAGCAACCGGGTTCTGTTTGACGAATTTTGTTAATGACGTCTGTTGATGGTTTGAATGGCCAATTATTTGTTAGGGCCCATTTACTTTCAAATTTTCAACTCAAATGTTGCGGGTACCGGTGTCCGCAGGATGTCGCCATTAGCGACATAGGACCACTCATAAAAAACTAAATAATAATGCGAAAAAGTAGCGGCGCAAAACCTGTTTCATGAGCTGAATGAGTTGTATCAATCAAAAAGATTTTTTGACAACCCCTATGAGGGAATCCGAGGATACGAAAGCCTCAATTTGATATATAACAACGAAGTACGGGAGCGGTTTCCAGGAAACCAAACGTTTTGCGTCGGAAAAAAGCCATGTTTCAGGTAATTTTCCCCAAAATATTTTAAAATTTTCGATAATGTCTGATTCTTAAATTTTGCGGCTTTGTTTGAGCATACAAACAATTAGACTAGTTAATTTAGCGGTCAAGGTTTTGACTTTGAACTAGAAAACCGTATCTGGTTGATGGTCCACCGTGTCCTAACAATTTCACCATAAACAATTACTTAATGACCTGGGGACGATGCGCGCCCTGGTCTTATGACCACTGGTCAACGAATTAAACGTTAGACTATATAATTTGAGAGAAAAAGAGGTAAGAGACTATTTAGTATAAGTAAACTTGAGTTTAACAGTCTCCGAAAACCAAAAGTTTAGTTTATGTTCAACGGCCATAGTTTTTGTTGTAACGTGAGTCTTTGTTGTAGTGTGATTTAGCTGTATCTTCAATTATTTCAATATTGAATTTTTGTTATTTTGTGTTGTGTAGATTGGTAATCTGTTTGGAAAGTGGCAGGGAACCATAGTGACCATCTTCAGCGGAAGTTTTGACTCCTCTTCATTTGTGTTCCTCCTGTTTGCAGTGAGTAGAAGATTTAAAATAATTGTAATAACAAAGAGAAAAGTGCAAGAATGCCATCTAATTTCAGTTATCACATGCAGGCCTAAAGACTAACTTATAGCTAACATTTATACCTATTTAAACAAACTAGGACTTGCTTTTTTGTGGTAATTGAATCTGTATCAGTTAAATAAGTGTCTAGATTGAGAAGGAACAAAATTCTCAAAGAAATTTAAAAAGTACAAATATGAAAATAAACATCCCAAATATGAAATTAAACATCCTATTCCATCCACTGATCAACTACCCTTGATCAGAACACATCTGAAAAACACTTTGATGATTAGTTTCCAAATTCAAAAAAAGACTCGCGATAAATTCCCTTTAACTGATCTTCTCGTTTGATGGTTTGATACGATTTCGTAGTGATAGTGTTTTAATGCATGGTTTAAAGAATGAGCATAGAAAATAAAATTGATGAGCCTAGAATATAAAACAAAAGAATATGTTGTTTAGGAGTTGTATGGATTCGGTATTTCTCTTCACACCATATTCTTCGTATACGGATGTGCAAGTTTGTACCTCTTAGTGAATGCTCTCTTCTTTCTCCCCCGATCTTACATCCCCTTCCCCCTGCCCCAAAACTGGACGAGGAACTACAAATTGAAGACCGAAATAAGCGAACATGAGTCCAAGAATGAAACAGAATCGAAGCTCCTCGGAGGAGGAACGGGAAAGACCTCAAAAGGTGAGCTAACAAAGATAACTCGAATTTAAGTTTTTGAACTCGTAAACTTATGTGCAAGTTGGTTAGTTTGTTAACTTGTTGGTGTTCAATGTTCAGCATTGTAGGTTCTGGATAGAGAGAAATCTTCAAAAGTTCGTATTTTCCAAGAAGTAGATCATGCAATAGCTTCTTTTTCAACCATTGACCAAAAAAAATCTGATGAATTGAAAGTTTTGGACGTCTTGTAGAAGCGACGATTTTAGCGTGTAGAGTTAGGGTTATAATAATATATATGTGTTCTATTATCTAATTTGGTTGAAAATTAGTTTTTTTTTCGGGTTTCTTCCGCTCGTTTTCATTGACACTTTTTCAAATGTCCGTTGGCTGGGTTTTAGATTTCGGAATTGATTGATTGTTTGTTTTTAGAGGAGGAAGGCGGGGGCGATGAGGATGACAGTATCATGGTGGTGGCAGATGACGATAACAACCTGAAGGAGGTGGAGATTGTAGACTGCAAGGAGGAGAAACAGGAGATCAAAATGGAAGTGGAAGAAGATAAGGGAGAGGATGACGTAGACGCAGGTAGGTGCGATAAATTGTAATAAGGATAGCTGGTTGCTGTGCAAGTATCTCAGTATTTTTCGACCTCTGCATTTTAATGAAAACAATTATAAAAAAGTTTATAGTTGCTTTGCAAGTATTACAGAATGTTCCGAACTCGGCGTTTTAATGAATGCAATTATAAAAAAGTTTATAGTTGCTTTGCAAGTATTACAGAATGTTTCGACCTCGGCATTTTAATGAAAGCAATTAAAAAAAAATAGCTTATATTTGCTTTTTAAGTATCACAGAATGTTCTGACCTTTGCAGTTAGTGAAGTAATTATAAAAAGAAGGAAAAATAGAAAAAATTGAATCATACATATTTCTCTGGTTCATTCCTAAGTGTGCATTAGTGGACTAATTTTTTTGGAATGATGTCTTTGAAATTTTTTGCAATGTATTTGAAATGATAACACACTTGGCCACTACAAGTTTTCATTGAGGATCTAAAGTCGGATGAAGTTAACCAACGCACACTATAGTTCCTTCCCACCCCTCTAATGAGAGAAGGTGCAGGTGGTTGGAACCATAATTGTTTTAAGAGCACCACTGTTTATAAATTAAATAAACTATCTGTTCTGTTTTGCAGTGGCAGCAGAAGACAGAGAGGGCAGCAGTTGTTCATTCTGGCGTGACTGTGTGTTCACATGGAAATACTCTCTCCACGTGGTGTTCGTGTCTGTCAATCAGCTGAAGATCTATATCTTCCTCTCGGTCGTTTTATCTTTCTTGGAAACGTTTGAAGTGGACCAACAACAGTGTGAGTGATTATGAATTTGAATGAGTATTACCGCTAGCCGTGTTTTATAAGAAATGGAAATGTGGTCATTCAGTTAATCTAAAAAATCCGCAAATGTGAAATCATGATCCCAAGATTTTTCCTTCTTGTTGCAGATCAGACGAGTTTAGTGTTAAATTACATACATTAGGTTTGATAAATAGTATTTGGGCCGCATTTTTTTTGGAACTTACGCTCAAATTCACCTCTTTATTGACTGATCGATTTAGACGAAAGAAGCCAAAAAGTTGCCAAATGTTTTTGTAAGCAATGCTGCTTAAAAGAAACAAGCTGAATAAATCCAAATATTCAAATGTCATTTTAAAACAAAACCAAAAATTGAGAGCACATTAAGTTGAAGATTTAGTATGTATTTTCTTTGTCCTTGAAACTGGACGCGACTGAGTCATACGTCGTTGCAGTTGACACGATGAGACGGACTCTTGGAGTGGTGCAGCTAACTGGCATTTTCTGGTCGCCCATCGTGGGACTGATCGTAGACAGAAATAAGAGAAGTAAGTTGGATAGAATTCGTAAGAAGTCATAGATTAAAAACGAAGTGCATTGAATGTATATTAATAAAACACAATTAATATGAAATAATCTACCAAGGATAGCTGTTTACTGTACAAATAGCTTGGAATGTTCCGACCATAGTCTTAAAAATACATATTTTTCTTCAAAATTGTGATTTTCTGTGTAGTGTGATCGTAAGATCTGAACGCAGAAATAGAAATTAGGCATATTAAACAGTCATAGTCAAATTGACCAATTGGAAAAAGGTTTTTGTTAAAAATGAATAGAAAAACAAATAATCGTAAAAATATTTTAAGAAATTCTTTATTTTTTTGCAGAAATTTTAGATTCCCTAATTGGCGCTAAAATTTTCGAAAATTTTTGTTCGAGTAAAACTAAGCTTTCGCGGCTTAAATCGAGCTTGAAAAAGTTATTGTAAGCCTTCAAACCTCGTTTTGACAAAACTTATTAGCTCGAAACTAGATCAGAAATCAACAATTTCAAACCGGTTTCTCTTGACTCTGGGAAAAAATTTTTAATTTCGTTTGAATCACGGCGGAAAGGGCTTAGATTTGATATATCGCTCGACCCATTCCGATAATTAAGAGTAATGAACATTTTGAAGACTCTTGTATAGGTCTTGTTGATTTTTTTTAGTTCAGGAAAAATCTGAAAAGAATTTAATAACTACAGATTTGCATTCATACATATTGATGCATTTAGGAATGCACTTAGATATATATGCACTTTTTGAGTTCAATTGAAATGCATCTGCTGAAAGTGACGTAAATAGCACTCTCCAAATATGAACGTGGAAATGGCGCGAAAAAACGTGAACAATTTCTAGTTTCGAAACTGGAATTAAGGTTTTGGATTTCCAGCGGAATAAAAACTTACCCATTGATCCAGTTTTCTCTAGTTGGGTTCAAGTTATCACAAAAACGCCAATCATAAATAGTTCTAGAAATTCAAAGAGCTTAATGGGCATCTATTTTTTTCTTTGAAATTCGAAGTTTTTCCAAGAAAGTCAGTGCTTTTATGTCTATTTGCGTTCACTACGCTTTTCCATCTCTGATTTGCTATGTTCATTTGTGGTTCCTGATTTTTGCATGGAAATCAAGCCGAAAGAAGCTAAAACACACCCGAATACAAAGCTTCTCTACTTTTTTCAAATGATCGTAACAATAACCCAAAATCAAAAAGAAAAACGAAGTCGTTATTCTTTAGACGAATTCCACGTAATATTCAAAGGCTGCAACTGTTTAATTTTCAAGGTAAGCTTATTACTCAAGCCAAGCGTAGCGTAATATTACGAACATTTTTTTGTAACCTAAGTCGCAAATAAAAGTGCTCATTTAGTGGCACTGTTAGTATTTGTCAATCTATTATAAATTAAGTTTATTTAATGACATGAGGCTGCTTAATTTTCGTTGTTGTTTGAAAAAAAAACTGTTTCATGAAAAAGTGAGGAGTTTCTTGTTGCTCGTTTTTTTGCGACGCTTTGGAAATTTTTTGCAGAAATTTCAATGTTTCTCAAAAACTATCGATTCAGTTTACAAAAAAAGTGTCAATGGAAACACCGGCTGCTCTTCAATGTGCCTGCAAATTTCGCTAGTCTCTTTTCATTCAACCTCACGTTCTACGGCCTTCGAAAGTTTCAGAAGAGTGATTTTTGGCCTATTGGTTTTGAATTTTTTCTCAAATATTAAATGCAGAAATCTGAGATGAAGGTTTCAATCAAAAGAATAAATTATGGGCATCTCCATTTCTCAGCGGTTGTTCCATTTCTCACTAAAAGTCGCAAATAAAAGTGCTCATTTAGTGGCACTGTTAGTATTTGTCAATCTATTATAAATTAAGTTTATTTAATGACATGAGGCTGCTTAATTTTCGTTGTTGTTTGAAAAAAAAAAATCGGTTTCATGAAAATGTGAGGAGTTTCTTGTTGCTCGTTTTTTTTGCGACGCTTTGGAAATTTTTTGCAGAAATTTCAATGTTTCTCAAAAACTATCGATTCAGTTTACAAAAAAAGTGTCAATGGAAACACCGACTGCTCTTCAATGTGCCTGCAAATTTCGCTAGTCTCTTTTCATTCAACCTCACGTTCTACGGCCTTCGAAAGTTTCAGAAGAGTGATTTTTGGCCTATTGGTTTTGAATTTTTTCTCAAATATTAAATGCAGAAATCTGAGATGAAGGTTTCAATCAAAAGAATAAATTATGGGGATCTCCATTTCTCAGCGGTTGTTCCTTGAGCTCGGTTAAAAAAGTTAAGGCCTCAAAGAAGCCCATATTTTGACATTTTGTGTTAATTTTTATAACTGTTAGTTTTTTTTCAAAACTATCCAGCCAAGTTGGAGATTATGGGTTTAATCGAAAGAAAAAATCAGTTGTGCGATTCTTACCCTGCACTGCGTTTTGAGAAAAATATGGACTTAAGAAACGTCCAGTTTTTGACATTTAGCCCGTTTTTTGAAAGTTATTCTTGTTTTTTGAAAACTAACCTGCTGATTTTGAGATTGATAGGTCCTTAAAACTATGATGCTTAGGTTTTCCCTGCGTAATCTGTTTTACCCTGTTTTTTTTTTGTAGAAAAGCTGATATGGCTTTCGAAAAAATTCCTTTTTTTTCCAAATTTTCACCGTTTTTTTTAGAAATTTTGTCACTATTCTGGAAAACTACTATCTAAAGAAAACTACCTGATATTAAGGGTTCAATCTCAACAATATGTTAGCTCATGCTTTATTAGAGAAAAGTTTATGGATTTACGAAAAGTCATATGTTTGAATTTTGATAGATTTTTGGAATCTTCTCACTTTTTTTTCGAAAGCTACCAATCTAAATCTGAGATAAATACTTCATTTGAAAGAGCGAGTAGTATTAAGCTGTTAAGATGTTAAACTTCCTACAGAAGCAGAGAAACACTAGGGATTAGCGTTGAGTCCTTTTTTTAAAGTTTTTTTTTAAAATTCCGTATCAGTACAATATATGATTTAAAGTATTAGAACAGGTAGATCCAGCATCATTAGCTGGGCCTTTAGTTTACGTCCGAGCAACCATGGCACAGATACGAGGACGAGACTCCTAATCAACTGGTCGGATTTTCAAATCCGGAACAGTTAAATAGTTTTATTTTTTTGTCGAATTTTTGCTTAAATTGGAATTTTGATAAAACGTAGCTGCTTTATTGGTGGCTAGAATTAGTTTTATTACAAGTGGTCTTGAGGTAGATTTCAGAATGTGATACCCTTAATCTCGGCATTTTTTTTCGAGTTGTATTCTTCATCTTGTCCTTATTTTTTTGCCTGTTTACAGCTCTTTTGCGTTTTTCTCGCTTGTTTGTGTGAAAATTGTTCTTCAGTCTGAATTCAATTATATTATAGTTTATCACGTTTTCAAGTACAATAGGTTATTTTATGTGCTTAACACGAGCGTAACGTAGTGTGAAATAACGGTGTAACTTTTTTTCCAATCCAAGACGCAAATAAAAGTTCTCATTTTGGCAGCTTTTTGAATCAGTTGGCTGAATTAGCATTAAAAGACCAATGGTTTTGACATTTAATAGGTAATAATTTCACACAGTTGGTCCTTTTTTGATTCACCAGTTGCACCGAATCTGAATAAGCACAGTTCTCTTAAAACAGTTTTTAACCGAAATTTATTATCATTTTGCTGTATGAAGACGAGTTGTTCTGTTCGGCAATGTTCACTTACTTGATGATATGGATAATCTAACATGTAATTTCTGATCTGAGAAGAACTTAATCGATTGTGTCTCGAATTTAATTTCAATTTTAGAAAGAATCGTATTCGAGACTAAAACAGCAGTTTTTATGCCCAAATTGTTTTGATGAAATTACTACTAGTGAAGTAAACTAGTGTAATTTGCTCAAGTTATGTATGTTCATCAGCAGCAATCTCGTACTTGATGAATTGTAATGGTTAAATACCACCTCGCATTTTTAGCATAAATTTTGATTCTTTGATAATTAAAAGTATGATCGATTACAACACCACAATTTTTGACCATTCTTTTTCTTTAGTTATCACATTTTTAATGTGAATGAAATAAAATTTCAAGTATGAAGAATGAAATTTCAATATAGGTCTAAAGTATTATTGTTATGACTTAAAAATGTTCGACATGCGCTCTGTTTTTTTCTTCAATTTTCCGATTTCCAGATGATCTGAAGGTTTTCGAGTTTTTCGGGAGTTAATAAGATTTTGGCTATTTTCCATTATGCCCCAAATTTTGAAACATGGAAATTTATTTTTAAATGGATTGAATTCACTGATTATTTTCAATAATTGCATCAAATAGGTCAACTCAAGTAGCTTTTTTTCTACATAAGCTTGCATTAAAAGAATCTAACAGTCCTGTGGGCTCCTCAATGTCTTTTTTAAAATTTGGCAATGTTCCCTAGACCTTCAACAAGGTTACAATTAGCCCATGCTCCTGTGGATGGGTCCACTAAAGTTTCGGAATGCTTATCGGTTCTTATTATACTTTCTTGTGATAAAATAACTTCATCAATTTCCACAGTGAAGCCTTTTCCATCGTTTTTTATTTCGTTCAAGTAAACAAAAACTGTGGACATACCTCAACTACGTAGGTATTCCAGTTTATAGTTGAACTATGTCTAATACCAAGCTCCTTACCAAGCGCAGAATTTTTGGTTGTTTATTTTTGCGACCAGCTGTACAAAAAACAATAAGTTGTTGGTAGGTGACATTGGTGCCTCCTTTACCTGCTCCCGTTTTTTTGGCATTTTTGTTTCGGACTGAGCCATCTTTTTTAATCAGTATTTCTCTGCAATTACAAGCTCCTCATTTTTGTAGAATTTTTCTGTTTTGCCGAAATAAATGCCTCTGATTATCTGCGAGAATACTTTCGGTCGTTCTTTTTTGTTGAAAAAGAAGCGCTTTCGTCAATATGACATCATCAGCAAATCATTTGAAGCAACATAGTAGGACTCGTGTATGTTTTAGGTTCTTCCTCTCCTAAAACGGACACGGGGGACTGCTTAGGAGACTTCGCTCTGCCCCTTTTGATCACATGTGTGCTGGGAACAGTATGCAGTGCTAATCTACTGGTGCCATATGCCTCGGCTCAATACGCATCATTCTTTCTTCAAGTCATCCTGAGAGCATTCAATTATGGACTGGCTTTCTCTTTTGTTGCTTGCAAGTTAGTGAAGTCCATATATGGAGGAAATTATATCAATTTAGAGCTTGTTTCAAAACAATTTTTATCACAGTAAAAATCAAAATGTTGAACACGGGATAGTTTTCTGAAAGGCGTGTTCACGAAATTTAAAAACCAATTTTGTGAACTCTTCTTTAAAGATTTACTAGTTGCAGAAGGGAAAAAGGTCGTTCTTTAAAGATTTACTAGTTGCAGAAGGGAAAAAGGACATTTCAACTTTTTTGATGGCTTGTTTTCAGTTTTCCTCCTCAACACATTGGCAAACTAATCGGTCTTCTAATGGCCATAGCTGCCACTTTCTCCTCACTACAGTACCCAATCATACAATATGTTCACGCAACTGCCACGCCCCCATCAGAATCATCATCACAATCGTGCTATCCTCCCGAACCGACCCTGGATTACACACGAGTGCATATTTTATTATTGTTATTGGGAGTGTTACCATTTGCACACCCAATGATGGTATGGTACCAAGCGAGACAGAAACTAAGGAAAGCGTCTCCTAAATTGCAAGATGATTACGTGCTAACTGATTTGAAACGAACAAGAACTTCAACTGCCTGAAATTTCTCAAAAGTTTTTTCAGAATCGTGTTTTGTGAAGTAAAATTAAAACTCTCCACGCGTGAAACTTTGAATATTGGATTGAAGATTTCTTAAAACTTGAAAGTATAGTAGGTTAAACGTGTACGTGCTCTGGGGGTAATGCTTGATCTTCTATATTAGATAAGGAGCAATATTAGAATAGGTGGCACATTTACAAAAGCTAATTTTTGCATGATGCTCAATTGTATTTCAAATTAACTTTGTTTTAATTAAAAGGTGAAAATTCCATGGATCAAAGGCGAAATCTATTTTTCTATAGGTTTTATTTAACTTTTATCTTATTTAAATAGCCATCGATGTTCTCAAAGAGATCCGATGTTCTCAGAGAACCGAAGATAACATTATCTTATGTTAACATCCAAATGTACAACCTAAGCCAATAAATAATCATATATTTCTATAATTGAACAACCCATCAGTTTAGAGAAAAAAGGTTCAAAGCAGAAATGTACCTAAAATCATTACTACCAGGCTAACTCGAAAGGTAGCTTTCAATTAGGAGCACAGAATTATCTTTCTGTTACCACTTGCCATTTTAAGCGCTATGATGTATCTTATATGATATGTCGATGAAGGGTTGAGTGTAAACATCCACTAAATCAAACATACGAACTTACATTGGGCACATTACATAACCATGCTACATAAAACTACGCAACTATATCGTTAAAAATAAAAAACATATATAGTTGCTTTAGCTTCGTACTTTTCGGATGTTTGCACTGTACTCGTTGATGAAGTCAGCTAATTACGAAGATCAATTTCAGTTTTCCTTCGGGTACCAAAATAGTAGTTAATTTGTACCGTCCGTAATTTGATTTTATCCTGGATTTTTCTCTTGCTTTACGTTTTGTATAGTTTGAACTTGAAGATATCAAATACTTAAATTTTGGATTTGATTAGATGTATCATATTTTTACAAGATAACCCAAATCCAATTTGCAATTGAGTTATGGCGTTCCTGGTTTCTATCCATTGCTTTGTCTACAATTTCTTTTTTCTTGTTACTTCGAACTGGATATAATATAGTGTTTGTTGATTGATATTTTCTTCACAAGTGTAGTAGTATCAGCAATCCAAGATGACGAGTCCTTGCTCAAGCTGAGCGCTGTATTATTTAATACGCATTTTGTGAGATACAACGAGTTTTATGCCGAGTTTGATGATACGGAATTTATCTTATTCCACAAGCAACGCTTTTGCTATAATTCGAGTTCATTTTTCCTGGCCAAAGTTGCACATTTGGTTGCACTGTTTTTAGCGCTATACGGTTTCTTCATTAATTTTAAGCAGCATGTTGCTTGATTTTTTAAGAGTAGATGAACGCAATAATTACCCTGGTACAGCTGATGTTGATTTTTTTCAATGTGTTTTTCGAAAAAAGTTTTTGTGTTGTTCAGGCTCAAATTATTTTACGCTGTTGTTGTTTTTCGCACAAAATGGCGCGAAATTTGTGATAGAATTGTAGTTTCAAAAATACATTTAAATTTTCAGAATTCTCAGCGGAATAGTAAAATTTTCTTCTGATCACATTGGGTTAGTTTTATTAGGAGTCATGAACGTTGTAAATACTTTTGGATAGGCCATGGTGATATTTTAATATTTTTTTATTCAGGAAAAGTCCCAAATTTGTTTCCCATGAAAAATTTGATTTTTCGCGTCTGACTTTTCATTTCTTTTTACGTTCAGATCATTTCCTTTGTTAAAAGCAAGGCAAACTCCACTGTCAAACAGCAAAAGTAGAGATCACGAAAAATGTGATCGGCTTAGTTTCCAAAGTGTAATTTAATTTCAGATTTCTTTGCGAAATGTAAAATTTAGATATTGATCCAGTTTTCTCAACTTGGGCTAATTTTATCAAAAGAGTCAATTATTGAGTGTCGAACAGCGTAAGTGTAAAGGTCACGAAAAACTTGAGAATTTCTAGGATATTTGAGGCTATTAATTTTTTTTTGAATTTTTCGTACCCATTTCAAGAAACAAGTCAATATTTTTGTGTTTACTTGCGTTCATTGACTCTTTTCCAATTGTCTGTTGTTAATGTTTTTAGTATTCCGGCGGTTTTGGTTTTTCATTTACTTTTAACTGAACGTCTTGTTTTTTTTTGCGAGATGGAGTTCAAATTACATTCTCTAATAATATGAACGTATTTGCTCGCAAAAGAGCTTCTTTATAAGAGTCGATAAACATAGTGAAGTCTTATATAGTTCGCCATAATTTTTTTCAGGAAAAAAATCTAATTTGTTTTTTTTTGTCGTTTTCCACGCTAAATTAGGTACCACAAATAATCATCGGACTGAGGTGAGTGATTTATCATATTCAAGCTCTTTCAGTCGTGATTGGAATCACTCAAAAAAATTAAAAACTTCCCAGTGTCGAGTAAACCCGGTTTGAAATTTTGATTTTAAGTCCTTTTTCAAGCGAATAAAGCGAGCGAGCCGTCTTATTTTAATTGCTTAAAAGCTTACAATAGCTTTATTTGAAACGTAAAAATCTAGTTTTACTTGAGTAACGTTAGTTTACTTTGAGTATTTTAACGCCTTATGCAATCAAAATTTTCAAAAATTCAAAAAAAAAACTGCAGAAAAACTTTTTTGAATTCTTATTTTGTTTTTTATTTCGTTTTTCTAGTACTTCTACAAAAACTGTTTTTCAATTTGTTTATTTTACTATGGCTGTCGAATATACCTAATCCCCAGTTTTTTTGTTCAGATTCTTTTATCACACCACGCCAAAAAAAACACAATAATTTGAAAAAACGTTTTGTATTATTTAAGACTATGCTCGGGACATTCTGTGCTACTTGCACAATTACCGGCTGTACTTGTTCAAACATGATCTTCGATAATCTTTTCGCTGGACTAAAAGTACTTCGATAATCTATTTTTTGATGTTGGTAGTCCTTGGCTTTATTGAAATCGAAATTTATAACTAGATCAATTTGTGTCATACTTTAATTGGCACAATCAATGGAAAAGCTTTTAGCAAGTTCTGGTCACAAAATTTTAATAAATGAGAACTGTCCTTGCTCAAAGGAGCATTTAGATACAACTACGAAACTAATAGTAGCAATTTATGTATGCGTAATTCAAACTTTCCTCGAAGTCACTGCTCTTGGGAGATTAACTGGGATGTTAGGGAGGTTAACTGGAGAATATAACATGAATGTGTTCATAATTAAGCTTAAATTAAAAGCAACATCACGATGAGCGCTATTGTCTCAAGTTAAAGCGTCAGCCTGTTGGAGTTTTCGATAAGATTTTTTTAACCTTTTTTCTTGTATAATGTCATGTCAGTTCAATATATATTATTTAGGTTTTTTGTTTATTTGTTGGTGAAATGCACAAAAAAACTTTCAATTTTTGGTAGGTTCTTTTTAGTTTAATTGTTCGGACTGAGGTTCTGTCAGATTAGTCGACCACGTTGAACTGAATTAGTTTTTATTAGGAGGCGGCTGTTTCCAATAACGTTGAACAAATAATTGTACTACTCTATCTGAAAGATTTTTCCTCCGTAGATTTATACTGCAAAAGCTATCTTGACTGCAAAAGTGCGTTGATTGCTGCTTGTATTTATTCTTTTTCTTAGTGATGTCTTCGCTTGTTTTAAAGTTACAACTTCGCCGTCAAAATCTTCTTTAAACTCTCAAATTGAATTTGGTTGCTATTTATAGCTCCACAATCCCCAGTTTTGGGATTTTTGTCCTCCCTGAACTAAAAGTTTGTCATATTTTGGAGTGTTTTCAAGGTATGTATCCCTAGTTTTTAGTTTTCTCAATTTCTGTCAATTTTTCCTTTCTATTTATAGCAAGTGGCGTAAATAGAAATTTATAGCAAGTGGCGTTTCTACTTCGCCCATGTGTGCCCATAGGTTCTCTGACATCTCGTTAAGGTCTAGATCTTAAGTTAGTGATTTCGAATTACGTTGGAGCACTCTGATGACTTCTTTCAAATTACTAATTCCTTTGGCTCTTTTTCCTTCCCCCCCCCCCCCCCCCCCCACCTCACACAAACATGAATTTTATGGTCTACCGAGAGCCATTCGTTTTAGTATTGCATGCTAACGACAGGTCTTAGATGGTCGAGACTTCGGCTCTTTTTGAGTTTTTAGTCGCTTTTGTAGAATTGCGATGTCAAGTACTCGGAAATTTTTTAAACCTCAATGTGCATGTGAAACCAAACTGTTGTTCAAATCTGTTCACGTTCTTACTGACTTTATGATAGATGACGACAAAAGTTATTTTAAATAGGTTTTGAAAATTTCACTTGAGAAAAACGATGGAGGAGTAGACTTGAGCATCCTGCCTACTTGGTTTGTATTGATAAACCGATCTACAGAAATTAAAATTTTGTCGCATTATTAATATTTTGTCGTAATCTTCATACTTTTATAAACCTCACACACGAATTACCGGAAGCAATCCTATACTTTAGAACTAATTTACGGAATCTATCTTTTGCCCTGAACACCTAAATATTTTAAAGGTGATATTATTGACCAAATTTTATTTGAGAATTATGGTTAAAAGGCGCTTTTGGTCAAGATCTACCATTAAATATAGATTCTCTACGGCCCCAGTGGTCATGCTAAAACAACTTTTTTGCGCGATTGAATGACATAGTTTAGGTCAGAGGTCAATTTTTTTTGAGAAAAAAGTAATCAGTCTGCCTGGACTGGAAAAGAACTATGACTTTTTTGCCAAAGTTTTGCTCATCTTTGCTATTACAATTTATGGTTGAAAAGAGGAAAACGTGCGAGTTAAGCTACCTGTTACGCTCTACACTTTTTACAGCTATTCTGAGAGCTGCTATTTTTGTTTATCTCATTGATTTAGCAAATTAAAGGAGATGAACCCATTGAAAAAAATATAAACAAGTTTATTTTGTTTCAGCTTGTATTATGGAGTGTTTGGAATAGATAAACTTTAATGCGTTCAGCATTAAAGTTTCATCGACATCAAATGATGCTTCCCAGGTAGTGAGCCCAAATCATGGATTTATCTCAGGAAGAGTTTGAGCTTATTCAGTCACTTCTAGAGTCACAACTCACCCCCTTTGGGTTCGAATCCAGTCCGTTACTAATCAAATGGTACAACGAGCAAGTCGACAAAAAGTTCAAGTTCAAATCCATTCATGAAGATTCGCTGGCGTTTTGTGTGACCAGTACTTCTGAAATGTTTGAGCGGGGCTTTCTCCCATTTGTGTTCGAATCGGGAATTTGTCGCGATTTACGCAATGCGTTGGACGAAAGCATCGGATTTTACTTGAAGAAAATGTGCCAAGATTTGCAAAATTACCAACCGATCTTCTATAGAGGTGGGTATTGAAAGTTTGAATGGAAAATTGGCAACAGTTTTCAGTGATATTTTAGTAAAATGAGAGCTGCTGTTTTTACTTTTTGAATCATCACCGGTGGTCACTTGCCAATGAACTATAATATAACTAAGTGAGGCGGGTTTGCAGAGAATTTGGTTCAAAAATTGTGTTTTTTTTGGCAAGCGTTATCCTCAATAATATGGCGCATCAAAAATAGGGAAATGATCAACATACAAGCTGTTCCGCTTTAACGGAAATACGCTTGCTGTTGTGCCCTGGATAATAACTACATGCTTTTAAGTCTTTTGTAGACTCCGATTTGGAACCGGGAACAAGGCGACCTGCCTTCTTAGCCCAAACAGCCGCTCACGTGAGCGGAGTCGCCTACTACTACCACCCTTCGGAGATAATCCAGTCGGCTAAGAGAGAAGGCATCCCATTGCCCTGGAGTGAAGAAGATCAGCAGGGCAGAGTTTACGGAGTGTCCATTCACCATAAATATGGGGGTTGGTTTGCAATCAGAGGTGAGAGTTTAGCCAGAATTAAATGCAGGGTTTAAAAAAACCGCTTTTTACGAGTCGATAAACGTTGTGTAGACTCTTATATTGATCGCGATTATTTTTTTCCAGGAATTTTCCAGGCTCAAATTTACTTTTGGGATTTGATTTTTGATTTCTTTTCAAGTTCCGTTCATTTCCTTTGTTAAAACGAGGGCAAATTTTACGATCAAGGAGCAAACATTTAAAGGTCACAAAACACGTCTTCTAATTTTGAAAATGGAAATTAGTTATTAGATTTAAAAGTAAAAGCGAAATCAAAGTTTTAATTATTGATCCAATTTTCTCAAATTGGGTTAATTTTATCGAAAACGTGTCAATTGTAAATTGTCCTAGAAATCCGATGAGCTTTAAGGGCATCTATTTTTTTTTCTTTGAAATTCGAAAAATTAGATCATGAAGTTTTATTTGTTCAGTTTTCCTGCAGGTCTCATCATTCTGCAAAATGTGAAATACAAATCTCTTCAACAAACACCTCCACCAGATGTGGTCGAATCAATACAGCTGAAGGTGAAATTACTCAACGATTTCAATTTTAGTAACTGGAAAAACTGGAATTACCGAGATATCATTCCGGTTCATCCAAAAATGAAATACAGTCAACTGCAGAGAAAGTATTTCGAAACAGAACCTAAATTGAGATACGATTCGTTGCATGATGAATTGAAACAATCTTGGTTGAACTTGAAAGAAATGTGAAATGACTTCTTATGTTTGGTAAATGAATATTGTATGACAATTTGAATGTTTTTTTTTGCAGAAACTTGTATGTTTTTTTTGCAGAATCTTGTAAGTTATTTTTTGTGCAGTAAATTTTCTTCAATATAGCTTGAGTTAATCTTAATAATTTACTATTAGTGTGAGTAAATTTTTTTATTTGAAGATTCATTCATAAATTAATTTAAGTGAAATGTTGCACCCGGGCAAAAAGTTGCTCACTCAACAATGCAAAAAGTTGCTCACCATAATTTTCCATTCTTGGAATAATTTTCCATAATTTTCCATTTTGCATTTTCCAAACTCAATGCAAAAAGTTTCTCACCATAATTTTCCATTCATGGAGTCTATGGAAAATGCTTATCATGTAATTTCTTACAACCACACCATTATGCTGCAAAAAGAAGCTCTATGTGATCTAGTGATTTTAAATAATATGAAGTAGGTAGGGTTCTGACACCGCCAATTTGGAGCTTAAGCCGTACGATTTGTATTTCAATTCGCGGCTTCAATTATGATATCACAAATATTGGCTTCACAAATATTGGCTTCATCGCAAGTTTTTGGCCGGAAAGTGCTGATTTTGTACAGCATTTATTGCAGCAAATGAGCTAGTTATGGAAGTAGTTTTTTGGGCTGTTTGTTTTTGATAAAAAATACTTAATTCACCCGTGAAACAGTTGCAAGTTGCTTACAACCATGCTGTACCAAAAAAATTAGGAAAATTTTCTTAAACCAAGATCTTACTCAAAGAAACCCTAAAATTTTTTCCTAAAATTTTACAGCATTTTGCCGGCATCCAAATAAGCGATTTAGCAATTAGCAGTTCAAATAAAGCTAAAATCTACATGAAACTGAAAGACTATCAGCGACCGATTTTTATCAGCCGGGATCTTTTTGCTGAAGAACTCAAGATAGAAAAACAACTACAGGCCACTCGCTACAGTTTCATTCAAGAAAAATTTTCACCAAGTAACAATTGCGCTTTAGAATTGTGAAGCTTTTCGTAAAAACTAGCAATGATGAATGGAATGAAATGGGAATGCTGGCTGACTCGATCAGTGATAAAAGACACGCGGTACATGCTCTGATAGTTCGAAGATTTTTTTGTTATTCAATGTACATGGTATCATTAGCTAGTGCAACGACTTTAGGTATCTCAGCCAGCAATTGTTTGTCACACGGAAACGTGGCTAGATAGCTCTTTTTTTAATAACCCAGTTTTTCTTGTTGCTGAGTTCAAACGAATTGGGCGCGCAAGAAGAGCATCAAGTGAGCATACTGGAGTTTTAAATGCATTGTCAAATATTCTCTATAACCAAGTAGAATTTTTTTGGCTTGTAAGTTTGAGACATGATTGGTGCCTGTCTTTTAAACGTACACAAGCGATTTGTCTGCTTCATCGTTATCTACTACCCTCTGTACTCGTCATACTACAGGATCGAAGCTTCTGTTTTTCGGTGAAAGTTCAATGAGGCTCACAAGAATTTGAATGATTTTATTGGAACTCTGCACTTGAATACCAATCAATTAAAACGGTTTTTAGTTGATTTGAATTTACCGAGTTGATCTGGGAGCACATTACGTCTCCCCTAAAAGAAGATGAGGATATATTTAAAGCTTCCTTGAGAAAATCCTATTCCAACTTATTGGAGATCCAACTCATGAACGTGTTAATACTCTGGATATAGTCTTTACTTCTGCATCCGACCAATGTTATCTGACTCAGAGTGATGTTTGTTTCTCGGACCACTATCTAGTCACAATTATATTCAAAAACATTCAGATCTGTACGGGACAAGCTTAGTACTCACTCAGCTCATTCGATATCGATTTATTTAGCTTGCATCTTACTAACCTGGATGACATATTAGAAGACCCAAACAATAATGCTGCGAATCGTCGCTTGCGACCAATTGTCGCTTGCGATGAATTGTCACCCTACGCAAAACTGGAGACAGCACTCACAGCGAGATTGAAACTAAAACCGCTAACAGATACAAGTTGTTCACTTATTCTACAGCTCACACACAGTGCACTGTTTGAACAAACTGCGAACGGCCAATAAGAAATGGGAACCAAAGGATCAGCGGGTTTCGAATCCTCCAAAAAGGTTGATTCTATAATTAACATGTTTACTGTTATCCTATTTGAATCTACCTAAAGATTCACTAGACATGAAGATTTTCAGCTGCTGAAAAATGTCTCATAGACTTCTGTTTATCCCTCAAAAATGTGATGGGGCTCTTGATCCGCTACTGATTACGCTTGCGGGTTAATAAATAGTTAAACATTGAATCAGTTGAATCAATTGCTGCTGACATGCTGCTCAATTTCATGCAATCTCAAGTTCAACTCTTGGGTGCAATGCTTGTTACTGGGAGTTTTTTTTTCAGGTAGAGCGACAATTCGTAACAGGCAAAAATTCGGAAAATTCGTCACAATCGACAATTCGTAACAAGGCATTGGCAAGTAGAATGCGCTTGCTCCGCTGCGCTTACATCTGGCACGAGAAGAATACTGCGCGTGAATCAGTGTTCCTCGCTTAGTCTACCGTTACGAATTGTCGCTTGTTACGAACTGTCTCCTGTTAAGAATTGTCGCCTGTTACCTGTTACGAATCGTCGCCTTACTTTTTTTCAGAGTTAAAATGATTTTTTGTCGGCATGGATTTCGTCGGGTTCTGAGTTTTAATCCGGACCGGGTCCTCTCCTTTTTAACTAGAAATTTTCAGTTTTCTCTTCAGATTATTGTCTGTCTAATTATTTTTGTCGGCTTACATCCCGCTTCACGAACTTTCTCTTTTACTAGATTCAGTTTTCGTTACTTTTGGGAGAGCAAGTTTCTTGTAATCGGGTATTAGACTTTTTTTTCCCGAAAACAACTTTTCTTACCAGAAATTGACCTTACTTTAATTTTGAACCCTAACAAAGTCTGGAGTTAACGTGGTTGCGTTTGCAGCCTAAGGTTTCTGTTTCGAGTTCCGGCAGGTTTTTGCTTCGTTTTCAGTATAAATGAAATTAAAAGTTTTTGGTAAAATTGATGTCGGACTTTCGTTTGTCTGCTGAACTTCCGTTTGTCGGCTTAGATGCCATACCACGGACTTTTATACAAATGCAAGCAAATATTAGCTTTTACTGCAAGCAAGTCAGATAGTAGTTGCAAGTGTTAATCATGGTAGTGTCAAGGGGACTTGAAGTTTTTTGTTGAAGTATTTTTCTTTGGCTCAACTGGTGTCTGATCAAAGTTTGGCGGCTCTTATTCCGCTCCGTAAATTTTGTTCCGTTGCTAATTTAAAATTCAGATGCCTTGCTTGGTCTATTAAACTAGAATTGCTTAAACTAGAAAACAGGTATTAAAAATTGTATGGAATTGGGTTTCTTATTTTTTATATATTTTTTCAGACATTACCGAAAATTTTAAAACTTTGCAGTTTTAGTTTTTCTTAAAAACACGCAACCGATTTCCGTAAAAGGCTATGAATGGAAAGACCATCTACTCCCCTGCGTGCCTCTATATTTTTTTGTATGTTTTTTATTTAGCGCACTGTCAACAGCCATGGAAATTTCTGTCTGGGAGATACCAAATATTTGTTACAAAATTTTTGGTTTCAAGTCTGAGAATTTGGGTTTAATTCGAAAAAACATTTTTGAGAATCTCCCTTGTAATTGCGACTACGCCCAAGTTTTTTCATAGAGCTTAAATAAAACATCAATCAAAAGAACCGGTAAAATTTCGGTACTGACGCGGCGACTCCTTAATTGTTTTGTAGGAAATACTTTATATCTTAACGACGATTCCAATTTCTCAAAGTTTTCTTTTTTCTCACTTAATTTTATCAGAGAAACAACTAAGAATTTGGCCAAAGTCCGACTAGTCAAATAACCCACTTCATTCCGCTTAAGTAGAAAAACTTCCGAACATATCAAAAACCTTCAGGTTCAGCTGTGCCCTTAGTTGTCTTTTAGTCGAGACATACGATAGTTTTGGTTCACTTTTTCAAAAGTTTGTATTGTATCGCAAGTGGTGCTTTGCCTCTGTGTGATAAGTCTAAAATCAAATTGTTGAATGAGATATTTCATTCCGTTTTCAAAAAGTTCATTTATAATGGGTGCCACTGCACGAGCTAAAGATCACCCCAATCTTTTTTTTTTCGAATAAGTTTATTTTAGTATCAAGGATGTTCAATGTCTTCTTCGATAGATCCCTGACCTTGGAACTTAGGTAATTGACTCACTGCTATCATCGATTTTACGGAAAACTTCCTTCTAAATTGCGCCTTCTGTTTGTGCTTTGCCTTTTGTTTTTATCAGTGCCCATCAATGGCTCTCAGTGTGGAAAGGCGCATATGCTACGACAGTCTTTAAGAAGATTTCGTCGGCCAAAGAATCAATTTACAGGCTTGAATTGATTCTTCCTCGCTCAACTTTTTTTTAAGAACGCCTTCTTTTTGAGTAGGTTTACTTTGCAGTCAGATCGTAGTTCAACTACGGGCAACATGGTGCCATGAAAGGAAAATCAACAATTCTCATCTTCTCATTTTTGATGATGTTCTTAACAGCAATTTTGACAGTAGCAACGTAGAAATTGTTGTTTTTTTTTTGTAAAGAAAGCTTTCTTTAGCATATCTCACATGATAATACTCCAAAAACTTTAAATTTGGCTTCGATGAAGCTTTTCCGAAGCTTGCGCAAATATACGTTTCTGATAAATTGCAGAGGGTGAAAACGAATGAAAGTTTTTACAAGCCAGAATAATTGATAATAAGATCAATTTTCCCTGCGAACAAATGAATTTCCTTCCTGCTCCTGCTTTCTTCACAATTGCTACACTTATAAAAATTTCTCAAGTTTTGAGGAACATACAAAGTATCCTTCAGCTGCATGACATTAATTTCGCCTTTCTTTTGTTTTGCTCCGAACGTAACCTCAACCTCATAACTTTGTAACTCTTTCCATATATTTGCAATGCTAACCGATTCTTTGAAGTTCTCATCTAAGCTAACAAACATATCTGGATCCTCAACCAAGTGACTGCTTCTGATTTTCTGCACAACTGTTTCAGTATTGTCAAATCTAATATTTTTCAATTCGAAATTTTGAATCCATTTTTTTATGATACTGCTGAACTTCACCTGGTAATTATACTACTGAAAACTGATTTTCTCTATTTCACAAAACCACATTCATTTAGGTACATACATACATATAAATCTATCAAAAGAATTTTTGGTGTTCCAATTCAGCCAAAAACAAAAGCTTTCGAATTGCTCGCTAATAGGTTCACAGTGATTTACCGAGAA